TAGTATTCAACCGTGATGAAATCGTGCCCCGCGGCAAAAGGTGCAGCTGAGTTACGCTGAGTCACTCGAAGCCTATCGCTTCTCACCAAAACTAAATCAATACATGATTCATGTATCGAACCATCATGCCAGATCGTATGATGAGAGAGTGCATTGCTCACGAGTCTTAGGTAGAGTCGGTCAAGGGTTTTCTGCAGGTGACGCGCATGACGATTCTGCTCCACGGCCATGTTTATATTAAAATCTCCTGTAACTATCACGTGTTGGTAATCTGGTAGGTGTGTCGATAGGGCATCGAAAAATTCGTCGGGGTAGCATATTTCAGGTTTACGGTAGACAGTTGCAAAGAGAAGTTTGAAAGAGGGTGAGCTTATTGAGTATATGACGTATTCGGGTTTAAAGCAAAATTTTTCTTCAGAAGAGGCCAGAAGCACGGCAACTAAGTCCTCACGTACATATAGTGCCACGCCTCCACCCTCCTTTCCTACGCGATCATGTCGAAAAAGATTGAAATTATTAAGTTTGTATAATGATGAGTTCATAGTTTTAGTCAAAAAAGTTTCGTTTACAGCTATTATATCAAAGTTCGTATCGGATGCAAATAATTCAAGTTTATTGAAGTGAGTGTACAATCTATTAATATTTATGTGACCTATGCGCAAAAATTGTGAATCGTTTGACGAGTAATTCGACGCCCCCGCCCCATCTCACGAATCGCGGTTTACAGACGTAGAGGCGCACCTCTGGGACTCGGGCTCGGAGTCAGCACATGGCAGCATGCCCTCGATGCACGCAAAAGAGTAAACACGTACAATCTCACTGTCGCGCGACGGGCGCATATAAATCGACATACCACGACGAACAGGCGGGAGATAGCGCAGCTCACGCGAGCGACTAAGAGCACGACGCCACAGGGCATACACGTTTTTGGGTAATATGGGTGTGATTGATAATGTGCCCAGCGACGGATCACCAAAAAGCTCAATCATAGGCACCGATGAAGCTCTAGGAGCAGCCGTGATCGCCTCGTCCCTCCACGATGAGCATGAAAAGCGTACAACTATGGCCCGACGCGCAGCAGCAGCTCCTTCTGAAGATGTTGATCGTCGCTGCGGCAGCCAATCGCGAACACGCACAACGTGCGGAAGCAGGCGAGTCTGATCCAGGGCCCCCAGCAGTGTAGTCACTGTACTAAGGTCCACCGGAGCACTCAGTGGCAATCCCTCGTAGCGCACCTCGAACGTGTCCTCGTCCTCGCGTCGCAGCATCGCTCCGCCAACGGCGTTGCCCTGTTCCACTGCCGCTATGGTCTCGCCGAGATTCTGTATACGTGCTGACATTGAAGATAATTTATCTTCATGATCTGCGCACATAGATTGAATTTTTGTTTCAAGCTCCTGCTGCCTGTTAGCAATGTCGCGCACGAAGGGCATGAACTTCGATTCCAGACGCTGGTCAAAAAGATCGATCAGGGGTAGCCATTGTGAGTTATCTGCAGTCTGCGCTTTAAATATGGTGTTTTGAGGTGCCAGTGTTGAAGTTGGTACGGCAAAGCTCGAGGCAGATGGAATCGCACCAGTCATAGTTGTCGCTGCTGTGAGTCTGGCAGTTGAATAGGTGGATGTTGTGGAGGTACTCGTGGTGGTCGCTGGTGTAGTACGTAAGCTACAAGGTATTTGTAGAGGCGGAGACAGACCACTGATCGGTAGCGGAACGCTCACCTGTATGTCCACCTTTTTGCCTCTCGGTGGAATAGGGGCCTTGGGCTTGCTGTTAGACTTTTTAATTTTTGTCGCCTTCACTGTGGTAGGCAACACCGGTTGCTTCCGAGCTACTTGCTTGATAGCAGACATGTGCTGGTTCAGCGATGTAACACGTTGGGCGCTCACGCCACCTCGTCGCTGTCTAAGAGAGCGCGTATCTATTTCCGGCGACGATCTGGATCGCTTGAGAGGTGGAATTGTTGGTGTGAATGGCAGTGGTTTCGATATGCATGATGCGAGTGATGATGACAATGACTGGACCGCTGCATCGCCAGAGGGGGGATTTGCCTGAGAAGTAGGGATAATATTGGATGAAGCAGAGGAGGATGAGATCATTGGTCCCGCCGAATCCTCCACCCGCGCCGCCCGCGCCGGGCACACGCAAGACCCAGGTCCCCCGCCGGCAACAGTCCGACAGTGAATGCAGTCCCCGCCCGCAGCCGACATGCCCAGGCTGATACCAACAGATTAACAGTTAATTATGCAACAAACAAGACTCGATTATAGATAACAGATAAGGCAAAGTTATACGTAAGATCCTCCGATTGCACTCCGCACAAGTTCAGTAAACCAATTTTTGTAGGAGCAGCTCATATGTACTGTATTGATGTGCTTTTTCAGATTACTTTTATGTCCAAATGATTTATGACAAATATCACATTCGAAGGGTTTTCTACCATTATGTACTGTATTTATGTGTACTTCAAGGTGATGTTTTAAAGCAAATGATTTATGACAAGTCTCACATTCGAAGGGTTTACTCTTATTATGTATTGCATTTATGTGAGATTTGAGATTACCTTTTTCTCCAAATGATTTGTGGCAAATCTCACATTCAAAGGGTTTGCTCCGATTATGTACACTATTGATGTGATTTTTGAGGGTATGTTTTTGTCCAAATGATTTATGACAAGTCTCACATTCAAAGGGTTTGCTCCGATTATGTACACTATTGATGTGATTTTTGAGGGTATGTTTTTGTCCAAATGATTTATGACAAGTCTCACATTCAAAGCGTTTGCTTCGATCATGTACTGCAGTTACGTGAGATTTGAGGTGACTCTGGTATCCAAATGATTTGTGGCAAATATCACATTGGAATGGTTTCTTACCATCATGTATTGTCATTATGTGAGCTTTGAGGTTTCCTGTTTGTCCAAATGACTTGTGACAAATTTCACATTCAAAGGATTGGCTCCGATTGTGTTCTGCATTCATGTGAGTTTTGAGCTGAATTTTTTGTCCAAATGATTTGTAGCAAATGTTACATTCGTAGAATTTACTACGACTATGAACTGCATTCATGTGATTTTTGAGTTGACTCTGGTATGGAAATGATTTATGATAAATTTCACATTCATATGGTCTAATGCTCTTGTGTGTCGTATTGATCAGTCTATTTATACTTACTTCTCCTTTGTTTTGAAATGTTCCTTTTAATATTTTCACATCCTTGTATTTTTTAAACTTCAAATGGGAATTTACTTGAAATAGACAATGGTTTTCATAATCAAATTCCTTTTTTATCCAAATTTATCGGATCTTTATCGTTCAAGTAATTTGTCAGAGTTTGATTTTTTATTTTCACAATAGGTAGGAAACTTTGATCCCCAGTTTTGCAGATAGTTTTCAGTGTAAGTTTCACATCTTTGCACTCAAAATCGATAAATATTTTTTCGTCTATCTTTTCCTGTAACGCAAGTTTTATTGATGAAAATTCAATGAATAATTAAAACATAATTAAAATTGTTAAGCTCACTGGTCGTTTATAAGATGGGAATATTTCACAGTTTTTGATTACCTTAGAGTCCACGGAATCGAAATAAATAAAACTGTCGTCTGTATCTGGCCAAGTATCATTCGGCTCTCGCTTCAACCTGAAAAATAACCAAGTTAGATGAACTGATCGCATAAAAAAATATTACCACATGCATAAAAAATGTTATACCAAACGGTGTCCTCTTTACTTTCCATCTTTCGCTTAATTACATGTAATTAATGGAAATTTAATCGATATGCACTGAGAGTTATTTGAGGTTAAACGCTTCGAGTGATAAACACTGAAGCTAGAATTTGCACGAATTTGTAAACACTTGCTCTTTGAGTAATTTCGTTTCTTGCTACTTAGTGACTGAATGCAAAACTCGATGTACACATCCAAGGGACCCCGCGATTGTGATAGCTCTTAGGCGATATTTTCCCTCTCTTACTTTATAAATATACCGCGAATATATGATTGTAGAGCTAAAATATCGAATTCATTTTTAACAAGTACACTGAAACAAAGAACTACCAATGGAGGAGACAAATTGTTGTTTTATAAGTCGGACTTGCAAAGTTTTAATTGAAATAAAATATTCTTGCAGATTATTAAGACATACAGTCCGTAAGAACGAACATTTCTACGTGTTTTACGATAAAAAATTATTTTCCAAGTATTCTTCGTAAATTGAGGGGACATTTAAAATTACCGGTCAGCAACTTTACCCGTTCAGCTATCTTGTTTCAAAGCCAAAGCCAAACGTTTGAATATTGACACAACCACTAAAGAATACTTATGAGATCAAAAAATGTCCAAGTACAAAAAGTTATTGCCTCCAGTGCAGATTAGAAAAGGCCACCCCAAGAAAACTTTCAAGAAGTTTCATTATAAGTTTTTGTATTGATAAAAGTACTTAGAAAATGATACTTTTTCCTCGAGTACTTCGTCGAGTCAGATTTTTTTGCAATATTGAAGATCCTCTAAAAAATATTCCCTACGACCCGTGGAATTAAATTAAGCACAGGCAGCTTCATTATTAGATATCAGAAAACCCCGAAAAGTTTTTTGCTCAAATTCATTACCCAGAGTTCAGGTGGTCTCCTTGTAAGTCAATATTTCGACTTAATGCTCTGAACCACCGAGTGTGCTAATATAGTAAAATGTCGTTTAGGGAACGTTTTTACTCACTTTGTGTCATGCGATATGTTTACATTAAAGGTATGGGCTGTATATGAGTAGTGGCGTGTCGTCACTTAGTTCCTGTTATACTTGCCAGGTGGAGCGCGACACGCGCTCCTCAATTCGTTATGCGCACGACTCGACTCGAGATTGGAGAATGAAGCGGGTATAATTACAACACTGAACGCATAGTCGGCAGTGCTGCGTCTCTTGTCAATTAATTCAGTTCAATACGCGTTACAACGCTGCAGCTTATAACAAAAGAAGATCGCATCCGCTGCAGTCATTGATTCTCGCGACAAATATTAATATTTTGAATTATTAACGACTTACTGTTTTTCTGTGTGATAGTTTATCAAAATAATGACATTTTACGATAGTAATGATAATCCCAGTGCTAGTAATTATAATATTTATTATGAAAGCGACTTCGTGTTTCTCGGTGACTTATACTTTAGTGAATTGAAAAATGAACGAGAGAAGATCAATTGGGACATCGTGAAAGAACGAAATCTATTGTTCGATCGTGTTGTGTTATTGATTAATAGGTGGAAAGGCAAACTTCCAGATCTCGGAGAAATTTTTCAGCCAAAAGAAATTGATTGGCTTCTCACGAGAGATGTGTGGACTCTAGACAGACCTGACCCCACGATTAGCAGATTTTCACTTATCCACTTTGTGATCAAGACCGGCTACAAAGACAGTCTCATTAAAGATAAGGATAATAAGCCACTGTTGCGTCGTACCACACCAGTGCATCGTGCGGCCATGAATTACGAATGCATCTTTCGCCTCCTATTAAACATATACGATAGATTCGACGTCAACTACATCGACGAGTTTGGTTTCACTCATTTTCATGCGGCCTGCATGTATGGCTGTGAAGACATCGTTGCTAAATTCCTCGAGCTCGGGCAGAACCCGGATGGCCTCGCACAAGAAACGGACGTGAGTGTGGCCGATCCGCCGCTGCACTTGGCTCTGACCCATGGCAGAAAAGAAGTGATCGAATTGCTGTTAAGAAGTGGCGCCAATGCAAATTTAGCCAACGCGAACGGATGGACTCCGCTGCATATTATTTGCAAAGATGATAACGATAACTGTGACTTGGCGGAGTTATTCTTCAAGATAAACGATGATAAACGACAGGCGATACAGCTCAACGCCGTGGACAATTTGGGCCGAACACCGCTGCAATGTGCAGTGGCACAACTTTGCCCGGGTTTGGTCGAGATTTTGTTGAATCGTGGTGCCGATTTATCTAGCTTCGTTTTCCCAACCGAGACTTACTTTGTCTCGAGATTTCAATGCCATCATCCTCTATTGATCGACCGAGAACCGAAACTAGTTTCTGACGTGCTGGTCATTCTTGAACGCCTAATGAAAAGAGGATACGAACTAAGTCTAAGGGGCGCGCTAACGATCATGAAATTCTTCGATCACATCGGAAAGCCTATCTACAAAGTATACCTTTTTTTAGAAGATCTTGACACCTTGAAACCCTGCAGGATATGTGAGTCTGACAACCAATGGACACATTTATGTTCTGCTCACAAATCTGTGATGATGTCTAGGACATTTTTCGAGTGTTGGGCGCTGAAATTTTTCTTCATGCTAACGGGACACCGGCTACCAATTCTCTGCTGTGAAATAATCATTAAACAGTTGTCAAACGAGGATTTGTTGAGGATGTGCATGGCAGTTGAGATCGTTATAAAAGAGCAGAGCCAAACGCACGACGTCCATGACAAAGGTATTTTCATATTTATTTTACCTGTCTTAATGAATAATTACTAAAAATGATTTTTCCGATTCTATAATTAACTTTTTCAATCTTTTTTTTTCAGTTAACGAGATCGAGCAATTTCAAAATTTACTCATAGATAAATAATTTTGAAAAAATTTCATCAGTGTGTTCCAAGCATGTTTTCAATGAAGAGATTACTATTTAAAATGAAACTATTGGAATTTGTCATGCGCTTGAGTATGTATCATTCTTGAAGCAATATTTTGGTTCAGGTCCTCCCTCGTACCCAAGGCGCCTAAAGAAAGTTCAATTCTGTATTATAATATTTATATTCTCTTTTATTCTAGCTGATGTATTTTATAAATTTGATATTTCTCGTAAAAATTCATTAATGTATAAAAAATGCATTATAAACACCATTATATTAGCTTTATGGAAAAAATTTACTGGAAAAAAAACCCCAGAAAATTGTAACAAAAATGGAAAAGGACCCTGAAGTTGCACTGGTAATTCAATTATCAGCACCAGAAGTGAAACTTCAAGGTCTTTTTCCTTTCGAGTTAAATTTTTTTAGCTCTTTTTGCATTTTTAAATTGAATTTCTTAATTTTTTCAGAATATGAATATTGATATTAAAAATTTAGCAATAAAGTTTGAAAAAGCGTTAGGGCTCCTGCATGTAGGTGCACCCGATCGCATCGATCAAGGCCCCTGATTGAGAGCAACACGTCCACCTCGCGAAGAATCATCAACTCTTGCACGAGAGCAATAACATGCAGACCCAATCAACTTTTATGATATCAATCGGTAAATAAATGGGTCTAGCATACTACATTTGGTTATTTCAAACGCCGAGAGCATCCGAATCTTCCGAATTGAGTTGCTTAATTGCAATTACTTACTCAAAAATTAGAAAAAAAATGATCTGACTAGCTTACCCGAGATCTTGCCATCAGCTGCCAGTGAAAACCACAAGAGCAACAGTCGATTCAGCAACGTGCCACCGCGTCCTCGGCCGCTATTAGATAAGGTAGAATCTATATTGAATAAACACTACGCCGTATGCAATTCACATTCATTTTTAACAATAGTATTGTCCTCTTGATTAGCCAATAAGAATAAGCTATTTTTAATACACTGTCATAAAATAATTACGAAATATTATTAAATTTCACAATTATTTCATTTTAAGCTGTAATTTTTAATTTGAATTTTAAGCGGACAATGTACATTTAATGTGTTATTTCAAGATAAAAACATTGTTCAGTTGTAAATATTATTTTATTCCGTAAATCATAGCCGGAAAATGTCACGCCCATGTTCCGTACCACGAAATTGCATTTGTTATAGCGCGGCAATTACCGATCGCCGAAAAGAAGGATCGCGTCGCGCTGCAAAAAGGCAGAGTGCGCTCGAGTCGCCAAAGTCAGCTCGAGAAATGATTATTATTATAATTATTATAATTTGCTTCGGCGAAGTTGTGATTTTCGACGAGGAGTAGCGCGCGTAGTCGCTCGCGACGAGAAACATGGCGTCGAGCGGTCAATAGATTACAACAGTCTCTCGATTAATAGGCGACTATTTTCACGTCCTCGGGGCTAGCTCTCGAGCTGCTTTTTTCTTTACTGCTTTACTCAGCAGTATTTGAGCTTAGGCAGAAAACGATTCGCGAGACGGCGTCGTCAGCTGCCTCCCGAGTGTGTCTATAGCGCGATCGTAATCCGCGTACATCCGAGAGGTGCATATTAAACAGTACACGTATGTGCAGCAGCAGCAGCAGCAGCAAGGTGCAGGGATCGCTGCAGCAGCACGACGAGGACGTTCGCACGGCTCAATGAACGCCTGGCTGGCTGCACAGCAGTGTGTAGTAACGTACGAGGCGCGAGCGAAAGTGTGTTCCGTGACAAGTGCGAGAGACGACGCGACTAGTACGAGTCGACGACGGCAGTGGTGTGCTCGCGGCCCGAACCAACGCCAATTCTCGAATCCGTGTGCTCTACATGCCCGCGAGATATCTCGCTTATCGTGCACACATTGATGTGCGTGTGATGCCTCAACTGACGGCAAAAAAGAGAGTACAGCACTCGTCGCTTTCGAGTTAACATTCCGCGAGAGCGAGAGAGAGAGCAGCCCCTCCCGTCGATTCCCGAGCTATGCAGCAGCGGCAGCAGCAGCAGACATCGAATCATAAGAGCTAACGCCTTGAACTGCTCGAAAGCGTCGCGAGGAGAGCCAACCGATGATCGACAAAAGCTGTCAGGATCTCGCAGTCCTGTCTCTAGTGTTAGAAGAAAAAAACGCCGTGGCGAATCGATAGCTTGTAATTAGGCTTTGTTAGCGTAGCTAATAGTTGATAACGAGTTCGTCGTCGTCGTCGTCGTCGTCGTCGGCTCCCGAGGCAGTGAAAGTTTATACACGAGTGTCAGTGTACGTTTTGTTGTGTTGTGTGTGCGTGCGTTAAAATAAAGCGAGTATATATTGTCAGTGCGTGCCTCGCTTCGGTATGCGCCAAAGAGAACCGAGCGTGCCCTAGGCGCTGTCGTTGAGCAATATCATCTCGCACGAAATTCAGCGTGGAACAGCCCAGGTTTGTGTGAATTTCTCAGCGGCCACCCGAAACTTTGCCTGGCTTCACCGTGCGCGCGTCTGCCTCTGTGTAAACTTTACCAACTATTTAGTGCAAAATTAGCGCTTACATCAAACATGCCTCGCGACCAAAATTTATTGCGCAAAGTCGAAAGCTTTTGAATTATTATTATTTAAAACGAGAATATAATAATGAAGGTTAAACATTTATCATCACAAGTTACTGTTTTGCACAGAATGAACAATTTTAAAATATTTTTAATTCATCCGTTAGAAAAATATCGTAAAATTTGAAAATCTTAATGTATTTTCATTATCTTACCAAGCTGAAGAATCAAAATCGAATGATCATCGCTGATTACAGAGTCTCGCGTTACGTGTACATTACCTGCATCATCGAGAAGTTTGGTCTTGGTAGATACGTAAACGAAATTAGAAAGAAATCAGTTAAACGATTTTCTTTCTAACAATGATTGTTTTATTTTTCGATTGCTCGTTCTTTTCCCATGAAACGCTCGTTGGAATAAGCATCGATGAAATCTGAAAAAGATTCATCAATCCCTTCGCGTTTAGCATCGCTGCTACCGTATGAAAATCCTCAAACAACGGGTCAAACTTCTGAATCAGTACTTTCATTTATGATAAACGATAAATTCTGTGTAAATCACGAACAAGTTTATCTTTACGAGCTTGAGCTAATATTTGTTCAACAATCACTTTCGATTAATTCCGCTTCGTGCGACTGACCGGTACTATATTTGCTTAATTACTGCGGTAAATGATTATCTATAAATAAAGTTGAAACTTTACCGATGCCTATCGTCGCACTTGTAATTTCAGTTTTGCAAACTTGTTTTTCTACCTCTGTCATCTGCTGTGAGCTTTGACGATTAGTAACATTTCGCTAAGTTTTTAGTTGTTTCATCGCGTTTCTTTCATTTAACAATCCAATCGAGAAGTTAACTTTTTGTTCCAACTCTTAGGAAAAAGCTTTATTTCTATTCAAATTACCTGTTTTGAATATTCCGAAGGTCTCAATAAATTTTTTCGCGGTCGTGTACATTTGCTTGATTTCAATCGGGATGCAATTTTTCTTTCGAACGAAATTCCTCGCGTTCCATTGTGCAAGCATTTAACCTTAACGATGTGTAAATAAGGATTGCTTAAATATTATCATTTTCACCGAGTAATCGATTGAAATTCCCAAAACTCCGCGTAGACGTAGCTCACGAGAGAAGCTCGATGGTGCATTCGAGGCAGCTCGCGAAACTGGATTTTCATGATCAAATCGCTTAGGTTTTTTTTATTTCGTACATAAAAGCAACTCGAATTAAATTTCACGAGAGACGAGGCGTTTTATTTTAATTATTCACGTAATAAAGTTGAACGAGGCGCTAATTTTGCACTCAACAGTTGGCAGTGCCGAAACGCACGGAACGCAGTGGCCAGGCAGAGAGTCCCGAGACGTTGGTCGGACAAATTAACACAGGCAAGCTTTGCTCTTTGCTCCGTATTATAGCAGCCGATTCTCTCGTCAAGAATGTGCCCAAGGCCCGAACGATAGCCCAGAGAGCTATAAACAAGCGCGTCGGCCGTACAACGCTCGTGTGCCAGCGTCCCGCAAGAGGCGACAAGAGCCAGCGCCGAGTCCAGTCGCTCCAGCGTAAACAAAATCAGGAGGATGGCTTCGGGCGACAACGTAGACGTCATCGAGGTCGTGGAGACGAGCCTCGCGGCCCCTGGCCCGGCCAATTCCTCGAGGGCCGCCGCCGAGCTCGACCAAATGTCCGATGCCGCCGGGGACGACTCCGGCGAGGAAGACCGTAAGTACATCAGACAGACTATGGAATCGTTCGCGGTTCGAGTAATCGTTTATTGCCCCTAAACGTTCTGTCCTCGTCGGGCCTCTTACAATGCCTCATCTCCTCCTCTTGTCTCTCTTTTTCTGCGTATATACATCGCGAATAGCCGCAAAAGCCCGTTAACTGACTGCGGCAGGTCGTACTTGTGAGGTTTCCTCGATATACAAGGGCCGCTTCGCACATAACCTCGGTGTCTTGTCCGATAGGTCCTTGCGAGAGATGCAGCTTGAATCGTTGTCTCGGCGTGCTATATGCAGCTGCATGTCTGCGTACGGCTATATTCGTCCTCGATTTCGTAGTACCTGCGCAAGGATATGTATATATAGGCTGGCGGGTGCGTGTGCACGCGTCACGCGGACCTACTGACAGATGTGCCCAAACAGTTATACGCAGCCCATTTAAACGGACGCAGCGACGTGCGTGCTGCGCGTGTGCCTATAGACTCCAAAATAAGTTGACTGTATAGGCAGGCATTTGTATGCTTTAACGCGCGCCACTATTTTCGATTTCACAATTCAAATAGATTGCGCGCGTATCGACATGTACGGCTATTTTTGGATACGCCGATGTACAACGACGCGAATCGTATGTACTGTACTCCGTGTACACAGAGTATACACATGTACGCCGATATTAATGCGTCTGCTGGCCGAATCACTGGAGTTCTCCCGTTGATACACACGTATCGGGTATGCGATATCGCGCGATACAAGATACGCAGCCCGTGTACAATACACAATCGCATATAAGTCTCGGCAGCCTCTCGTCTATTTACGAGTGGTTGGCTTTTTCGCCGTGACATTTCGGCAGTTCTGGAATTTCGGAGCGCCGATATATTCTGCTATGTATTAGGGGCTCCGCGCGCCTCGCGCTCTTGACGCTTCCCAGCAGTGATGTCAGCTGCCCCTCTGATGTGCATGCATATATATAGCTATACATAAAGTCAGCGCGAGCGAGCCATGCGCCGTACATGTGGCCAGTGCTTACGCTCTCATCGCGCACGCCTATATATATTATTACTATATAATCATCATCGGGCAGCGATGGTACCATTTCCTTCTGCTGCTGCTGCTGCTGCTCTGCGGCTGCTCAATGTTGCTGCTTTTTGCTTTCTATTTGACGTCAGTCAGCTACTTGCTGTTTTTTTTCGTTGTATACATACTGATTACCGATGATGACAAGGCGCCCATTTATAAACATATTTACGATCGATAATCGCTACGCGCACGCATTCGTCAGTGGCACACTCGTTCGCATAGTACGTATATATATATATCGAGGCAGCGAGTCGAGAGAAATGTCACATTTTATGCGTGCCCGATCTCACTTTTTTTTCCAGTCAAAAATCTGCATGTAATATAAGTATAAGCGCGCGCCACCCGCAAGGACGTCAATAAGCCGAATCGATCATGTTTTAAGAGCCTACACGTGTATATGTAAGAGCGCATGTACACACATACATATTCGCTCGAATATACATACGTCAACGCGGAGCTCTCGAGTCTACCTACCTATACATGTATACTTGTACATTTTATACGTGTTGTAGCACACATTTCCACTATCGGCTATTGTAGAAATTGTAGATGACTGAATACGTTGCACACCTACTCCCTGCTATCTGCGTGCGTGCGCGTGTATATGCATGCATATATATATTCCGCAATGATGATAATACAGCACACCACGTGCACAACTGCACTCTCTCGCACTCCTTTTGTCATTCATCATCGGTGTGTGTATTATACTTAAAGTTATCGATCACTTTTCCAATGGTTTCGCTCTGCATATACACGCCTTGGCCCCTCGATGCCGAGAGAAATGAGAACGCATCGCAACAGAGAGAGAGAGAGAGACAGAACGCGACACCGAGCTGCACTCTAATTTAATATACTAATATGCCGCGCGCTTATTATCGCGATTATCGTTAGTATCGATGGAGGGTGACTACTTTCAAAATGTATTAATTCAACTAGATTAACGTTGGCTGTATTAGGATCGACAGATCGTGCTCGTTTGAACTTGAAATTTCGAAACGATCGTTCATGTATGTTTTTCTTATACTTTTTGAATAAACTTATCGGGGCAGCATTTATATCTGATTACATCGACCCTCGAATTTTAAAAAAATTTTCCAATTTGGTCTCTGCTCGCTGTTTTTAATGATGATAATAAACGCGCATGTATTTTTTGTTACAGACAAATCTGCGACTGAGGACAAACTTAATGCTAATGATGTGAGTTTTCAAGTTCACCAGTTTCTAAATTCATCAAATATCATATTTTATCTATTATCTATTTTCCTTAAAAGAATTTTATCAAAAGTCATTGAAAACAGTATTTATTGTGCTTCTATTGAGTAGTCTCATGATTCTACATAATTTTTTAATTCCATGATTACTTCAAGCATTCTAAGAATTTTAATGATTAATGCCATACATAGGTACATACTCTTGCTGACATGCAAAATATTTTTAAGTACTGTTCTATATGATATCAAACAAGCTGCATAACATTGGCTATAAACAGAGATAAAAAATTTTAAAGATCACTACACTTAACTCATTACATAAATGTGATTTGAGAATCTTATAAAAGCAAAAGATATTGTCTGTTAATAATATCACTGACGATTGTTTTAACATAAATAATAACAATCAACTTTTAAAAACATTTGAATGAAAATTCTCACTGAGAAAAAGGAATACTCATTTATTTTCTTAGGAAACTTAATATTTATTGAGTTATAAAATTTTGTTTAATTTTTCAAATTTTTCAGAAATGAAACAAATGATCGAAGTATACAAATTCTATATTACTTGTTTTGTACAAAAAAAAATAATTCTAACCTTATTTTTTAAAATTTATTTCTTAGTCTTTGTGCAATTAAAATTTTTCAAAGTAAAAGTTACCCAAGTTGGATTTTATAAGAAATTTTACAAAAATTTTAAATAATGGAAGATTCATCAAATTTAAAAAAATAATTGAATAAATAATTGTGTATCATTCATTTTCATGTATCATGTTAAAAAAGTGTTTCAATTACAAAAAATATCCCTTTTCAAATCAATTTTTTATTTTCAGATTTCTGCAGCTCAACATGGTAATGTTGATAACAAAGTTGCCGGTATGGCTAGAAACAAATCTGAAAAAGAAAAGAAACTTGGTCACCGGAGAGTTGGAGTTGGCGGTGAAATTACATATAAGAAGGTAATTTTTACATTTTTTCTAATAAAGCAAGTAAAATTTATAAATTCTTGATTTACTTTGGAAATTTGAATACTTGAAATGACTATATATGACATAATGTATGTGATTTTTAGATCCAAACGACACAAATCATGGGGTCAATACAATTGGGTATTCAACATGCCATTGGTGGTTTGGCGAGCAAACCTGAAAGAGATCTTCTTATGCAAGATTTTATGACTGTTGAGACCACAAATTTTCCTTCTGAAGGATCAAATCACACTCCAGCTCATCATTATTTAGAATTTAAGTTCAAAAATTATGCTCCTATTGCATTTCGTTATTTTAGAGATTTGTTTGGTATTCAACCGGATGATTTTCTGGTTTGTAATTTATTTTATTAAGTTTTTATCTATCTTTCCCTCTTGATGTATGATTTATTTATTGAATTAAATTGTCTTTTTCACAGATGTCAATGTGTAGTGCTTCTCTACGAGAATTATCAAATCCTGGTGCGAGTGGAAGTATTTTTTATCTAACAGATGATGATGAATTTATTATTAAGACAGTGCAACATAAAGAGGGTGAGTTTTTGCAAACTCTCTTACCAGGTTACTACATGGTGAGTATTATTGAGTTTTATTTTAAATTTTTATACAAGCAAACTTAATTTTTTAATGAATTAATCCATATTTTAGAATTTAAATCAAAATCCAAGAACTTTACTGCCAAAATTTTTTGGGTTATATTGTTATCGTTGTAATAGTAAAAATGTTCGACTTGTTGCCATGAATAATCTTCTGCCATCAGCAGTCAAACTGCATCAGAAATACGATTTAAAAGGCTCCACATACAAGAGAAAAGTGAGTCTCATATGATTCTTTAACTAGTGAATAACACAACATTTCAATGCATAAATAAATTTGTAGGCATCAAAATCTGAAAGGTCAAAAAAATCACCAACTTACAAAGATTTAGATTTTATGGAACATCATCAAGAAGGTATATTTCTCGAATCTGATACATATAATGCGCTTATCAAAACTATTCAGCGGGACTGCAGGGTCCTAGAAAGTTTTAAAATTATGGACTACTCTTTACTACTTGGCATTCATAATCTTGATCAGGCTGCAAGAGAAAAAAATGTAAGTTCAAAATTACACACATTTACTTATGAGAGAAAATCACGTGATACTTTTTACAGGAGCAAAGATTATCTACGAGTGCGGATGAAGAAACTGGAGAATCCGGTACCGACGGTCCTCCTTTATCTCAGGCAGATAAAGAAAAAGAAAAAGAAGACAGACTAGGAGCCGTCGCTCTAAACAGATCTCGTAGTATAAATCGACAAAGGCTCGTTGCACACAGTACAGCAATGGAAAGTATTCAGGCAGAAAGTGAACCGATAGACGAAGAAGATGACGTACCGTAAGTCACCTTCGATTTGTTGAATATATCATAGAACTATAGTTTAAAATTTAGTTTAGTTTAATTACTAACATTAGTTCAATTACTATTTTTAGGCCGGGAGGTATTCCAGCAAGAAACGCTCGAGGAGAACGATTACTTCTCTTCATAGGTATTATTGATATTCTTCAAAGTTACAGATTGAAGAAGAAACTTGAACACACTCTAAAGTCTATGATTCATGATGGTGTAAGTATTAAAACTTGGTACTCACAAATGATAATTTTATTACTTGTTTTATTGATTTTAAATTATTTGGCTGCAGGACACAGTATCTGTACACCGACCTGGATTTTATGCTGAGCGCTTCCAAAGCTTCATGGCAAAAACAGTCTTCAAGAAGATTCCCTCACGTAAGTACCATCCGAATCAGCCATTAGTAGCACACTTGACTTCGATGCTATTACTCAACAAAGCTCATTCTTAAGAAAAAATCGCGGTATAAGTGTTCGATTTAATGGTGATTGTATCTCTGCATTAAATTACGGTACATCTCAAGTTATTTTTTCGCTAGAAAATTAAGATTCAAAACCCAACTATTCGTCTGCAGGTATACAAATTTATTGTTGTACTATAGATTCGAAAATGACTAATGTATTTTAAAAATTGTACACTGTTCATTCAAATAACTGGTAAAGTATGCTATAAGCTAGAGATATAAATATATATATTTTTTGTAAAATTATTTACATGCTATTTGATGCGCCACTAACATGATCTGTGATGTATGAATATTGTAAAAATTTTCTAAAAAATTGACTGATTGAATGATAGAAAATTAATGTTATTGCATTTTTTTCAGTAATTTTTAAATTACATCTACAATTCTTAGCGAAATCACACGTAGTTAAACAATTCTACGGGAATTTATCGAAATTGACAAAAACTTTTAATATTATAGTGTAATGTAAAAATATTCTTTACATTTCTACATCAAGTTTGATCCATTTTTCTACGCGTTTATAATATACTCTATGAGCTAAATTAGTATTTCTTGATAAATAGCTTAATTATTGTAAAATAATATCCGCTGAACATGATCATCTACCTGTTTTAGTATAAGAATTCATTCACTCAATTTATCATTAATTTCCAATACTGATAACAATACTATGCACATTACTTGAAACTTTTATACAAATTTAGCAATGTGCCCTTCCGCGTGAGATTAATATTTTACATCATTTTTAATTATTAAATATTACTGTACAAAGTCTGGTGTCCACAAAAATAGTTGAATATTTTGAAATTTTATACTAGAAAAAAATTAGCATTGTAGCAACAAAAAAATAATATTATTGTAATAATGTTATGATCGATTATGTACATTTCACGAGTAACGTCAAGTACAATTAAGTTCATATAATATGATTTTTGATTCGAGCTTTTTGAGATTTTAAATATATATTATCTTAAGATAGATAAGATTGCATGGGTTATTTAAATTTCGAATATTATTGGAATTTTGAGTTTTATCGGAAAAAATCAATCTATACTTAAATTATTTATTTTGGAAGTATTTTATTTTTGTTTTAAAACATTTTACAAATATCTGACAATTGTAAAATTTTACAATTTTTTTAATATGCACTTGTCAAATAGAAATTTTTAGAAATGAAAAGAATTAACTTATATTTACATGGGTATTCAGCACAATAATGTTGCAGACTGATTTGTAAAAAGACTCTGATCGTCTTTACGAGTTTTTTTTATATCCATCCTAGTAGTATCACTTAAACAGTCCTTGTTTCACAATGCTGCTATAGGTATTTTGCTTACGAAATTATATTAATATTCTTCGCGTGCCATTTTTCAAAATAAATCGTTATAATTTTGTAAAAGTATTATTAATTTTAAATACGAACATCTTCTATGAAGATTGTTATAATTAAAGTTGTATAAGAATTAAAAACGCGCTTCAAACTAACGAAAGTGTAGTAAAAACGAAAATTTTGAAAATAACTCAAAATTTTGAAAAAAACAGTATTGGTAACACCTTCGTTTTAGATAGAAAATTTTTACGAACTATTTAAAATAAAAAATACGTTGTGATAATAATAGAAACAATGTAAAATTTAAATAATTATGTATATTGATTATTTTAAAATCTATTAATGCCCAGCCACCTATAGCTCATGTTCCTTAGATGTATAAAAACGAATATTGCTCAATAGTTTTTATGATATTTGATGAAAATATTTTTTTCAAATCTCTTAATTTTTGTATAAATTTTCAAATTGAATAATTTAACGATTTTTCGTTGTTTACTGAATACAAAACCTGATACTAACAAAGCCAATTGAAGTCTCATTTTGTCGAATTATTTTTAATGATTTGTATATATCAAACAAGAAATTACAGGTCTTGAAAAATGCTATTAAGAAGGTGCTACTAAAAATGACTTCCATTCGTAATTGTATTAATAAATAGATCTAATAGTTGAATAATCATTAGTGCATTATAAAGTAGAATAGAATATTTTTTTATTTTTAACAAAATATTCAACTATACATTTTATGTGGACAGCAATGTACATACTCATATTTTTTCAATAAACATTGCTCTGTTAATAAACTTTCAGTTCATTTCATAATCTTCCTTCCAATGACTTTAATAAATACACTATTTGATAAATCATTCCATTTTGATTATCCACACTTTACATATACACGAAATAATAAAAATTGAAAATTCAACGATTAATTTGAACTAAAATCAGATCTCTAATTGAAATTATACTATTTCGGGAACTGATTCACCTGATTTAGTTATGTTTTAAATTTCTCTGGTTCGACAACCATAATATATGATTTTCAAACCAATAATATATTAATTATAACTGTAAAGTTAAAAAATTGTGAGATGTTTCACATCTGTGTATATTCCTCTTTCGAAGTTGACCCTTTGAATCTTACCTTCCAAACGAATCAATTTTTTATGATAAAACCACTATTACCATGGTATTTTAAATACAGTGGACCTGCCCGAGATAAAAGGAAACCATCGAAAGTTCCGTAACCTCGTCTCCAGCTACATAGGTAAACTCTTATCTAGCTGCCTTAATATGTGTTTTCGTCCACTTTTATTTTCTTTAAACACTTGTTTTTTCTCATTAAATTGAGAAGTTTTTATGATTGTATGAACTTTGTTATAGTTCACTGCCGAAGAAAATATAAGACTTTTGACATTAATGCAAAGTTAATATCAGTGCTTTTGCAACCAATACATTCGATTTGACCTGTTCAGTGGCAAACCGAATAAGTTAAGCATTACTCAAATATATTTTTCGGCACCGAAATTTCTTACCAACTTAATTTTGATACTTACTTCGACTAACCGAATGTATCCATCATTTTTATTTCACATACTTTCTTACAATTTTGAAAAATGGCGAAATTGATTCTCATGGATGCATTAATTGGCTAGTTCTAAACTTTTTAGCTTAAATTTATTATTATTTATAATGTATATTTTACAAAGATCATTCTTTCTTAAATCATTTTCTTTTTGACGATCTATTATCATTTAAAAACCTCCAGATAACTAGGATTTTTAGATTCTTTTCTACTTATTCTTGAACATTTTTCTTCTATTGAAATAGCTAAAAAATTTAATGGTGAGTATTTCAAGTATGCATGCATTCAAGTACCATCTGGAGGTTTAAAATTCCATTGGCAACAGATTTCAGAAAGAATGTTGTACAAGATAATATCGGAATAAACATACGCTTTAGATGAGTAATATGGTTATTATTAGGTATAAGAATGCTCACCACGCTTCATACACCGCATGCGTGTAAAATTGTTGTTTTTATTTATGTTTTATTAATCTTCTTTAAATTAAGATCAAATTTTCAAACTCATTTTATTTCTACCACAGCTCATTTATTCTGGTATCGATATTTAAGTCTTGTAAAAAGTATTTCTCAAATCCGAAATACAAAATGCTCACCTAAAACAACCTAATGATACTGCTTCTCTACAACATTATAACAATTTTATTCAAAATAGTGAAAATTATGCCGTTTAACAATCAAATCGAATCGACATAATTTGAAATTAACAAATTATTTGTACTTTAAGTTTTTGAAATACAAACCAAAACTGGAGGTAATAGAATTATTCAATTTTAAAATCAAAACGAGGAAATGTTAATCTTTACGAGGTTTTTTTCTGTATAATTAAGAATTTTTCAAGCTATACAAAAGGAAGTATCAATTTTGAAAACGAAAATTTTTCTTCAAACAGCAGCGATTTATTAAATAAAAAATTTGTCGCGAGTATTTCAGTTTATACTGTATCTCTTTAAACTGGCGCTAGAAATCAAAGCAATGTATGCGGAAAATGTACTCTCATTTTACTTGGGTACTGCAACTGATAACTGATCTAAATTCAGAGTAGCGGGGTTGTTTCTATGTCGAGATACGCGACCAAAATCAGGACATTTGAGACAACCGTATTTTTTCTGTCTTCAATAAAATGTTGACAAATAAAATTTTACAAATTTTGATATCTCCAAAAAGTATGCCATAAATATTCATTTATTTCAAACTTATTTGATTAATTCTGCACATTTACTATTTCGTATTCTCAAATATGTTTTTAAGTTTTTCGTAAAAGTGAACTTAGTGGACTTAGAAAACGGCGATATGAATTGTTATTAAGATTTTATACTTCTCATCGTATTAGTAATTTTTGCTTTATTTAGAAAAAACATCGTAATTCACGTATTTTCAAAAATATTATAAATTTTATAGCATAATTTTTAGATAACATATTGTATTAAATGTTTCGAAGCATCAACGAAGCTTCCTACAAAAATATTTGATAGATATTTGGGAAAAATTTACATTCGTATATATTAGCTTTGATATTATTTTTATTACAAAATAAATATATACCATAAGATATAATAAATACAGCATGAAAATATTCAAAAATGTATTATTAGATACATGTTAGAGTCTGAATAGTTTAGACATTTTATTTAAAAATTTATTTTGATCAAATACTTTAGTTTAAAAAAAAATACGTGCATCATCAAATATGAAGGCTTAGCTAACGTTGTTTGCACTTTGAGTTTTACGGGGCGCGATCGATAGTGTTAGTCGCGCGAAGTAATCCTCGTGACTAGAGAAAGATTAAGGTGTCGTTAAGAGCATTACAACAGAGTGAACCTTATATGTTACAGCTCTTAAACATTCCCCGTCGAAGAGGAAAAGCATTTCGAAGCCAGCACGAGCACTGGATGGTGATTTCGACTCAACGGGTAAGTGTAATTCAATTTTTGCTTGCTGTATTTTTTAGAACAGAGTACTTGGTTTTATATCATTTGTTTGCAAAAATAGTATGAATGCAAGCTACTTTTTAAATATGTGCACATAGATGTTTGGTATTAAAATGGAACGTATCAAAGATTTTTAATTTTTTATTATTATTACCAGTGAATGCCCCACATAATATCTTAGAAATTTAACGTGTATATTTACTTTTATTATTTCATAATTTTCACGCGTGCTATTTGATTAGTTTAGTATAAAATATTTGATTGTGTAATTGTTATTTGTTTTTAAGATGAATACCAAAGCTTCGAGTAAAAGCGATATTTTTATAAATATTTACTGATATTTGATCGAAAAAAATTTAGTTTTTCATGGTGAACATTATTATGTTTTTAAATGTTTCATAGGTGATTCAAATTTTCCTTAAAAATTTCAATAAATATTTTCCAAAATGTTTGCTTAAGTCAAAATGATAGCTCTGGTGTACTTTCAAAAAAATTGCAGAGTTTTTAGGTCAAAATTAATTTAAAAAAATTGTTTAGGTAATTTTTTATTGTTAAAATATAATGCATAACCTAAGCCAATGAAAAGAAAAGTCTCAGAGCACCCGTAATTGGCGTTTGAATGAGAATCGATTCTGAGAAACATGTGCACTGAGACGTTCTTTTAGATTTTCTGTGAATCCCCAAGCAAAGACTAAAATATGTGTCTTAGAGCTGGGGTTGCACGAAAATAATTATTGTAAGGCACAGGTCAATGATAAATATTATACGCATAGTATTACTGGCGGTTATAAATTATTTAATATTATCGAATAAAATTTAATATGCGGTCCAAAACGAATTTATGTAAACATTATTTTTTAAGCGCAGCTTAGTTTGTCCTAGATTTATTACATGTCTTTGTGCTTAATAAGTGGCCTTATTGAAACCTTTGTGCAGTAAATATTCAAGCTTTGCATTTCCTATAATTAAACTTGACTTTGTGAATTTATCAGTTGAATTAAAATAGTTTAATATATAATTGATAAACACTTTATATGATGAAAAAAATACTTGATTAGAAAAAATACTGCAATCAGAACAAAGCATATATTTCGATCGCATAATCGCTTTAACTAATTCTTTCCAGCTAAATTGTTAAGATCACTCGGATATTTGAGTTTTCACCCAAGATTTGTTATAATCGCCGAGAATAATTCAAAACTTATTATAGTACAAATTTTAAGAATTCGACTCATCATCATGAATAAAAAAGAATGTTAATTTTTATATTATAATTTACTACTGACAACATTAAAACTATAAATTTCCTTATAGTTCTTTAAAATCTTGGACAGGATAGGTTCGATTTGCCCAGACTGCATGCATTTTTTTCGTGAAACAATTTTAAAGAAAATGTCGATAGGAGCAAAATTTGTAAATTTATTCACCATTTTAATCAAATTAATTTACTTTGTTTTTAAGCATATTGACCATTAGACTGGAAAGGATTATATAGTATTGAAGCTACACGTTCATTATTTATTGACATAATTTTTTAATTATTATTAATTGAATGATGCAATGTAGCTTTTATTCTTCACTATATTTTGTTTGATTACAAAATAGTAAAATTATCACGGCCTGTGACATTTTTTCTCTTATAAGCCTTATGATTAGACCATCTAATTGTGACAGATAAAGATGCCGATTTTTCAAACTATGTTAAATTGAAAATTACATCGAAAATGAATGCAATAAACTTTAATGAAGCAGTTAAAAATGTCCAAAGACATAAGTTAAAAAATCAGCACATAACGTGTTACGATCGGTCGGTCTAATAGCAAAAGCTTATTAATACAAATGTTTAGTTTTGGCAAGTTTTAGCTTTGCAAATCTAACAATCCTACACGCAGGTTTTAAAATACTTATTTTGTACGAAAGTTTTCCAAATGTTGTTTAAAATTTGCAAACGAGCACTTGATATTTTTGGCATAATTTTTCTGTGCGAAAATTGATACTTGCTGCGTAAATGAATATTCAATTGTATGAATACTTTCTCTGCATAAAACTGTCAAGTACAAGTTTAAAATTGTGCCCTAATAAAAAATGGTAAAGAATATCAGTCTTACGTTATAACTGAACGCAAAGCAGTAAATCCAAAGTATCAGTCTATCGCTAAAAAGTTGTGCATTATTGTCACGTATACACGTGCATCTCTGGACCTGATGCGTATCTACCTAGGAGTGACTGCAGCGGTCGCTACGACGACAACGGCGATCACCGGCAGCGGTTCAAGCGTGCCAGGGCCGATTGCCACGTCGACGCCGGTGAGCCTGGCCGCGGGACCGGTGAGTCCGCCACCCCTGCAGAGCAAGCACTCGGACGATCGCTGCCAGCCAGCGTCGAACGCCCCTAGTAGTGCCTCTCGACAACAGTACCCGGCGGTGCTGAAGGGCAGCGGCGGCATCAGGACTAGCGGGGCTGCGCCGCCCAACCCCAACATCGTGCCGTCGAGCAAGGTGCCGCCTCCCGTGCCGCCCCGTGGAAGCGCCGCCAAATCCTCCGGATCGTCCTCGTCTGCTCGAGGTGATGATGATGATGATGATGAGCGCTTCTCGCCTTCGGCCATTTCGTGTTCCACCCTCCCGACTCGCCGCGCCGCAACCGCCGTTACTAGCCACAGACGGAGCACACAATACGTGCAATACGACACCGTCCTCGCACCCGCCGAAGATATAACCGACGAATTCGTTCAAGTAGCAAACGTAAACGGAACTTACATGATTCGTACGAGCCCCCACCCGTTTCGGCCGGAACGCGGCCGCCGTCTGGCCGAGCCACCACCCGCCACCATGTGTACGACTCCCAATCGTCAGCCGTCCGATTATTACACACCGTCTATTAACATGCCCAAATTCACGTATTTTATCAATCCCTCCGCTAATCAAGAACTTATGAATTGGAAAATGTCGCGTAAAGACAAAAAGTTCAGCGAAACTTACTCGGAACGCATAAGGCGGCAAAAACAGTTGCGCGAGAATCAGCAACAAGTCGCGTCGACGGAAAACGCCGTAAACTCCGAGTCAGCTCCGCGAACGAAGGCGCAACCGAACAACCCCGGTAAACGGCCGCGCAACTTGCTCGAACTCGTACACATAAACTACAAGCGCAAAAAACATCTGCCTAGTTTTGCCGCGTTGAAACGGCAGATCGAGGAGCGACTGACCTGTTACAATCTCCGGTTATCGGGAGAAAACGCCCTTTCGGAGTCCCGAGACGCTAACTTGGACGAGGAGGCTATTCAACGGGCCAAAACTCAGCGCATGTTTCTTGGCCACGCGTATCCCGAGTGGTCGGGCACCAAGCGATTATTTCGCAGCCTCGGTGGCTCGGAGCCGAATATCAAGCGCACCTCCAAGGACTCGTGGTCGACCGAAGATCCGACCGCCCAGACAAATTTACCCGACGAACGATGTGCTCCGTCGCGAAACTCGTCGTTCTTGCATGGCTACACTAAAGCCAAATGATACCCAGCTCTCCGGATGCGAGACACGCTTCCGTTTGCGAGTTTGCTACTCATAATTTTTATGGCCGCTGCTGTTGCTATTTTTACGATCTTTCATTCTATTGATTCGAGAACGATCTGGATGGACCAATAATTGTTTACTGCATGCCAACTATTGTTTATTGTTTAATTATATTTAAAACATTATATATAGTGCGTGCGTGTGTGTGTGTTTACGTTATCAGCCATGATAAATCATTATTATTTATTACGTTTATTATGTTTTCAAATTTTTATAATTCGCTTGAATTTTAATTTTAATTATTCAAGAGAATTATACAACTATATGTTTGTTTGATTTTGTAATGTTGATTTGTGCTCACAACGAGAAATAGCTTTTTAGCGACGATATTTATTATTTCTTCAACATAACAACCGTTTCTCTATTGTTTTCATTAAATAACTATATGTCTGTTATAATATGTGCGACATAAAATTTTTACGATTTTCAGAAGCTAAAGCCAGTGTTGATATAAAACTTTATCCTGTTTTGATACTAGATATTTTATTCAAATAAATTATTTGTGATTATAAAAAGTTTTTCACTGGCTTCGGCATTCTCCGGGTATAAATTTATGTAATTATATTGATGTTAAATTAAAATCGTCAGTTTGCTAAGTACTTAAGTTTGATTTCTAAGACGTCAATGTCATCAACGTTTATGTTATTAACGTTATAGTTAAAAATTACCAAAAAGTAAATACGTTGAAAGTCGTTTCGATTTAAGATATAAAAATGACGTAATTTTCGTAATAACATTTTTTTTAATCCATTAAATAATCTTACTAATTTTCATAAGTATTAAGAACTTTTATGCACCTCTAAATCTATATTTTTATTCATTTCTGAATGCAAACTATTTTTCTTATTCTATGATACCTTTCATGATTGAGTTTTATTCATAGATGCAGCTAATCATATGACCTATTTTCATAAATTTTGAGATAAAATGTTTTTTTAATAGTATATCTTTCTCTGTGGTAACTGTGGTAACCGTGTAAGGCCTTCAATACGTTCAAAACTTGAACTACGTCATAGAGCTACTTATTACTTTTATAATCTTGCTAAAAAAAATTTTTTTAATTTTTAAATTTCGAATGCCTGTAGGATGTTATTTCAAGCGTTAACTTTAAATTGTTTCTACTCTATGTGTTCCTGTTATTAAAATTTAAATGAGTTTCCCTTTCTACATTAATTTCATCTCGATAATCAATTTTTTTTTAGAAAAGATTGTTGCTACCAGTATTATTTTTTGCCCTAATAACATCCTAATTGTTTTACTCCATTCTTCAAACGCGAAACCGTAATTTGAATATATATTTTTATTAACTTTTCATTCTCCACTGGCCAATGAATGGTATTATTAATTTTTACTACCTTCAATCAGAAGTAGTGCATTAAAAAAACATTCAGAACAAGGACTGTTCAATTTTTTAACAAAAATATGAGTAATCAAAAAAGTTTAAAGTCATCGGTTAAAATAGTGTTTTATAGTTGTAAACCTAATTGAGGTGCGTAAATTCTCTTAATTAACTTAACCTATAAATTGAGATTTAAATCGACTTTAAATTATTAAAATAATTTTTTACTATAATTTTTTTTTAGATTTAAATTAAGCAAAATAAATTTGTTACTGTTTCAATCTGATAGGCGAGCAATTTGCTTAGGACCTAAAATTTTATTGTGCCTTAAGTAGCAAAATACAAAATTTTCATATTCAAATAAAAAAATGAATTGAAATATAAATTTTTAACATTTATTTCGTAAATGTTTCCAGTTTTATTAAGTTTGAAAATTCTTGATAGAATATTTTTTAAAAGTATACAAATCAAATTGTAATTTATAATAATGCGTAGTGCTAAAATGGCTCCGTCAAACAACCGGTCCTTTGCTGTTGCTAGCTGCCTCGCATAAGCTCGTGTCAATTCATGTAGTATTGTCATTTCATTAACGAACGAGATTCATCATAGTTGTAAGAATTTTCCGTTCAGTTGAGTTTACTTGATTTCATCAAAAAATAGGTTATTGTATCATATATCATTAATACTGACTCGGTCGACACGGCGCTGATACGCCTTTTGATGTAGAGAAGAGTCATCGCGAAATTTTTTGAGTGAATCGTTCTTGAAAATTTATTCATTTTCTCACGATTCATTATTTATTTAAATCGAGCTCTTAAATTACTTTTACAGACGCAAAGTAGCCCATTTTCAATCATCGATGTCACTCATTAACTTTATTCAACGTTGATTTTATTTTCAGGTAACCCATCTGAATATAAAATTTTTTAAAGCATGTTTTCATATACATAGTTTCTACTTAGCAGCAATCTATATATTTTCAAGTGAATTTTATTTACGATAAAGACTAACACTTTTATTTTTAAAAGTATGACGCAACTTTACTTTCAAAGAACCAAACAAAATTTACTATAGTTTAATTTTCATAGGAGTATATTTACGTTAATCTCTAATTTCTTCGTTATTCTCATGCCTGAAAACTTACTGTTTTATCAAAGAATGTATTTATATAAGTTAGTCTTGATAGCATGCGCTTATTAATTACGTTTCTGTTAACTTTTTCAGGTACTTATTATTTAATATTAGCCAATGAAAATTTATATGATATATGAAACCTTCAAAATGTTATCGAACATAATATCAAATCATCTAATAAATTTTAAATATTTTTATATATAAATTAAACCTTGAAAGGTTCATAAAATAAGATGTGCTTAAATTATTCTTTTGTGTCTATATTGGAATGGAAAAACGATTTTCGGTATCGAATTCAATACACTTCACTTTTTTTTCGATTTTTTAATCATGAAGTTTTGCATACAATACAATAATATTGAATAATAAATGTTATAGGTTTTTCGATCGAAATTTTTGTCGAAAAAATGATGAATTTTTGATTGTGTAAAGTTGGATCGCATCATTAATTGAAAATGGGCAAAAAAGCGGTCTTCACTGTTTTCTCATACTTACAGTCTCTCTATCTCTTTCTACTATGTAGCAAGTTTCATCATAAGTCGATTATTGTTTACTTAGATGTAGTTTAGATGCTCGAAACAGCACCATTTCCTAGCTTCTAGTTTTTGTAAGATTGAGAAAAAGATGAGAATTTTTTTGAATATTACCAAAACAATTCATTAACAATAACAAGCAGCCAAAACACGCTAACTGTAGTTTGCGCATTTTCCGTAGGTGGCACCCTTCCCTCTACCTGTTCCACGCCTCCCCCGCCTTTTGATGATGCTGTGCGGTCGAACGATCAAACTCTGGCTTCCGGTGGCCATTATCCACATCATCAGCACCATGGACCGACTAGCCCATCCATACTGACGAGTAGTTTGGCTGGCTCTCATGTCGGTCGCAACAAAGTTGTTCACCATGTGACTATGGCAAAAACATATCACGACAGTGTAAGGTACGCATAAAAAGAGTAGAAGAAGAGGGGTTTTCAGAGTCATTGAATTAATTCAACTTTATTCAATGCAGCATATCAGACGTGCATCTTGAAAGCAGTTGCAGCAATAGTAGTGGCGGTGGTAGTGGTAGCGGAGATGGACGCCGCACAAAATCCTCGCTGAGCGTTGAAAGCAGTAGTAGTCGGGGTGGATGTGTTACGTGGACACCACCCGTGGGTAGTGCAGAAGGATCGACACCTACCTGGACTGAAGGCACTCCATCGTTCACTGAAAGCTCGAGCAGCGGTGATATTGGTAAGCTACTCGGCGAATTGAATCTTCAATAATTTACTGTTTAATGATTTGGTTTATAAGAAAGGCTCATCCTTAGCGGAATAAAAGAAAACGGTCAATCATAATTTTTCAATCGCTTGGGATTAGGGAGGAATTTGAGAAACAAGCAGAACGAAACGAAATAAATGCGAAATTTTACTATTTTCTTTAAAATAAGAATATCCAAAGTTTTATCACCCCAATTCATTTGAAATTTACTTATGGCTTGTACCTGCGAAAATTATGAACGTGTATTTTTCAATTTTGTAGGCATTGTTGAATGCCTTCAGAATGAAATGAAATGTTTTTACTAATAGATATATTATACTTTTTAAGTAAAATTTAAAAAAATTTAATTTTTAGGTTGTCCTACAACTCCCATTAGAACAGATCAACAAACGCCTAACGGTAGTCGGATAGCAGCGTCAGTAGAAGAAGCATTAACTAATTTAACAACTGAAGTGGTAAGTGTATCTCGTATTATGATGTCATATAAAACGTACAGTACTTGAATAAAATATAATGAAACGATCTTACCGATAATTTTTTGTTTCATACCCATTGCATATGTGTGATACTAATGGTTTACTATAGACATCGGTTTATTACTATAAAATAAATTAAATTATTTAAGTGCATCAATTCGTAATCAAATTCTACGATACATATTCCATTTGAGCTTCTCTATACACATCTACTTGTGACAAAATTACAAAATTGCTTCTGGATTGTTAGCCAAAAACGTAGCAATTCTCATAACGTTCATACATTCTGCAAGTGTCCTGATAGTATATTACTGCCCTAGGCCGCGAAAAACAGAAAAGTCCCAGAGTACGTGTTAATAGTGGCTGAGGCGAAGCCAAGGCTGATAAACACGTGCTCTGGGGCTTTCTTTTTTCGCGGCATAGGCTTGTATACTATTTTTCATACACGGTGGCCCGAAAATCGCTCATCCCGCTTTGCGCAGCGGCACGGAAGCAGTCACTTTCGGGCCGCTGGTATGAAAACTCTAATTAACTATAACTAATTTGAGTAATCATTCTTAACCACATTTCCTGTGTCGTTTCACGGCGTTATTTCTCAATTTTTCCAATGAACCATTGCCATATTGATTAACTGAAAAAACTCTGAAGCAATTTGAAATTATTGATTGAAAAAAGTATCCTATAATAGACAAAAAATAGAACTGGGATTATTATTGAAAGCATAAGTTAGATAATGGGTTACTTAAATATAATTTACTGTAAAAGTACAACCTTTAATTTACGTAAACGTATATGTTTATAATCAATAACTTTTTTTTTACCATAGAGTTCATTATTATGAATATATAATCTTTAAAAGAAAATTGTTTTGTGTTTAAAATCAAACCCTGTGATTTACAATTAGTATTGCACGTTTTTCAGGCAGTTTGGAAAGAACAGATCGATAAAAAAAATGAACAATAAATGTTCGTCTAACTGGTGATCTTTGTGATCGTAAAGGTTGTAATTTTACTTTTCTTTGAGTAGATTGATATTAGAGAATTTATGTCAAAATATTTAGCTATTCGTTTCTATTTTGTTTTAAACTCTTATTAGCTTTTATAAGTATTCAAATGGTTTTATTTCATTTGTTTTTTTTTATTTATTCAACAAAAATGTAGATGTTTTGTATGTAGTTTGAAAAATTAATAATGAATCAGGCGTCTTATAAAATGCGAGCTTGAAAATCATTCTAGTTTATCCAAGTAGTCTATACTACAATCGTACTATCATCATTAGAAGTTTACAATATCAAAAGAACTTTTTACACATACTTTTCGTGTTTCGAATATTTACTCTGAGTAAATATTATGTAATATACCTTTTAATAATTGTTAAAATAAAATATATACATAAGATTATCCCTTTGTAAAAATCGTTAATTTAATGAAATTATATTGGAGCGCTTTTATCGAAAAAAATTAAAACATTTCAACACCGCGTGTAAAAGTAAAATTTTTTCGATCATTAGTTGATAAGTTTAATTTATAACGAAATAATAAAAATAAAGAACGATCCTAAAATGTTTTCCGTCTGCATCAGAAGGTTATAAATAAATGATAACTTCAGTTTCATAAAAGTGAAAAAATTGTTCAAGAATTATGAGTCCAAAAAACGTATTATTAAAGAGACCTTAAAAATAAAAGTAAATTAATTTAACTGCTACTATTAATAAATATAGCAGTACTTCTATTTGTGATAGTCTTACATTACTATTACTACTATTAAAAAAAATAAATTACAATCGATTCATTCTAATAAAATTAAAAATTTTGGAAATCTATCTCACGTATTCTGAAATAAAGAAGTTCAATCTAAAAAAAGAATTATTTTGTGCACTGATAATATCAACCTTTTTTCGCGAAAACTGCATTCATTAAACGATAGAAAGTATATATTTTATAAAGATCAACTAGAATGACTTCTCAGATTTCAATGTAAATAAATTATTTTTTAATGTAGTATCATACTTATTCTAAAATAATTAAATATATCCATTATGAAGTTAAGTTGAATTTTTTTCATATTCAATTTTAATTTATTATTATGTTATTAGACAGTCACTTGTAGTAAAAATGTTATTACATTGTTAAATTAGATTATTGGTTTTATTGTTTTATTTTCTTTGTAAGTAGATGTTATAAAAATTAAATTTGATTGATCGAACCAATTTTTCCTCAATTAGGAAATTCTTCATCGACAATGAATGCAGATCTGCCCTATCTGACACAAAAGCGACTAACAATATATCTAACAACCATCTCAAAGAACAAGATGATCAAAGATACAGAGAAATAAAAAATTTGATTTCCGCTTGTTTCTTGGTTAACTAATTGTAGTAGTGAACGAATGCGAACATTTTTATTATGAAGCATTTTTATAGTATACATGAATCTTTCAGATAAAGCAAAGTAAAATGAAAAATGATTAACATTGATATCGTCTTTAAAACGTAACGATTAATATAATGGATAGTCATTTTATCAAATATCCTTTGAATAGTAACACAAGTACATAAAAAGAATCCTGTTATTAGATCACAATAGCATACGTATTTTAAGTGGCTGAATTCAACTTTCATTCAATTCATTATTTGGATACCGAAAATTTAAAAAATGATTACATTCATATTGGAGCATTAATAGATTAATTATAGACTAAACCATTAACTCGTATAAAGTGATCATAATTATGTCTTGAAATATTGAATATAAGTGGAGCGAGCTTTGAATTATAATTCAGCAACTAGAAGAACTTTTAGGTATGCTGTTGTGAGTCTCCGACATATTTTTTGTGACTATGAAAGCTAATATGCACTCGTTACTAAACCAGCAACGTAAAATAAATTGCAAAGAAAATGAAGTTTCTTTATTGTTATTTGTAATAATTTTATTGTTAGAGGAGACTAGGTCCAATTGACATTGGAGGTATGTTAGCAAAACGTCATATTTCTCTAATATCGATTACTTGAATCGAGATGCTGCTATCACAAGTTTGAATACTAGATAGTATAAGGGTTTATAGTGATAGTGTCATCTCGATTCAAGTTATCGATATTAGAGAAAAAAGCCGTTTTGCTAACTTACCTCCCATGCTAACTGGTCCCTCTCTCCCCTACTGCTTGTTGGAAATGAATAATATTTTTAATTCGTTCAAACCGATAGAATCATTTCAAAATTTTGAAAAACATGGATTTCATAATAGCTATAAGTATTTTAAATTAAAGTGTCCTTTTTAATAACTTATTAATCTTAGAGTTTGTATATTGATCAATAAACTTGAATTTATTGAGTGTTCATTTTGAAAAATGTGGCCTACTCCATGATAACTGCTCAAATAAACTAAATTTGGTAGAAATTGAAGAGAAATTTAATTAAATAAAAAATATTAATTGTAGCTGAACGTCAAATATTATTACATCAGTGACGAATGATAATGACAACTACAACATTAATAATAATGGCTGAACTTGTGAATAGAAACCCAAAGCACTTGCAGAATTGCCAAAAAGTTTAATTATTGTTAGTATTTAATATTTTTATATGAGTGATGGCTTACAAAAGTTTTGGTATAACAGACATTGAAAGAGATTAATAGTTATTGAGATTTATTGAAACTATTGAAAGCTATCTATACTGATTTTAAAACGGCTTTCATTGGAAATAAACTTTCCCTCCATAATTATTCATTTACTAACCGTTTAACAAACACTTTTTTCTTTGAACTGTTATTTACACCTCAAATGTAAATGGGGTATGATATAATATTTCAGGTAGCAATGAATACTTGAGCTTCATATAAATATCGGAATTATTATAAAAGTAAGCTTGTAATATACGTATGTATAGTATACACTCTATAAACTTAATGGTTAAAAACGTTTCAATTTGCTGAAGTACATAAAATTTTAAATCAACAGTGACGATCAAAGAATAAATGAAAAATTTTGGTCGCAAACGAATGTATACACTGAAACAATTAGCGCTGGGTGGATTTTTCAGTGAAAAACCACTGTAAACTAATTTCTTTATGAAAAATTTCTATAAAAGTGGACGAAAAACTTTTGTAGTAACTATTATTTTAATTTAGTGACAAATTTTTGAAGTACAAAATGTCCCTTTCAAAGCATGCTTTTAAAAGTGAAGAAATAAAAGTCGCTTTAACGATTTTCAGTATAAACTATGCATACATGAAGACTAAATTTGTGTCTTAAAATCAGTCTACCTGTCGTTGCATAATTAAATTACAAATTCAATTATTATCAGCATATCTACGTGTACATTTGCATAACTTTAAGCTCTTATTACTCGAAATGCAACATGAGCCCGTATTCAAATATTTAACTGGGATTATTTTAAAATGAAAAACTATCATGTTCTGTCATAAAATAATATTGTATAAGAAGTAAATATTTTCATCGGCTTTTGAATGTTCAGAAAAATTAAATGAAATAATTGTTGTAAAATAATGAAAACCACATCCTATTCGAAACTGTATAATTGCTAAAAAAAATCCGAGTTATATGTAATATACTCAAATTAAAACTCCCTCTTATATACTACTAAAAAAGCTTTCTAGCTCAATCATATATAAATAAAAAATTAAATTATTTTTTCGTGTGAATTTTACCATAGTGGCAATAAATAATAGACTGTAACTAAAGCAACTTTAGGGCATTTGAAATTTTGTAATAAGTTGTAACATTTGAATGATTAAACCGACAAGTTCGAGTTGGAAAATTTTTTCTTAAGTGTTGTTAATCATAACATTGTCTATCTACAAAGGGTTTTATGAATTTTAGAGAACTTTTTTTAAATTTTTCATTTGAATAAATTATAGAAAACTATAGATTTAAAAAAGAATAAACTTTCATTTCGTTTGAAATTAAATTTTTAATTGGAAAAATTAACGATCCACTATCCGTTAATTTTCGAATGATAAAAATATTTCTTTACCAGAATCTTGTTTATACATCTTATGTAATCTTAAATAGTTTTGAATTAAATCAGATTGTTTTTGATAATCACATATTATGTAAATTATAACGGTTGAAAATTTTTAATCCTTCGAGAACTGGCATTCGAGGAATTTCAAAAATTAATTTTTTCTATAGAAAAGTCATCTGAGGCATATCTACCTCGAAACAATAGCATCGGTGGGAAAAATGTGCAGCTTTTTCACTTTTTCGACTGCTTACCACCGAGTTATATGCTTACGACTATGCTATCAGCATATTGACGAAACTGTTTATTTAGCAACGCGCTACCGGGTCTCTTGATGTTCCCTAGTGACAATGGCAGAGTCGTAGACATAGTGCGTAATGATGTTCAGACGAAGAAGTGAAAATATTGTCAATTTTTACTTCCACTAGTATTGTCTCGAGGCGAGTAACAATGACCTTATGACATATGAAGTATCTAGATCCGGCATGATCAAGATGCACATACAATTAAAAAATTTTAAGACTATATTGCTCCCATATTTTTTTATAATTAAAAATTTGGTAGAGGTTTTTGAGGTTTATAATTATAAAATCAAATTACGACGGTTTTTCATGTCAAAAGACGGAATCCAGTCTTCAAAGGTTTAACAAAATTTTCCATATGAACTTGTGGGATTAATTCAAGACTGATTTATTTTAAAATTAAGTTGAATATACTATAGGATTTAAAAGTATATCCTGATATTCTCAAACCAAAATGTTGGTCATTCATTATTATTTCCCAACGATATTGAATCATCAACGACTGATTTTAAATCTAAAAAGAATCATAAAATATTTTTCTCGCATTTAATTCATTTATTTAACATACAAATTCACAAGAAGATCCGATATCTAGAACTTCGATTTTTTCCAAAACAATTTTTGGGTCCTATACTCTAAAAGCCTCGTATTTTTTCCTTGTTTTCATGGACTTAAGATGTACACGATATATAGTAGATGCTAAATGCGCACTGCACATTTTTAAAGAATGGATAGGAACATAGGTAGAATTTTTATAGATTTCTAAAAAAAATATTTAAAACTTGTATAGCTTCCTAATTTAAAAATCATAATTTTGACATTATTTTGAGGCTCTTGTGATGTAAAGTTATATTATTTATCGATTTTGATGATTGATAATTGATTTGATTTAGCAGCACTCTTTGTTGGGTAATATTTTTTTTAAAATGCATGTTTTTTCGGAATCGGTCCTTGGGTCTTTAAAAGTTTAAAAGATACAAGTCTTTTTTCGATGCATTGGGTCCCTAAAAATCTTGTGGAAAAAAATTAATGATCTGGATCTCAAGTGATCTAATTGACGGATAAAAATTTTTCTTTAGTGGACGTTTGTAAAATTAATCAATAAAATTGTTACATAAATATTGTTTGTTGTTACCCACAAAGTCTTTAAAATTATTATATTATTGAACGAAACATCTTTATATTAAATACAAAAGTCAAGTTCATCAAAATTGATTGTACTGTGAATTGTAAATCTTCGAAGTATTTTAATATTCTTATGTTAAAATAAAATTATAATTTACATTGTGGTATGAAAATATTGTACTGCAGAATTAAATTAAAGAGCCAACATTATAAAATTTACTTCGTATTAGTTGAATTACGTTGAAGTTTGGCTTTAGCAAAAAATATTATACAGACTCATTTACTTAACAATTAGTGATTTTTACTATTGTTCATTGAAATGTACAAAAATTGTATAAAATCTTTTTTGTCATCTCGTAATAGAATAACTATTATGATGTCTTTGCACTACAATAAAAGCGTGTGAAACCGCTTCAAGAGCGATGTTACTAAAAATAAATACATGAAAAGTAAATTTTATTAATTTTGAATGCCACCTTGATTATACTAATTATCACAAAACTCATTTTTTGCACTAAGGAGCTTTATTTCTGTTACTTTTAGGCGGGGATATTTCATTCGTAAGGAAACCACGAGTTTTGGAACTCAGATTGATTTCAAAAATTGTTTATATCTTTTTACTAAATAAAAGGCCCATGCTTTTTTGATTCCACGCATCTCGAGGCTCATTTTCAACAACATTTCTTATTGATGTGAAACTTTTTATGGATTTTTTGGTAGGATAGTGAATCAATGAAGAACAACCGCGCTAACGTACGTTTTTAGCGTCAGGGGCGCTTATTCGCTCCATGCGTTGCAATTTCCGAGTAACCTATATTACGTATCACAGCATAAGCGAGTGAGTAAACTCTTAATACTGCCGTACGCCGACCAATTACAACGCGTCAAAAAAATAGACGCCCCTAATGATAAAACCCTACGATTATCGCACTCGTCCGATCGCTCGTTTTTCAATGATTCACTATTCTATTCAAGGAACCATAAAAAGTTTCATGTTAAAAGATCATTTTTGAAAGTGAGATAAAAACAGCAAGAAGGGTCTTATTTTTTAGTAAAAAAACTAAGAAAATTTGAGGCCAATTTGAGTTCAAAAACTCGTGTGATCTCCTTTTAAATATTTTTTTTTATAACTAAACGATATTTTATGTTGAAAATTAGTTTGTGAATTAATTATCTTTTCATGATCCTTCGAATAACCAAATATTTTTTTTATTATGTATCACAATATTTAACCATTTTATGTTTCAAATATTTTTTTTATATTAATAATTCACTATAACTTTATGAAGGAGATCAAAGTTTCAAATACTTTGAGAAGTTCATTTCCATTAAGCGCAATAAATTGAGGGGATATCAAAGCTGAATTTGTATTGATCGCATATAAAAGTTTAAGCAATGTATAAAAATTCAATGAATTGGAAGCGCTCACGTAGCTTTTCAAAAAAATATTTAAACTTTGATGTCTTCTAAAGAAAATTATAAGAAATTTCAAAGTATTTTTAAAATTAACTTTTCTGTAGATAACCTATAATCACTGCAATTATTTTTTTGAATCATAAATAAAAAAAATTCTAAAAAACCAAAGTCACCTGCTTTATTGATTAAAAAAAACTTTTTGGTAGTAGTTCTTTTATTAAATTAATATTTTACTTCAAAGCAATTTTTTTGTTATTTTTTTAATATATTAAAATTTTAAACTGTTACATTTGAAAATTTTCAAATAAAAAATGTTTAACAACTTTCACAACTTACAACTTACATAAAGGTTATCAGCTCTAGTTATGTTGCACTGATGAAGATATTTTATGACTGAAAGTTGCTTTGGTTGTAATTAAAATCTTTACAAAACAATTCAGTAGTCACGAACACTAAGATCTCGAGTTGGTGTGTACAAATTATCTTTTATACATCGAGATTGTTAAACACGTTTTATTTAAAAATCCAAAAAAAAATGATTGGAAATTTGAACTACTATATTAGGTAAAAAAATCGACAATAAAAACAATTCGATCTATTTGAAAAATACATCAGGAGGTTTGTTGTAGCATTAAGCAAATTTACTGACGTTTTTTTTGCTTTGTAATTTATGTAGCTCATTATAAAATAGTGAATGCAGTTAAAGCACAGCAGTGATTATAGTTTACAGAATTTTTCTTCTAAATTATTCAACGTAAAATAAGATTAAATGACTAAATCATAACTCATCAAAAAATTTATTTAAAACTGAACAATTTTACATTCCAATTTTGTTTATTTTTAATTCTCGTATTTTTTCATATTATTTTCGTTAAAATTTTTCGTTTTAATTAAGTATTACAATATCTTTAGAGTAGCATAAAATATAAAATTTCTTCAAAAACTAATAAATAATATGGCAAATTCAGAGACGAAGAAGCTCGATCTTCAGGCGATTGAGCTCCTTTAGGAGGTCGTGGACTAAAAGGAAAAATAATGGCAACGCCAATGTGACCATCGAAACAGCAGTTCCATTATCGCCCAGTTCCGAAAGAACCGCCCAATGAACAGTACCTATATAAATTTGACATCTATCAAAGAAGCAGAAAACTACTTAAATTTTCTATTCCTTTAAAATAGAAATAAATAATATGTAAATAGTAATTTCTATCTATGAACTATTTATGAAAAAATTTGTTATTCTTGTACTGTTTTAACTTTTTACTGATGAGATTTGAGGTATCAATTCTAAAACAGATGTATTTTCAATGTACATGACTCTATTTGATATCTATGTTTATTACTTTTAATTTTATTTCATTCTGGCGTTTTAAAGTTACTTGATTTGAGTCAATTAACAATAAAATAACATTTATTAACTATTGAAAAATAAAATCTATTCAAGCTTCACTATAAGATAACATTAGTGATAAATAAGTGTTTTTGGAGAGTTAATTATTCTTCAAATTTTATTATTAGTAATAATTTCATGTTTTATATTCTAGATATCTAAAATAAATAAATATGAATTTTTTATAAGTATAAAAGAAGCATTTTTATCAGAATATTGTATGATTTTACCGTATTTAATGTATGTGATAAAAAGAATTCTATATTTATCAAGGCATATTTTGTTATTGTAAAATCTATTTTAAAATTAAAACGAAATTTTTTACATCTACTTATAATAAACTGAAATTATACTCAATTACTCATTTACTACTTTTTAATTTCTCAATAATTTCACATGAGCATCAATAAGTACATCTTTACCAGTGACTGACCAATAATGCAGCGCCTGTGCGCTCTCAATGTATATTTTTTCAAGAAGTAGAATTTTCGGTCTTTCAATATATGAAATTACGATTCTTGTTATGCGTGTGTCTGAAATTTACTTTGTGTACAATTTCGAGGTCTAAATTGAGAAAAAAGCTTAAAAATGAAATAATTCGGACATTTTGTGCCTGGGTAATTAGCGCGCGAATTGCTTATTGCAGGCGTGAGCTCGAAGCAATAGATCTTCATGTTACTAGACAATTAGCTATAGTTGAAGTCATTAAAAAGACAAAGGACTTTTCCAAAGGTAAATGTACTCATGAACCGGTGAATATTAGAAATTGCGAGGGGAAATGAGAGAGTATGCAGATTTCTGAACTCACCATTTTATAATGAATCGTGCACTTACCCCCAAGTATTCATCTCTTGCGGTCGAGTGCTTTTAGACATATCGTTTTTCGAGCGTTACCTCTTGTTTTTGATCTTGGTCATTTGCTAGACAGGCGCTCAAGTGGTATTTTTCAAAGGTTCCACAAAAGTTATAGAATTAGATAGTTGTATGAGCTAGGATCAATCAGAGGTCTCAAAGTTCCTGTTACCCACGCAAGGCCACGTGGCAAATGGCCGCCAATATATTGACGGCGTAGGATACAGTCGATTTTAACACACTCTCTTATGAAGAGTAGGTATAAAATACCCGTGGTCACCACTGTAACTTTTGCCCTCCCATAATATTTAGCATTAAAGCGGTGACGCTCTCATTCATACATCTAGTTTATACAAGCTAGTAATAACCTAATAAAAAATTGACTTCAAGTTGTAAAATAAACTGATTAGTTACTATAAAAAATAATCATTTTTGAAGTCTAAACATATTTCTTAATGTACCTTTAAGAACCGAAAAATACAAATGTTGCTACTACCAGGATATGATGGGCGCAGAACTCACTTTCAAATGGTGAGATTCGTGCTGAAATCTCTGTTATAATTTTCGAAAGTAGTTTGTGAATGTAATTTTTGTTCAGATTCAACTTCTTCAAAAACTTTGATCGGGAAAAAATATAAATTTGTCCAAAAATATTACCTTTCATAAAAGTAAAATCTGAACGGATACTATTTTTTTCCGATTAAAGTTGGCGTGAAAAATTAATCTCAGCAAAAATTACTTTTAAAAAGTGGAATCTGCGCAAAAACTATTTTTGCATGAATCTTATTTATGAAACAGTAAATTTTAAGAGAAAATCATTTATATTCAGAGTCCTCGCACTTTCTGTAATGTCAGCGTAAATCTTACCTATCCAAAGTGAATTATGTGCAGATCCTACTTTTGTGTAGTAAAATTTTCACTTTTTGGTTCAGAGTATAAATATTTCAACAAACCTCTGAATCGTCAATACACGATTAAAATAATAAAATATTACCAAGTTTTAATTTTATTTATTTTTAAATGGAAACCCTTTTTTATCTTTCCAGACTCATCTCTAAATGTATATTACCCCAAACTTAAATGGAGATCTTTCTCATGAAATTCAATATCAGTTTTTAATGAAATTAATGGACCTCTTAAGTGGATATTAAAATTATACAGTTACTGTATGTGAGTCAAACAATTGTATCGTACGTTTATTTGTCTGCCAATTACTTTGGCAAAAGTCGATTGCAATGTTTTTTTTTGTTATTAAACCATCTGAGATTTTAGTTAATTAAGAAAGGATACTTTATTTGTGTAATGATGAGGAAAACTATTTCTATATATTACTAATTTATGACACATCAAAAATGTTTTTTTAAAAGTAATTATTTTTGTAAAAAAAATTGTTTTATTTACTAATATTTTTTATACAAAATACTCTTTACAATGTATTTAATAACATTTCATATGATGTTCACAAAAATATATCAGTTATGCAGTTCATACTTCAATAACATTCAAGTCAGTGAAATTATAATAAATTCTGATAATCTCAATGCCTATTACCTAGTGCTCTAGAGATTCTAGTCAAATAGTACCTTTGTTGAAAATTTCATGTGCTTTTTGATTACTGTATATGGTCATGATTTTAAATACAATAATTTTTTGCAATTATATTTATCTAAAACTCGAAGCGATATTTTACTGGAAAAGTCTGAAAGTAAGAAAAAGTCAAAGTTTTTATTATTAATCAATGTCAAACATTGAAATTCGTCAATAGTTATTTGAATAATATGTATATTTTTGATTATACATGCGAATTAAATGTATAAATATATTTTCAGGAGTTTTGTAATCCTTTTTCTCGAAACAATAAATGAATACATTAAATAGATATGTATAAGATGTATAAATACAAAAATGTTTTTATATGTACCATGTGGCTAGCATTTTATGCCCTGCGTGTTTCAATGCTATTAATTAATGATCTTTTATTCACGACTGTGCGAAAAATGCAAGACACATGCAGCGTAAAAATAACCATTAGTTCTCGAATAATGTACTAAAATTAATTTAGTTTGAACATTTTTTATCAATTTTTGTAAAGTATCTGTTATTGTAAAAATTAGGGCTGTGCGAGTACTCTAAAAAACTCGACTCGTCGAGTTCGAGTTTTTTCCTCGAGTTCAAGTCGAGTACTCGATTTTTTGAGTACTCGAGTTTTTTCGGGTACTTGCGTTTTTGTCGAGTACTCGAGTTTTTCCGTGTACTCGAGTTTTTTCGAGTAATCGAGTTTTTTCGAATACTCGCAATATATTTAAGTTTTAAGTAAATAAATGATGAATCAACAGTCTCTAGACCCCTGTCTTTGTGTGTACATGCTTATAAGTGTGATGAGGTGTGATACTATTAAATTATTTTCTTCTTCCAATTCTAGCCGTTGCGAATATCACACTTATAAGCATATACACACAAAGATAGGAGTCTAGAGACTGTTGATTCACCATTTATTTACTTAAAATTTAAATACATTGCGAGTACTCGAAAAAAATCGATTATTCGAAAAAATTCGAGTACCCGAAAAAACTCGAGTACTCGAAAAAAAATCGAGTATTCAAAAAAACTCGAGTACTCGAATTTTCCCGACTCGACTCGAACTCGACTCGAACTCGACTCGAACTCGACTCGAACTCGACTCGTCGAAAAAACTCGAAAAATCGGATACTCGCACAGCCCTAGTAAAAATTAACAAAAAATAGTTAGTACGACAAATGTCATTATTTATTTACTGTTTTAAGTAATAAATATGTAAATAATATTAAATAAATCTTCTCAATGCAAACTTATAACTTGAACCATCATTTTCCTTGATTAATATCCCAAGAATACTTTTTCATAAAATTGTCGCTCATAAATTAAGAGTTGTAAATAATATTTTTCTACTAGATATAGAACTCACGATTTTTGGAGGCTCATAGATATACTAATGTCAAGCTAATTTTGTATAATAATTTTGAAAAAATTTTTTCATCTTTTTATTACTTTTGATTTACATTGCGCAAACGACTCTTCAGAAAATTAATTGAATAAAAGCGAATGAATAATAAATAACTAATTATACTTAAATTTGAGTGCAAAGGGCTTACTAAGTTTTTTTAAATAGGCAAGTCCCTTGATCATTAACATAGAAATTCGAAATATTATAAGGCTAAAGTAGCGGCATTATAAACTCTTTACTAAATTTGTTTTTAAAAACATTTTGTAATTTATTTTCAAAAAATTATTTTTAAAATCATTATAAAATACTAGTATAATAAAACATTATTGCCACTAATTATTTTTCACCGAATTTATTTTTAAAATTGTCATTTTTTAAGGAAGGTCGAATTTTTTAAACGTTACAAGTTTAGCGCCATAGCAGACATAATATGCTCATGCTCCATTTTGCCGCTGCTACAGCGAGCACCACTAGCACGTGTCTCGAAACTCTCGTATTCCGGCATTCGGCACTCGACACCGATATTTCTGAAACACGTGTGTGAACAACCCTTGCGTTATAGAGCATAAAACAATTGTTATTGTTATTTTCAATCGAAAGCAATAAAGATGGGTAAAACAGGTCCTCGTCTTGGTAGCAGGGCGAAAGCAAAACGCTGGGCTAAAGGACAAAGCTCCAGCTCTAACCCCGAAACTAGAAAATTTCGTGATGCAGCACGGTCTAATTCGATAAACAATTTGTTTGTACAAACTCCAGGTAAAAGTCATAAAATATTCGTTTTATTATTGTATAATTTGGTTTGTATAATAATCATTTATTACGTTTCTTAACTATCTTCTTGTTTATTCACTTACTTTATTTAAGAGACAAAGAATTTTTTTATAAATAAACAAAGTTGTTCCTCTTGTAACAATCATGTTTAAATTATTTTCTAGGTACAAAACCATCCAATCTAACAGTAGACGCACTTCATAAACATGATTCTATCAATATGCAAGCCTCCTCTCGAAAAGATGATATGGATATGGAGGAGGATCAAAGTTGTGCAGATTCCTTCAAAACGTTTGGTACAATTGCTAGTGAAATAAGTAATTGCACAAACATGTCTTTTGATCATTTGCTAAATAACTTTCAACCAAACTCAGCTTTGCAAAAAGAAATGTTAGCTGTTCTAGCAGCAGTGACAGAAGTTATTAAAGAAAAATCTGGCTCAGAATCCAATACTGAATATTTTGCCGCACTTGTAAGAAATCTTTCCTTGTATTTTAAATTTTTTTTATCAGAAATAATTTATTATTGTAATAATATTAATTGTAGATGACTACTTTACAAGAAGCTGATACAGAAATGTCAATTTCTGCTATTTTGTCGCTGTTGGGAATGAATATGAAAAAAGTTTCTCCAAATGTATTGAGTTCTCAATTCAGTAAAGCTAGCTCAATATTTATAGAAATTCTTAAAGAATATGCATCGAAGGAAAATTTTCTCATTTTACGTCACGTAAGTAATTATTATATACCTTCTGCAAAACATAATTTCAATTTATAATTTCACTTATAATTTTAGTGTATTGGATGTATTTCTGTTCTACTGAGAAATCAAGATGCTTCTGCATGGAAAAATGCCTCTACAACACAAATAATGGATGGTCTTTTAGTATTTACTCTTCACTCTAAACCAAAAGTTAGAAAAGCTGCCCACCATGCTGTTTGTTCTATATTGAAAACCAGTAATATTATGAACTGTGATAACCCTCTTGAATTTCATCCAGCTGCACCACAAATAGCCAAACATTGCATTGCTCAGTTAGAAGTAGCTAATCAACCAGGACAAATTACCAGTACGTTACATATTTTAAGTCTTTTGAAAGACATAGCTCATCAACTTCCAAAATCACATGTAAAATCTCTATGTGAAGCGTTACTCAGTATAATGACACTCAAAAATGTTTTGATTACATCTTGCTGTCTTCAAACTCTTCATGGTTTATTTGTGTCACAACCAACTGAAGCGGTATTGCCATCTCAATTAAATGCACAAATAATTAATGCATTATATGATTATCAACCAGCTATTGGAGATACTCAACCAACTTTAGCATGGCTTGCAGTAATGCAAGAGGCACATTGTAATCTGTCAAGATGTTCAATTGAACTATGCGCAGCAAATGTTCCTCGCATGGTTGAAAAGTGCACTGAACTTTGGTTGTCAGATAAGATAGAAGTTATTGCTGGTGCTTCTCATACTTTGAAGACACTTATAGAAGTTTGTGTTGCTTCATTTGCCTGCAATGATCAGGAGTTATCTCAAAAATACAAACCTGTACTAATTAAAATTATTCAATTCATCAAAATTGGTATGAAATATCAATACCACTTGGCATGGAATCATGTACTTCACATTCTTGCTTCAGTTTTTAAAACTATTGGAAAAACTTGTGTAACTGAATTATCAGAAGTTTTAGTTCTTTTGGCAGATTTGCGAGACTCTCATAAATTTTCATATAATGCTGAAATTGAATATACAGTAGGGGCAGCTATTAAATCACTAGGCCCTGAAGTAGTGTTGAGCGCTATTCCACTACATAGTTCAAATGGTGAGGTAGACATACAGAGAAGTTGGTTACTTCCAGTATTGAAAGATTGTATTAGTTTCTCAACCTTAGGTTTCTTTATTCATCATCTAATGCCATTGGCAATTTCTTGTGAAAATAAATCCAAATTACTTCTTGAGAAAAAAGATTCAATTGGTGCACATAGCAATGATTTGTTAGTTTCTCAAATTTGGGCTCTTTTACCAAGTTTCTGTATTAATCCGTCAGATATTGCAGAAAACTTCAATGCTAATTTTGCTAAGTACTTGGGAACTATTATTTCTCGAAAGAAAGATTTAAGATATTCAGTAATGGCTGCATTAAGAAAATTAGTTCAAGGATCAATTCAAAGATCTGCTGGTAATGAAGATGATCCAGATCTGAAAGTAATGTCTTCATTTGCCAAAAATTATTTGCCTCTTTTATGTGACTTATACCAAGTGAATCTGAATGATTCAAATGAAGATGGGCAACGACTTGCTTGTTATGAAACACTCAAAACATATTTGCAAATTACTCCTCAAAAGGTAATTGATGATCTATTTGATAAAACTATGGACTATTTGATAAACGAAGCAGAAAAAAGTGACGAATTAAAAAAAAAAGATGAAGAAAATAAAAAGAAACTAGTAAAGATAGAAAGTATGTTTGACATAGCAAGGATTTTATGTCAGCATACTGATTTAAACAGAATTAACAAGCTATACTTATATTGTGTACCTTACTTGAAAAGTGAAAAAAATCAAAAAGAACAAAAGAAAGCTTACAGATTTTTGGAAGATTTATGTAGCAGTGATAGTAAAATTTGTCAAGAATATGTTAGAGATTACCGTAAAGAGATGCAATCTATCCTTTTAAAATCCTCATCTAGTGTTTTAAAACCTAGTAAAGGAGCACGCATACGATGCATAACTCATATTGTGGAAAAGCATCCAAAATTACAAAAGACCAAATTTTTGAAAGCTATTGTTCCAGAAGCAGTTGCTTGTTTGAAAGAATTGAATGAAAAGTGTCGCAATTCAGCTTTCAAACTCTTACAGGTCATAGGAGATAAATTTTTAGATAACCAAGAAAATTTTGAAGAGTACTTACAAATGTTGATAGCAGGCTTAGCAGGAACTCCCACTCATTGCAGTGCAACATTTTTAGCTTTGTCCTCTATGGTTCATTATTTTTCGGGTAAAAATTTATTCTTGATATTAAAAAAGTATCTGATTTTCACATTATTATAAATAAATGATTTTGTTCTAGGCTCTTTGGGTATTCAGAATGTAAGAACAATTTTACAACATGCCACTTCTTTAATTACTGGACCAACTCGTGAAATTGTGCAATCTGTGATGTCTTTCATAAAAGTTTATTTGGTATCATTTCCTTTACCATTTTTGGCTCCTACTATTGACTCTATAGTAAGTATATCTTTAAATTTCATGATTGCAGTCTGAATGATAATTACATACTAATTTAATGCATAAATTAACAGGTAAAAAGTTTTTCAAACATGACGGAGGATTGTCGACGTCATTACAGACAGCAAATTCGTGACATTATGGTGAAACTAATGAGAAAATTTGGAGCTGATGTAATAACTCAGATGGTTCCTACTAGTGATCTAATAATGCATAAAAGATTGAAAAATATGCGAAAGATAGAAGTCAGTAAACAAAGAAAAAGAGAAGAGCAAAGAGCTAATCAAAATGATGATAGCGATGAAGAATTTAATATTAAACGAAAACCAAAGAGGTATAAATCTTATTTGAAAAATTAAAACAATCATGGAATGTTTCAATTAAATTTAATTAATCATAATTTATTTTTAGTTTTGAAGAAATTTTAGCTGACAGTGATAACGATTACGAGGATTCTGATGATGACAAAAAATCAGCTAAAAGTTTAAAACGTAAATCAAAGAAACAAATTTACATTCAAGAGAGTGAAGATATGATAGTAGATTTCAATGATCCAACTGCAGCAAAAAATATATCAAGTAATTCTTAAATTTATACCAACTAAAAATTTTATAAATTTTATTTGTACAACAAAATTATAATTTATTCCATATTTTTAGCCGTCAAACCGGTATCTTCTAGTTCAACCAACAACCCAGAGAAACCTAAAGATGGTGGATTCAAAACAGCACCAGATGGTCGATTAATCATTGCGGACAGTGATAATGAGAGTGATGATGGACGTATATCAAAAAAGCAATCTAAAATTTTGGGCCTGGATTCTGACGCTTCTGACGATTACAAAGGTATTTTTGAAAACTGAATATACAAAAATGACTATTTCATTTTGTACACCATCTGTAATGTAGTTATCTTATTTATGTTTCAGATGAGGATGATGATAAGACTTTGAAATCATTTAAGACTCTAATTTCAAATAAATCCAAAAAGAATACTAATAGTAAGAAACGAAAACTTGATGATGGAGCAGAAAGTGTCGTTTCCAGCTCTTCAAAATATCAAGGTATAAATTAATTGAAATCATTCTATTAATAAGTATAATTCATAGAATAAATATCTAATAATTATTGATTTTACAGCTGGTGGTTCAGGTATTCATAGACCTGTGAAAGTAAGAAAGCAAGAAAAAATTCCTGGAGAGGAATACAAGCACAAAAAGGCATTTGGTGATGTTAAACTTAAAGGCAAACCAGAGCCATATGCCTATATTCCGATTAGACGAGCTGACTTGAATAGAAGGTAATATAATAAATAAATAATTGTTATTCATCTCCTTAATATTTTAAACTAATATTTTATATCAATTTTACAGGAAAAAAGGGAAAAAGTCAAATGCATTAAAAATGTTATCAAAAAGTAAGCAAAATAAGAACGCTCAAAAGAATTCTAGACGTCAATAAAATTGTTGATTGTGGATAATATAGTATAATTTCTAAAAGAGGATGATTTTTGTTAATATAAAGTAATACATTTTTAATCATTTATTAAACATTTTCACTTAAAATAATTAAAATTATATGTATAGAAATATATTCATTCAATGTGGAATTTTGTTAGGATATAAATAAAAAATTCAAAAATATTTAATTCTATTAATTTTTAATAAAACCTGTGTATTGTAGAACTTTTTTATCAAATTTTGTAATTGTTTCAAGAAGACATTAGTTTTGTTTTTTTGGTAATAGGCTATCTAATTCTCCTGATTCACTCATTTCACGAACAATATCCAAACCTCCAATCAATTCTCCATTGATATAAAGTTGAGGATAGGTTGGCCAATTACTGAATTTTTTCAAACCTTCTCTGACATTGTTATTTTCTAATATGTCAAATGTTGTATATTCTGCATTATGCTGATTCAAAATTGATATAATTGTTCTTGAAAACCCACATCTTGGTGTTTGTTCATTTCCTTTCATAAACAACATGCATGGTGCTTTATTTATTAATTTCTTCAAATCATCTTCCAAATTTGATTTTGTTTTTTTTGGTAGTAAGTCATCTAATTCTCCTGATTCACTCATATCTCTAACAATATCCAAGCCTCCAATTAATTCTCCATTAATATATAATTGAGGATAGGTTGGCCAATTGCTGAATTTTTTCAAGCCTTCTCTGACTTCGTTATCTTCTAAAATATTAAATGTCTCGTACTCAGCATCATGCTCTTCAAGCAGTGCAATTATACTTCTTGAAAAGCCACACTGGGGAACATCACGATCTCCTTTCATGAACAACATGCAAGGAGATTTTAGAATTAATTTTTGAAGCCTTTCATCAAGAGTTTCAGATTTTGTTGATAGCTTAGAAATTTGCTCCCTGACAGCTACAGGATTTGCTCCATTTATTCTACCAACAATTTTACTATCCTTAAAAAGCAAAGTGGTTGGCACTGCAGTAACATCACATGCAAGTGAAATTTCAGGACAATCTTCAGCTACTATATTGGCAAATGTCACATTTTTATAAAGATCTAATTTTGCCAGTTGTTCAAAAACTTCATTCATTTGTGTACATTGTTCAGCCCATGGTGCATAAAAGTGTATAACAGATAAATTAACAGATCTGAAATAAAAATAATAAACATAAATTTAATATGAAATTAATAAATAATAAATAAAATTAATAAACAAATATGTAGTGAATAGAGATTGTTCAATATACATCAGGAATCGAGTATGTAATTTTCGGTACTTTTATAGGTTACTTGGGTTCATCGTCGGATAACTTACTTGATGAAGTTTTCATACTCTTCTTTAGTAGTGATTTTTGTAAGAGACATTTTTCTAGAGGTAATTTGTACTGCCTATAAGAAAATCACTTGTCGAAAATGGCAATAAACTAAACTGAATAAGAATAATAATGCTTGTTTTGGAATCTCGAGGTCGCACAGCACAGCAGACTTTTTACTCCGCTCGTATGAAACGTCGCTTACAGAGACGACCAACTTAGTAAAGTAAGTAAGCAACCGGCTTGCACTGCGCTTGAGTAGTTTGACTGACTGAAGTGAGAATTTCAGAACTGATAAAATTGAAATGTGACGATAAAAATAGGATCAATAAACACCAAAGACAACGCAATCAAGTATCATCCTGATTAATCCATATCAATTATGTAATTTATTAATAGGTTTACTAAATTATATTACATGCTATATTCTGTGCTACTTGAAAATCATGCAATGTACTCATTTTATTTGCATTAATTTAACGATCATATTAGAATATTTAAAAAGTTTTTTAGATTGAAGTATGTAAATCAATCATTCAACATCTATTTTATTTTTGCACTCTCGATAATATTCTGTCGACAATTTTCGTGCATTTTGCACACCACGAATGACGCGATTACGAACTTTTTCTCGTCGATTTTTTAATATTCATTATCGCAAGCAAAGCGGTTTTATGTGATGATCGCAATGTTCATGAATCATCAACTACTTAGGCGCGTTCATGAGAAGTAAATTCGCCAATTAATATCGGCAGGCGTAGACGCGTTTGAATATTCCGCGAATGTCTCGCGAATAAGATGCCTTGCAGAGGCGCATGGTTATGGGTTTGTTGTCTGCATAAATATATAGTAAGTATCTTGAAGGGCTAAGATTCTTGTGCCATAAAGACACGCGACTAGCAGCGTAATATTTTTCCGCGTTTGCCTGAATCTGGCATCAAAAAACACCGCCCAATTAACTATATAAACACGTTAATTGATACATAGGTATATTTCATGCGCTGGTATAATAATATTTATCATTCCATTGTGTCGAGGACTGGCTGTTATCGCATTGCACCTATGCATAATACAAGCCGTTGTGAATAGGCATTCACATGTCAACAACATTACTAATTTTCTTTGCATTAAAATTTTTTTTGTAAACCGCACATTTCGAGTGCATATTTAATCTACGCGCTAATTCATTTTCTACTTTTTTAATTTTTTAAAATCGGTCACAAGCAAGCATATACTGTTTTGGCATCATTTTGCATGATTCAACTTGAAAACGAAACTAATATTGTTTACAGACTTAAACATATTTGAAACCATCTACACAACATGTAAATTACATCAATGAATGGACTTTTTACTATTGCAAATAAACGAGGATTTCTGCAGCATTTTAAAGACTGATCATATTTTACAATACTACAAAAAATGGTAAATATTTTTTAATGCATTTACAATTCATTAAGATCTCTTATTTACACAACATTTCTTTTAATAGAATGATGGCATTAGATTTCGACATCATCTGGTCCAAAAATCATCAGAAGAGCCTTACTTCAGATCTCGAATTGTTATAAAGCCCAAAAATGAATCACAAAGTGGAAACCAACATTTATTATTTGCCCTGACATTTATTTTATCGGTATCTTTGACAGTTATTGTTTTGGAAAAAATTTTACCTGAGCCACAACTTATTGGCAGTGAACAACTTCATCCTGGAAGATTTATTGCTGAAAGAGCTAGAGCTCACGTTTATAATTTAACTTCTCTTGGACCTAGAGTAGCAGGAAGTTATGAAAATGAAGTTTTAGCTGTTCAATTTTTAACCAATTATATAAACAATATCATTAAACATGCTCATCCAAATCATAAAATTACAATGGACGTTACCCGCCATAGTGGTAGTTTTTCTTTAACTTTTCTCGATGGCATGACCCATATTTACAAAAATGTTCAAAATGTAGTTGTTAAAATTGGTCCATTTCGATCATCAAAGCATAGTCTTTTATTAAATTGTCATTTTGATAGTTTTGTTGAAAGCCCAGGTAATTAATTTATCTATAATAATAAGATTGTAATATGAAAATTTTTATAATTTTCTTATTTTATTTCAGGAGGATCAGATGATGCTGCAGGATGTGCAGTAATGTTGGAAGTTTTGAGAGTGGTTTCTAGAAGTAATATTAATTTAAATCATAATATTATATTTTTATTCAATGGAGCTGAAGAAAACATATTACAAGTAATATTACAAATTACATGTTTTTGTTTTATGAAAATTGTTCGAGTTGATATAATTTTAATATTTGATAGGCTTCACATGGATTTATTACTCAACACCCATGGGCAAAAGAAGTTGGAGCATTTATTAACTTAGAAGCATGCGGGGCAGGAGGACGTGAACTATTATTTCAAGCTGGTCCTGGTAATCCTTGGATACTTGAAGTATGTAATTTATCAAAATATAAAATTGTACTTATAAATATTTGCGTTTTATTTTGAAAGTATCAATATAGGATAATTAATTGTAATACAACTGATTACAAATGTTTGAAAATTGAATTGAATTTTAGGTATATTCAAAGTCTGTTCCCTATCCTTACGCTTCATCTCTAGCTCAAGAAATATTTCAAAGTGGAATTGTACCAGGGGAAACGGATTTTCGTATTTTCAGAGATTTTGGGAAAGTTTCAGGTACAATAAACTTCTCAAAAACTTACCTGCAACATATTAATAAATTATAACAATTTCAGGTTTAGATTTTGCTTGGTCAACAAATGGCTATGTCTATCATACTAAATTTGATTCAATTGATCAAATACCTTTGGGTTCGTTACAAAGAACTGGAGATAATATTTTAGCTCTGTCTTTAGGGATTGTATCTGGAAATTATTTAGCTGACGAAAGTTTACAGACGTCAGAAGGCTCAATTGTTTTTTTTGATTTTTTGGGAGCATTTGTTATTAGATGGCCTGAGTACATTGCTAAGTTTGTAAATTTGATTGGAGTAGCCATTGGATTGTATTCAATTTATTTGAATATGATAAGTGTTAAAAGAGGTAAAAGTTGATTGTTTATCATGATGTATTGAAAATAAATAATCTTATAAATTCAAACGATTTTTTAGACATTAAAAAGTCAGTATACATTAAACAACTGGTAGTTTGTGTTACTACGATCATCTGTTCGTGGATTATATCTATGATTTCTGTAACAATGATTGCTCTTTTATTTACAAAACTTGGAAAAGTAATGAGTTGGTATGCTAGACCAGCATGGCTATTTTTTTTGTATATTTGTCCTACAGTGGCAATTTCAATGATGTTCTTTCTCTTCATGAGTGCCCGTCAAAAAAAGGTTTGTTTTTGTGACTTTAACATTTTGTATCTAAAAAATAATTACTTCATAATTATTTAATTACTTCATAATTATTTTTTAAATTTATAGATTATCAACTCTTCATGGATATTGTATCAATTGTATTTTGATGCATATAGCTTATTTTGGATTTCAGTTTTATTTTTATGTATTTTATTAGGAATACGCTCCGGATTTATACCATTGCATTGGGTACTATTTTTGTCAATTGGAAACATTGTACGTCAACACTTTTTTAGTAAATGGAGAGGTGAATTTGCTCATTTTATTTTTATAAATAATTTTAAATAATGAATAATGTTTCTATAAATAATGTCTCCAATTATTCAGGATTTATTTTATACATAATTTATTTATTAGAATATTAGAATAATTTAGACACAACTATGTTTTTTTAAATGTGTGCTTCGTGTTTACAGATTGGAAGTGGCTCTGTTATCATATGTGTACTTTGAGTTTACCTTACATACAATCTTTCTATTTATCTATTGGTGCTCTTTACCTATTTATTCCTCTAATGGGTAGAGCAGGGGCTAGCATTAATTCTGAAGTAATAATTGCCAATATGCTATCAATTTTATTTTGCCTTCTTCTAAGTTTCACGGTAAATATATATTCTTAAACAAATTTCAATAATTTTATCATTTATGAAAATCGATATTCAATAATTTTTTTACAAATTCATTGTTTTTACTTAGATTCCAATCGTTGTATTGGTGAAAAATGCAGAGAGGGTTATTAGTATTTTGATTGGAATATTTTTAATTGCCACTGCAGCTTTAATATTAACACCGTTGGGTTTTCCTTATAGTGGCAATCCATCTTCTCCTGCTCCAGAGAGATTTATGATTGCAGTAAGTATTACTTGAATAGATTTTTATTCATTTATCAAATTGATATAATATTAATTTATCACTCTTGAAATGTGTTTTAGCATACTCAAAGGCAATATTATAATTTAGATGGAAGTTTACGTTATTCAGGAACCGGATATTGGATTGTGAATTTGGATATGAATAGTCCATACAGTGTACAAGCAATGGTGCCTGAAGTTGGAGCTGCAGAACCAACTGTTGAAGATTGCAAACAGGAATTATATTGTGGTTTGCCATATTTAGTGCCTGTCACTACCTTTTTATGGTAAACATATATATTTTTTACAATTTATTTTTTCTCTAACAATAATTAGTAATTATTTATGCAGGAAAACGAGTTGGATCCCAGCACCGGCTCCAATCATTCCTATACCAACTACTTTAGAATTGATTGGAAAATCAGTCAAAGGCGCTTCAATTAATTTTTCATTTAATATAACTGGTAATATAAAAAAACTGATTTATAAGAGAATATGCAAGTAAATGTAGACGGAAAATTTTCGAACGCGTTTTTCGTGATCAATTTGAAAAAAATTAAATAAAAAATACCACCTGAATGTCTGAATCAAAGATATCCACGAAGTTTTTTTTGAAAAAGTTTTTACTAGAAAACTTTGGAAATGTATCTATTTGAATGTTTTCGAAACTATAAAGCATTAATTAGTGCTTTCTTGAAAAATAAATGAAATAATAATAAAAATTTTTTTTCAATTAGGACCAGATCATATAGGAATTATGTTATCCCCGTATAATGGCTTACGACTCAAAAAATGGAGTATATTAGAAGAAAAACCGTTACAAGGACCGAAGTGGAATGACAGGGAAACATATTTTATTTATTACTCATGTATAAAAGATTGTGAACCTCTAAACTTTTCTCTTGAATTAGAAGTGAGTAATTTTTTTACAGCGATCAAATTTTTTTAATCAATTAAAGTTATCTAACTTATTTTTGAATTATAGACACCAATAGATTTTAAGGGCCCCAGTTTATCGATTGCTCTAGCAGGTCATTTCTTACACGGGGAAAATCAGCGCTCATCCAAATTCAAGAACTTCTTATCTCAATTTCCAACATGGACTGTTGTGACCCCCTGGACAGCCTCATATACTTCATGGCAGTTTTAAACTATTATTATTATATTATTCATGGCTCATAAAGCAATTTCGAAGAGACATACATTGATTCTATGACAACGTACGTAAAGGCTAAAAAGTATTACCTTTAAACTTTAAAATTTTAACAAGAAAAAGAGAAATGGTGTTATTCTTTAGAACGATTTAATCGATCTTAATAAAAGAAAATTAGGAAATACATCATACTTTTGAAAATCAATATTATATAAAATATTCAAACAAAAGTGGGTAGCCAAAGATATAATTTTATTCCATGAATTTGCTTACATTTAAATATTTCAAATTTAATCATTAAAATATATAACATTACCAAGTATGAAATGCAACATTTTAATATTTTCTATTGAAGTTTTTAAACTGTAGTAAAATTTTATTACGATTGACTTTTAAAACATATATTCATTATTGCATCAATTTTTTAGTATGTAAATAATGTCTAGATTCAAGTTAATTTTTTTATTACTTAAAATTGGTTTCGTTTCAAGCTTCGATTAAAAATTACAAAATAAATAGAAAAAAAGTAATTTTATTTTAATCTTAATAAAATAATAACTGTATTTGAATATTTATTAGATTGGTATTGTAAATGAATTAAAATGGAAAATATTAATACCGAACATGATATGATATTACTAACATGGATATGTACGGTTTAATTCAAATTCTGGTAGTGGCATTTTCACGAAGTATTTCAATAATTTAAGAATCAAATTTTTTTATTAATGCATAAGATTCAAAGTTGTATTACATTGAAAATGTGTGGAGTGTTCCGATTGTCAAGAAATCCTTCTATAACAATTGTTTTAAATTTCATAACAATGTTATTACAATGGAACACTGAAATTATTGTCTTTTACAGTTATTACAGTACGTATATATTGTTAAATGCACAATAAATTTAAATGAATAGAAACTTTGATAAAGTACACATTTACCAATGGCCTAGAAAATTTTTGAATTTTGGAGATATTTATATAGTAATAATAATATTAACGCTTTTCACGCGAGAAGCTTGTGATAAATAAATTAATGGTTACCTCTAACAAAATTATACTTTAGGCGTTAAATTTAGCGCACCAAATTAATGTGAATTACAACTGTTCATCGCGCAAAATGTAAGGACTGCAGTATGAATATTGTAAGCAGTAATAATACGCAATAGTGAACTCATGCTTTGAAATGATTTATAAAAGTGCTAATTGTACTTATGCAATTTCATTATTACCCTTGTATGCCTACATATTTACGTTATAATTTAAATATTGTCAGAATTCTAATGTTATACTTAAATAAACTATAGCTGCGTGAGGGGTTTAGAGTTTGTAGCATGGTATAGTAAATACCTGGGAAACCTTGTAATAACCTTTCAAAATTTTTTAAATATATAAGGAAAACATTATTTGATTTTTAATGGAGTGTTCATGTTATAATTATAATAAGTGTTTGTTTTGTTAATTCGGCTGACGGAATCCTTTCGTTCGATGCTTAATCAAATCATAATAATTTAAGTATTTGTTTAAACCATGACATTTTTGTTTTATGTAAACTACTTTATTTTATTGTTGTTGGTTAATTGAGATATTATTTATTTGAAAGGTATTTGTTCAGATAAAATTTTGGAGAAATATACATTTCTCGTTCTTTGCATTTAATAAAGATATGCATAGCTGCCTTTACGATAAAAATTGATTCAAAAGTGGCAGTGGGCACACATTTCTGTGGTTTTACTATAAGTTTTGGTGATGTGATTCTTCTCCTATATTTACCGTATAATAATGTATGATCGTATTTTTCAATAAAGTATGCATTTACAATTAAAAATCATGTATTTTGTATTTAATCTAATAAGTTAATAGTTAATACGAAAGTATAAAAAAAAGTTCATTATTTCCCAATTATTACTTTTTGCTTCGAAATAGTTGGACCTGTTGTTTTTGCACATTTTTTGAGCTTTAAGACGGTGTAAGGTAGTATCATTCAGGATTTATTTTTCTTTCGAAATCAGTCAATATTGACTTTCTCGGAGAGTTATCGGTTAAAATGAAGGAGTAAAATATCTACATTCATCGGAGTTTTTGGAACGCGTTGTAGTAGTCACGAGCAGAGCTTGATTTCGGTAACAAGTAGCTGCAAAGCAAAAAAAATTTAATACTATTTTGACTTTGTTAAAATTGATGAATGTTCAAGTTTTGTTAGTTTTAAATTAATTCTTTTTAAAGGTACAAAATAAACTCTCTCAAGCGTTTTTTTGAAAAACCTCGAATTGAATCTTTTGAAATCGCATTTTTAATGTAAAGAGCAATGTAATTTAAAGGACACACAAGGTATACTTGTAAAAGTTAATAAAAGCATAGTATGTAATAATATATTAATGTAAAAGTGCATGTGGTAAAAAATAATTTATCATCGTTGTTAAAATTATATTGAATTGATGTGGGCTGTAAGAGAAAACTTTGAATTCTAACAAAATCTGTTTATGTGCGTGGTGTCAATTTTTTATGAATACTTACATCATTTTCAATTTACAAAAAAGTAATTTTGATGAATAACTTTTAATCAAACGTTTTGGTATTGAAAGAATATTTAGCAATGAAAATTGTATTGATTCAATTTAACATTTTGTCACTGGATACTCCAAGAAAAAAACACTCATTGGTATCGGTGCAAGGCAACAATTAAGAATTAAATAATATAAATTTTAATCTACTCAATTTAATAATATAAATTTTAATCTACTCAATTTAATAATATTACTTTCATATCGTTAATAATTTTTCATGCAGTTAACAATTTAAAAACGTCAAATTTTGACTAAAAATTTCACAAATTTGAAGATTTAGAAAATAAAAAGAAAGCCTCAGATCGCGTGTAAACGCGAAATATTCTGCCATGGTTACCTGAAGTTTTATTGTAGTCTTTTTTTACGTCCTAAGTGTAGACACAATTTTTCTCGATAGTCCTATACCTAAAGTGACAAAAATCACACACGCTTGTATACCCAAAAACGGCTACCTCCGACAATATTTTCAAATATCGATCAGTATTCAGTTGAAAATTATTAGTTCCTTACTTTTTTTCATTTTTAGTGCTAGAAAAATGTAAATTTTAATGAGCACAATGAAGAAAATTTATTAATAATATACATTCTACCATCTGCCATTACTGGATCAAAGTACTCTTGTGCATTATCCAATGGAAAAACATCGTTTTATCGGTTATCTAATTCTATGTGATTCACGTATTAAGTACGGAGTATTATTTAAAATTCATGGTTAATTTCGTATTGCAGCGCATTACTCATTCAATAAGAGACTTGATCGGAGATGGTCAAAAAGAACGACGCAATAGGTAGTACATGTTATTTCCGCCACGAAAATAAGACGAATTTCCAGCGGCTTCCGTCATCGACGATCGTGACTTCCGTTGATCATTGCTGTACGTGCACTTTTATAGCCATATACGTGGACTCGAGTTCAGAAAAGTTTTCTTTGAAAAGATTAGTTATCCTTAAAAAAACACAACAACAAATACAATGCAAAGCTAATTCAAATTTACTAACTATTCAATGGCATACTATTTCGTAAAAAATGCTCGTTTGCTTGTTAATTAATATGCCTCGATTATGAAAGTCTCGAAAGTTCAATTTTAGTGCACTTCTGTTATTTTCAACTAACTTGGGATATAAATTAGCAAGTTCGGCCTGATTCTGTATGGAAGGCGCAAGGATACCATAGCTCGTTCAATTAACAAATCTCGATGCAGTTTTATTTTTGCAGCTGACTTTCGACGCCCCGAGGCTAATGTGGTTAACACGGGCTCAGTAATAAGAGGGCCGTTTTCTCGCTCTTGGGGGACAATTATCAAATGCGTAACGAGTCGAAAAATCCTCTCTCGCGAAACGCCTTCTCTCTCTCTCTGTCTCTGTTTCTCTCGAGGCGTAGAGTGAGGCGCGAGGACGCAGGGTGCATATCGCCGAGTCGCACCGATCGGCGCTTTTTTCGCTAAACGATGCAAATAAGTGCAAAGGCTTGCGCGCCTCGAGATCCATACGCGTTGTACGTACGCGTGTATAAATTAGTTATGCGTCTTTTTTATTTTTCAAGCGCGCCCCACCAGCTCGAGCAGTCGGAGGTAGCCGTATACGAACACCTCTATAGAAGCGAGGTTCCTTTTTTACCGCTGCGCCGGCTGCTTTGGCTGCGGTGTCTTCGCGGCTGCATGGCACCCACACCTTCAGTTCATCATCGTCTATCTGCGCGCTCGTGTCTCTTAGCTACACTCTTTGGGCATTGGAAGAGCCAACCCTGGCCGATCACGCTTTTATTGCTACATTTTTGGATAACCATAAGTTGTTGTTTAGAAAATGACTGAATCCATCGTAAGTTAAAACAGCAATTGGACACTAACTAGATAAGCATTTTTTTTATAGAACTATCACTAGTTCATCTTTTATCCTAAAAGATGATAGCATGAATCAAACATCCATTTTCGTCCTTTAATTTCTATGATATAATTTCTATGATGTTCATTAAGGAAAATAATTTACCGCTCATTTGTATTTATCTGAAATTTGTTTAATTTAAATTCAATTTAAGTTTATTTATAAAAAAATAATAAGTATACCGAAATAAAATCCTATTATTCATTAGTTTTCGGATTCGTTCGCGATAACAAACATCATTAAAGGAATAGAAAATTAATTTAGTGATGTATTAATATTCAATTATATGTGATCCAGATAAAATATATCTTATACTTATAATATACAGAAATCATGCCAATGAAATAATCCTTGAAAAATTTGATCTGCGATTGTTAGCTCGCGGGCTCGAGGCATATTTCCTTAACTTGGATCGATAATCACGTGCCGCATGGAGTTGTACGCACATATAATAATGCAATATCAGTGTCATGTTCGATAAGAAACGCGATACGTTCGTCGAGTCAGTGCCAAACATCGCCGTACAACTCGCACCGCATGCAACGAGGTACGCACAAACACTCGTCGGGCTCGAAGCTTGCGCTTGTAAATTGTTCGATGTGATTTTCAGCTGATTCAAGATGAATACATGGCTACGTTACTATTATGCTATTTGGACAAAAAATGAAAAAAAGGTCTATGTTTCGTTGAAAACTCTCGAGCTAGGTACGAGGAGTTTGCTAGGCAAGATGTCGGCATAGCTGATGAGATTTGAGTATTTGGCTGTGTCACATCGAGCCAACTGAACCCTCGAATCTCAACGAACCTATATGCACTTGTCGCAATCGCTTACGAGGTCATCAAATTACAACTCGCTCTTGGTAAAAAATAATGTCAAATTAAATCGATTAATAATAATTGTTTAAAATCAACATTAATCGTCGATATATGATTAAAACAAATTTTTAAGATTAAAAAGTACGAAATTCAAGGAGTGAGCCACTGCAGTCTGCAAATCATTTCTGATCGTAAGTCTCGCCTCGGTCGGTCTCGTGCCTGTGATGCAGACGATCACCGCTATTGCTGTTACTGCTGCTGCTACTGCTACTGCTGCTGCTGCTGCTACTCGTGCTTGCGATGCTCGAGCTGCCATAGTTGGACGAGGGGTTGATATTCCTATTACTCAACGGAGCGGCTTGGATTTGAGGCTGAGAAAAGACCGTAGCCACCGAATCGATCTTCGCGGGGGAGGGTAAAAATACGCTGCTGGAGGTCGGCGCACTTTGGACGAGGGTCTCGTAGTTGGTGAACGGAAGTTCTTGGCCGCTGAAGGGCACGTGCGCCAGGCGAAGTTCGGGTTGCAGCTGAACAAAAGATCGTCATACATTTGCATGAACAAATTTAGGAAAATTGATAATACTTTTTGCTCGAGTCCAGTTAACGTAAATTCTTACCTTTCCGAGGATCAAAAGGCCCTCGTGCTTGACTCTGGCCACGTAGTACTTTGGTCTGCCGCGCTGATAGCCACCGACTATCGAGCCTTCGGGAATATGGCCCAAAGATGCCGGTGCCCATTTCAATTTACAACCAGTCAGAACCTTGTAAAAATCGAATTTTTAAATCTCACTTCAACTCGCGCATCGATCGCAGTCTACAATATGTGCCCGGATCGAGGGTTTCGAGCTAAAATATTCGAATTCGTGCGCCGATATTTCAAGGGCGCGCACCTAAGCGAGCATGCAAAATATTCGCTTCGAGCTTGGCGATAAAAATGTGTGGCTGCACGCACTCTATACATACGTCATTTAATGCTTGGAAATACCTGCTGCTCGCATAAGACGCCGCATGGTTTATACAGCGAGGGCCGAGTCGGCCCAAGTCGTCGTCGTCGCCGGGCGCGCGTGTCTAGTTTTTAAATGTTCCGGATGCGGCGATGGGTACCGCGCCGAACCGCCGGCCAACACCTTCCTTTTTTCCACGCACAGACTCTCGGCATTTTGTCATTCGCTCGTATTGTATAAGGCGCATACCTCACGCTCGCACGTTCGTTTGTATATTTTTCTTTTTTTTTTTTTCATTCTCTCTCTCTCTCTCTTCTGCGCGTTCTCTTGTCCCCTCGCGTACACATAGTGGCGCGTTCCTCGCTCTCCGCGCGCAGTGACGTGCTTTGATTCGACCTACCTCTGCGTCTCTTTGTCTTGGCTCGACTCTTTCGAGCCTCGTTCGCCTATACCTATATACAACAACATCCATACCGCACAATCTTTTTCTCTATTATATAGGCGCGAGCCGGCGCTGCACCTCTGCGGGCTCGAGTTTGCGACCTGACCTGCATACAAACAATCGTTTAAACTGCCTCGTGCGACCAACGCGTTATACATATACGTATACAGGTAGAATAATGAGCCACCGTGGCGATGTGCGTGCCACAAACGCGTGTTTCGAGTGAGCGATCAGTTCGCGACGACCTGTTGGGATCAACACTCAACCATATAAAAAAAATTCGTAACAACTTCCAAAAATTGCTTCTTAAATTTTTCTTACATAGAATAGAATGAAACACGTTTGAACTCTTTTATCCGAGGAGTATCGCTAAAAAATAGATTTACCTCGAATCGTGATTTGCCGATCACTGAGAAATTATGAGATATGTAGCATCTTCCTTCGGAATTTTCGTCGACGATGTAGCTTCCGGGGATGGTGTCTCCTTCGTGATTGGCCCTGCAGACGTAGAGCTCGCCGCTGTCTAGACGACCACCGCGCACCGCGCCAGGAGGTAACTGACTACTCGCCCCCTTCCATCTCGCTGTCGATTTCGATAATACTTCTCATTGTCGAATTTCTGCTACTGGCAATCGACCGTCGATCGGCGGTACAATTTTATAGGAAAATTCAATCTCACCCGTGCAATCTTGCGAAGAGATGGTGTACTCGGGACCAAGGCCGTACTGCACGTCGGCGTAAAAAGACGAATCGGGATTCTCGTCGGTTTCTCGGTAAACCAAAAAGCTCAAGTACTGCGGCGAGATGATCAATGGGTCACGCCACTGCAACACGGGATTGACATTGGCGTCTTTGCCGAGCGTTATGACGCCATCTAAAAATTATAAAGTCACGATAAATATAAAGCCATGTTATAGAAGGTGTCTGATCGAGGTCGATCGACAGGCAAAAATCAAAAACCTCTCGAAAGTTTGATCCAGAATTTGAGTCTCTCGCGATCGTTGATGAATCCCGGTTGCTGGAACGCGGCGCTGTTATCGCCTAAATGTCTTCGTCGGACGTAGGCTCCGTTCGCTCGGATACCGATCAGGTAGAGTTCGCCGAGGGTCGACACCTCCGGACTCAAGAGAATCTGTAAGTGCAAGAAATGACATTATTCAACCGAGTTACGATTCGTTGCTTTTATCTCGCTCACCTGAAGTTCTCTCGACGTTCTAGCCGTAAAGTAAAGCGTGATTCCGTCTTCCGAGTGGCTCACGTACTCGGAAAGAGGAAAATACTGCCCAAATCCAGTGGATGTCACGACGCTTTGACGCCGGTCGATCGACACACCTGAAACAGTAGTAGCAGGTAAATTTAATCAACTGCTTGATATGATACTGTACAGAAAATAGCTCATAGCGTTTTTTTTGTAATTGTATATAGCAATCTTGGCGTACCATTGTCGTAGTGCTCGTTCTGGAAACCGTAACGCCAAGTGGCGGGCGCCGCAGATCGGAAGCTGAGGAACATCGGCGAGAGCGGCCGCGGATCGCGCCACTCGTGAAAGGGGCTGTCGCTCTCGCCAAGGCCCACTTGCACGGACGTCTTGTGCCGATCCGAGGAGACCTTTACCCAAAAGTTGCGAAACTCTCGACCGCTGAGTAAATTGACCGTGCGGACGCTCGCGCTTGGCTCTTCTTGGCACGGGCATCGGCCTCTTATGTAATTCATCGAGTTGTTCCGAGCACCGAGGACGAACTCGTACACCGGTTGGTCGGCCTGTTACAAAAAGATGTCGATCACGCACTTGGATTTTCAATAGATGTTACTCTTTGCGAGAAAAAAAAACGATGCAATACTTGAAATTTTAACGATACCGATTTAATTTCTACTTATTGGTATGATATACGAATATTAAATTGTAAAAATTGTTAACATACTTCATGGGTAGGAGCTAGTAACACGTGAGCATCTCTTGGGGCTCTGACTGAAAATCTGAGCAATCTATCTGGCGTCAAATTCTCTTCCAAAGGGAAAAACTGACTGTACGAGTATCCAAAAGTATAGAGAACTTTTACATCATTGGCAGTAGCTGAACGAACAAAAATTGAAGTTTAACGCTCGAAATAAATTGTTTTGGATAATTATTTGTCGACACCACTTACCGTGTAATACACACAAGCCTAGTATCAAATAAAAGAACACAATCATGGTGAATTTCAGTATTAAATTTAACTTAAAACTACTAAAACTTAATTAATATTTTGATGCCTGAACGAATATGAATATTAATTTTGATCCATTATGCATAAATTGATGCTTGAAATTATTCGTTATACTCCGCTTTAGCTTGGCTTTTGTCACAAACAACACAATTATTCACACAAAGACTACATGAAAGAAGAAGCGATTTGAGTTGTGCACTGCGCGCGCTTGAAACTAGTATAGAGAGCCTACGTCTTGGCGTTTCCCAAAGTCGAATGAAATGCATCACGAGGCACTGGACCAAGCCTGTAAAACCGGTCGATCGTCCAATATCTTTTTTTAATAAAAACATTCAGGGCCGATGTTGTTATTGCGAAGATGCAGCTACGATCAACATTCCCATATATCCGATTCCCTTTTCAATTTGGCTTCATACCGAAACAATTTGATTCACAGATTAAACTTTTAAAATATATAAATAAGCAGAAGAGTTGCTTAAAAAAATATTAACTTATACTTTAAAAATGTCTTAAAAGTTTTCATTGTTTTAACAAAATTAAAATTATTCTGCGTCTTCTGTCAAAATTTTATCAGCTCTATTTAGTACGTAATGTTTGTAGTGAGAAACTTTTTTATTACATTGAGATTAATTATTAACCATTTAAAATAGTTTTTAAAAAGTGTACGTCTTCATGAAAATTTAATTTGAAAACATGAATGGATTCAGGTTTAAAATAAAGATGAGAGACATTAAATTTAAATGTGCGGTTTTGAAGATAAATATTTGAGATACAAAAACAAGATGCAAAAAAATCAAAGTTGTAGTCTAAAATGAATTCCCATAATAGAACTAGCATTCTAAAGTTTGTTGCTTTCTTTCTCCTGTAAAGGAAGCTTGGCGATAAGCTCAAATCGAAAAGTTTTAGGATAATTTGTTTATATTTTCTAAAAAGTTGATTGAATTCCAGACAAAAGTGTGTGCATTATCTCGAAAGTGAGACTTTGAATTGTATCGAATTAAACTCCATTTATTGACGATTGCAATGAGAATGACGGGCAAAAAACGTACTTTGTAATTATGATGAAAAAATGTATAAAGTTGTTACTTTTAAGAAGAAAGCTACTAATTGTCAATGGATTGACAACAGTCTTTCAATGCATTACATTATACTCACGAATAACTGTGAACAAATTCAACGAATGAAATTAGTTGCCATTGTCAATCATTAAATTGTTTATTGATTTTAATGCTTTACAAACGTTTACAATTATCATATGTTCTGTTACATTATCGACGCAACTGAATTAATTATTTTACTACCCTCTAAAACTCCAATAACTAATTGACCTCATGCTTATTGTGCGCCAAAATGAACAAAATTTTCATGGATTTCGGAGTAGTTTTAAAGACTGCTACGAATGTCAAGAAGATGTTGGAGGGGGAAACTATAACCAAGGAACTCTCGCAATCGTAGTACCTATGGCTAATATACCAGTAGTCTGTAGTAGTGCGCATAGTGCGTACTGTCGCTGGCAACTGGTTAGAAGCAAGTGTTTACAAATCATAAGCTGTACAGTTTAGATACTCGAGACTCTTAACTTCAACATTTTTCTCGGTACATATCACGAAAATTCATAGTGATTACTTATAATCGAGCGAATGATGGAGAGCCGAGAGGACACTGTTAGGTATAATTATTTTTCTACACGCCATGTTATTTTTCAAAGTATTTTATAAAATATTTTATTGTATATTGAATTTTTGTTATTCTTCAGGGTGAAGGAAGAGCTTAACGACATTTGCCCAGATACGGACGACTATAATTTCGATTTGGTGGACTCTAGCGAAGTCAAAAACGTTGAAAAATTCACGTTTCATAAATCATCAGTAAGTTTCATAATTTTATTTATGTTCGATATTTTCATTATCTGGACTATTAAACGATTTTAATTTTAGGAAAATCACATGAATAAGGTTAGGACGTTATATGAAAAATTAGATGAAAAAATAATCGTTGATTTTGAATGCAAAGATGTAAAACCTGAACTACCGCCTCTACTGACAATTATCTGCAAATCTGAGTATCAAAGTTGCTTACCTATTGTGAAAATAGAAAAGCGAATTGAAAAAAATTACCCGGATGAAAGAAGGCCTATAATTTTAATTAAAAAAGGGTTCAATTACGATAATAACTGTCAATTTAAAGAAAAGTTTCGATTGCCACTTGACGAATCCAAAAAGGATAGAATAATTGAAAAGGGAACTCGTAAAAAATTATCAAATAAATTGAAAGCACGTAATACGACACATAAGAGCATTAAACTATATGAATGCGAAATTTGTCACAAGTCATTTGGACAAACAGGAAACCTCAAAGCTCACATAATGACAATACATGATGGTAAGAAACCATTCCAATGTGATATTTGCCACAAATCATTTGGATACCAGAGTCACCTCAAATCTCACGTAACTGCAGTACATGATCGAAGCAAACCCTTTGAATGTGAGATTTGTCACAAATCATTTGGATACAAGAATCACCTCAAAACTCACATTGATATAGTACATAATCGAAGCAAACCCTTTGAATGTGACATTTGTCACAAATCATTTGGAGAAAAATATTACCTCAATTATCACATAAATGTAGTACATAATCGGATCAAACTCTTTGAGTGTAGGATTTGTCAGAAATCATTTGGACGAAAAAGTTCCCTGAAAATTCACATGACTGCAATACATGATAGCAGCAAACCCTTTGAGTGTGAGGTTTGTCACAAATCATTTGGACAAAGATGTAATCTCGAAACTCACGTAAATGTAGCACATAATTCTAGCAAACCCTTTGAATGTGACATTTGTCAGAGATCATTTGGATTAAAGCAGTTCCTCAAAAGTCACATTGATATCGTACATAATCAGATCAAAGCCTTTGAATGTGAGATATGTAAAAAATCATTTGGATACCAACATCTACTCAAAAGACACATTAATGCAGTTCATATTTGTAGCAAACCCTTCCAATGTGAAGTTTGTTACAGATCATTTAGCCGCAAGGATAATCTAAAAGCTCATATTAATTTATTACACATTCGTGCCAAGTCCTTCGAACGTTAAATTTATCATAAATCTTCGTGACAAAAAAGTAACCTCAAAGTTCACATAATGACGGAGCAAACCTTTCGAATGTGGCACTCAGTCACAAGTCGCATATGGAAAAAAAAGTCACCTTAAAACTCACATGAATCCAGAACACAATCGGAGTAAATCTTTTAAGTGTGACAAATTTGTCATAAATCATTCGGGTACCGGAACAATTTCAAAAGGCACAAAATAATGAAGGTTCATTATTTAAGCAAACCTTGTTCCGAGACATTTGGACACAATGAAGACTTTTATATAATTGTATATGCATTACAAACTTTTATAAAATCATTTTTGTATAAACATTCTTCAATTTTTCCAAGAACAATAAAGTATTTCAAAGTTTTATTAGTTTTTTCATGATTGTGAACAATTTTTTCTTATCTTTCTTAACATAAATAAATAAAAATATTCCCCAAGTACCTACTCTCTATTGTTATGCTAGTAAGTATCGGTAGATAGTAGTTCCTAAATCTCATAATTCGATTGCTATCGCTACTTCCTGATCGGCTTTTCATAGGTCCAAAGCATTATTAAAAGTTTTTGCTGTCATTTTACAGTAAAATTTAAAAAGTAAGAAAAAATATCTAGATGAAGCAAAAATCCTCGCTTCAAAATATCGGAGCGGTAGTGAGTTTAAGATTTAAGTTTGTACTTGCAAAAATATTTAAATTTTAATTGAAAGTAGTTAAAATCAATATGGTATGCACTTTCTTTTCAATCACTCTTTGCTATTAAACGTAGAACAAATATAAATCCAATTTTCAAACTTTCAAAACCCTTTCAATCTTTTCTAAAAGTGACACGTGTCAAATCCTTTACTGAAAAGTTAATGTGCAAAACTAAATTCCGTAATGATAATTTCTGATAAGATGTTGAGTTAATAATCAACAAAATACATTTTAACGTATTTGAAAGTTTTTTCAATATTTAATACTTTTTGAATCTTAGAGTTATTTCCCGCTCACAATCAAACATCAAATGAGCACGTGTGTCAGCTTTTCTTGTAGCAGACAAAACTATGATGCTATAATACAATTCTGATCAGCAAAAATATTATTACTCGCGAAGAAAACAATTTGTCATGCATCATTCAAAGTTTACACTTTACAATTGGAAACACAGATTCTTGAAATTGGTCAATGATACTATTGCGATAAAAAATGTACATCAACATCACCAACTGCTTGAATCTAACAATGCTACAAAGTGCAAAACAATATTATCAAAACAAAATGTTTTCATGGTTTCAAAAAGACAGCAAAATACTCTCTCTCCTAACCATACTGAGAATATTATCAATAATTCAAGTGCAGAAAATATAAAGAAAGGTAATTTAAATGAATTTAGATTTTATTTATTGAAAATAATCTTACTATATTTTTAGCTAGCTATAAAACAACATTTTCTAATGGACCTGGATTAAAAGATTTTCTGTCAGAAAGCACTGTTGATCATTCATGCCTCACATCTGATATTACACCTTATTTATCATCATTAGATGGAAATAAACAAAATGGTAATGAATTTTAATACTCAATGAATCAAATTTTTCAAACTGAAACTTTCATGATGAAACTATGGTATTATAAATGTTTTTCAACAGTTTTTCTAGAAATTTATGGATGTCAAATGAATGTGAATGATGCTGAAATTGTATCTTCAATATTGATTAAAAATAATTATAAAATAACAAAAAATATTGAAAAAGCAAATATAATTCTTCTTGTAACATGTGCAATCAGAGAAAAAGCAGAACATAAAATATGGAGTAGATTATTACATTTGAGAAGTTTGAAAAAACAAGATCCCAATTTAAAAATTGGACTTTTGGGTAAACTATTTTGTCTGAATTACATAAACTTCTAACAAGCTTTAGCTTGTAATGAATAATTTGTATCAGCAGTACATATTACTTCATTATTTCATTAATAATTTTAAAGGATGCATGGCTGAAAGATTGAAACACAAAATTGTTGAAGAAGAAAAAATAGTAAATATTGTCGCAGGACCAGATAGCTATAAAGACTTACCAAGGCTTTTGCAAACAAGTAATGACAAGGAAGTGGCTATCAATGTGCAACTATCTATGGATGAAACCTATGCAGATGTGTCACCTGTTCGATTGAACTCGGAATCAAAAACAGCTTTTGTGTAATTTATAATTTTGACTTACTTTCATACTTCAAAGCTTAATTCACTATAATATGATTAATATTTTTAGATCTATAATGCGTGGGTGTGATAACATGTGTACATACTGTATAGTACCTTTTACAAGAGGACGAGAAAGATCTAGACCTATGGAAAGTATATTAAATGAAATTCAAGAACTATCAGATAAAGGCATCAAAGAAGTAACTCTTCTTGGTCAAAACGTGAACAGCTACAGAGATATATCTCAATCCAATTTCTATCAATACACTAAGGCAAAAACTAATTTAGCTAAAGGATTTAAAACTGTGTATAAGAATAAAGAAGGAGGCTTAAGATTTAGTGATTTACTTGACAATGTTTCTAAAATTAATCCAGAAATGCGAATTCGGTATGTTAACAAAATCAGTTGCATTACGAATACCTAATTGTTTTATACTTCTCAACACTGAAATTATTTCTTTCAGTTTTACTTCACCACATCCAAAAGACTTTCCTGATGAAGTTTTAGATCTGATTGCAGAACGTCGTAATATTTGTCAACAAATTCATTTACCTGCTCAGAGTGGAAGTTCAACTGTTTTAACGAGAATGAGAAGAGGATATTCGAGAGAAGCTTACTTAGAATTAGTATATCACATAAAGAGTATTCTTCCAGAAGTAATGCTATCAAGTGATTTTATCGTAGGATTTTGTGATGAAACTGAAGATGAATTTGAGCAAACTTTGAGTCTAATGAAAGAAGTAGATTACAGTTCAGCTTACTTATTTGCTTATAGCATGCGAGAGGTAGTTAAAACCTTTTTATACTTCAAAAATTAAATCTTATTCATTTCATAAAGAATTTAAAATTTTAATATTTATAATAATTATATAGAAAACTACTGCACATCGACGTTACACTGACAATATTGATAAAACAGTCAAACTAGGAAGACTTCAAAAGCTAGTTCAATTATACCGATCAAAGGTTGAAAGCTTGTATAAAAAACAAATTGGACAGTATCAATTAGTTTTAGTGGAAGGAGTAAGTGTACGAAATTAAATATTCAAAAGTAATTTTTAATGATCATGAATTATATTTTTTATAGGAAAGCAAAAAAGGATCTCATGATTTACAAGGTCGCAATGACGGGAATATTAAAGTAATAGTACCAAACACATCAATACCTGAATGTAAAGATTCTCCTTCTTATAGGCCAATTAAAAATGGGGATTACGTAGTTGTTAACATTAATTATGCTAATTCTCAAATATTGAAAGGAATACCTATGTATCATTCCTCTATAAGAAATTTCAATTGTATATATCAATAATAGTTATTTTATAGGAAAAGCTATAATGTATATATTTTTAAATAATCATATTCAATGCTAAATGGTTAATAAATAACACTTTGTGTATGTTCAAAATAAATTTTATTTACATAACTTGTATGAGTCTTAGAAAACTTACAGTTTTTACAGTTAGAATCTCTTATAAGGTAGAGACATCAGAGCCACGGTGAAAATAATATATTTTCAGTACACTTTACAATTTTTATTGAATATTTTTTTAAATGGCTCATAAATAGCCTTAATTGTCGAATTTGCAAAAAGGTTTTTAGAAAAATATTCAATAGAATAAAAAAAGGATTTGAAAATTATTATTTCCATACAGGCTTCAGTATCTCATCAAAATTCAAAGTAAAGTTATTTTAATGGAGATTATTCTCAAAAAAAAACAAAACAAACACTGATGATCAAAATTTTCTGTGACTTTCTTAAAGTCACAAACTAATGAATATATAAAAGTAATTTTTCTTTTCAATTAAATATTCCAGACAAACTTTAGTTAAAACAGCATAAATACACATAACTAAGACACGTCGTTTTTATGTTCAATTTCTTGGTTAACACTTCCTAAACTACTAATTCTATTTTATTTCATTTATCACACAAAAATTCAAAATGGTAATTGTATTATAATACATACACTCAATTATACTTCACACAATTCACAGAGGGTTACCTTGAAAAACACTTTCCAACAGGTTTGATTGATTTAACTTGTATTGGAGATTCATAAAATGTATTCCATTTTTAAAACAATGCTTCATTCTGAAAAAAATTAGTTTATTGATTTTCAAGTTAATTCATTAAGTTAATAATTTTAATAAAAAATGTAAGCTGTAAACTATTAAATTATCAAGCAAATTACATTAAAAAGTAAAACAATCTTGAGAATTTGTATATTATTTTGTGGAAATAGACAAATGTTTGGTCCTTTGTTTACGGCAAATAAAATGTCTAGTATAATTGGAAAATTTAATACTTATATTTTAGAAACGTAAAAAAATTTAAATTTAAGGAAATTACCTGTTGCTTTAACATCTTCACTTTTTTCATTAGGGGATTCTTTGACTTCATTATTTTCTTCTTTGATATTATCCTCATCTTTGACTACATCATCTACCTTGTCTTCTTTTTTTTCTAAGACTTGTGATTGAATTTCTATTGTTCAAAAACAAATTTATTATTCTGTACATGGAAAAGAATGAATTTTTCAATGAATATCAAGATAATTTATTACCATTACTGTTTTCATTTTCAGGACTTATTTTACTTTTGGCACTTATTTGTGTTAGATTTTCAGTAGATTTACTCATCTGAAACGATAATCTTCTAGGAATTGCTGCATCATTGTCACATTCTAACTTAGGTGCTGAAGGCTTTTGCTTCCTTGCTGGATTCCAAAAGTTGCAGTAACAGCATCTAAATGCTGCAATTGACAATGAACGAAACAAAATAATGTTTATAAGTCATTTTTAAGTAAATTGAAAAACAAAGCTTATAGAGTTGTGACAAATATGATTCATACCAAAATATCCAAATTCTTCTTTTAAAGCCATACCATTATGAGAATCACACTGACGACAAATCAATGCATAACGATTATTGGGTCCATCCCCAACAACATATTCTATTAATTTATCAACGTAATTTCTTTGTTGAGGCAAAATAGGTCTTGGTAATGGAGACTCTAAAAATGGTCAAGTCATTATTTAAAAAATATGTTCATTAGCACCAAAAATTTCATAATAAATATTTGTACAAATTAATTTTTTTAAATAAATTTAATAAATATTCTTTTTTTATAAAATTATTGTATATTGTATATTGTATATTGTAAAATAAAGATTTGTAATTCATTAATAACCGAACTGAATCTTTTGCTTTTAAAATGGGTTGAGAACTTACTATAGGTAGGCGTTGCGACATTAGATAATTTGCCGGTTGTGCGTTGAGGAGTGCCAATAGCTGCATTACCTATTGGTCCCGGTGAGACTATTTTATTTGCTAAAACATTTTGCGAAATAATCGTTCGTCGACGTAGTTCTGTTTCAGGTTGCATTGTGGGGACAATAGCCTGTGGAGTGCCAAATTTCGGTGTCTCTGGTGTTTCAGATTGTTTGTATGGCTGTAATACAATATAAGAAATTCTTATTTTCACTAGTGTAATCAATAGTCAATTAGGTTTTTGAAGATTGCCGAATCAAAATTACTGTACAAATATAATAATTGGAAATGATTTATTAATGACATTAAAAATTATATATGAGAAATATTAATGCGTAAAACTTACTGAGGTTATTTTGAGCTGATCTGGAGCAAATTTTAATAATATTTCCTTAGCTTTTTTATAAGTCTCAGTTTCAGTGACTTCTTCTAAAATTTTTTTCTTTTGAGTCTGCATTTTTTGAAGTTTATCGTGATTTTTTGAAATTTTCCTTTTGTAGTACCAAGAAACTATTCTTTTGGTGAATAATATTCTACAACATTTATTTTAATATTATTGTATTGTTTTAATGAAATATACCAGTTTAATTGACTTACAATATTGGAAAAATAAGTAGAGGTGTCATGTAAAAAACTTGATCATACAGCTCCGCAGGGAAGAATCGAAAGTAAAAAACCAAAGCTGTTATTATGTACAGAGCAATGCTATAGATAATCAAAGTTCCCACAATTTTTTTATGCCTTTGTTCTGTATTCTGACCATATTGTTCAATGACTTTGATATCCTGTTAAATAAACAAAAATAAATGTCATTAATATAACAAACATATAGTAAAAAATGATAAATTTGAATCTATTGATATTTTAAAGAATTTTTATTCAATCAACTCATTGAAAAACAAGCAAAATATTTTGGTTAAAGCAATAATTACACTCACTGGAAATGTACAAAAATATTCACAATGATATTAGAAAGTTACTTAAGAAATTTTTAGAGTGTACTTGTTGAACATTGCACTTACTTTATCCAGTTCTTCTAGAAGTTCTAGAGTTGTCTTCTTTTTCTGAAATCAAATTCGTATTCATAATTTAAAAAAAGTATGTTTTAATATTATTTTCATGATATTATAATTTTTTTTATAATTAAATTTATGTTGGTTATTATTATTTTATTAATATCAAAAATTTGAACTTATGCAAGTTGCCCAAAATTGAATAATTAATTATAAAAATTTTACAATAAAGACTTGTCTATGTTAGTATTGATAGAAAGGATTTATTTTTCTTATATCAATGGCGCAAATTATGTACGTATGGATGTCTAGACTCTTTGAATTTAATAAGATTCATTGGATAAAATATAAAAGTATTTAATTAAAAAAGGTTTATATATTGAAATCAAATTCTTAAATTGAATTTTAAACTGTTACATCAACAATTAAATATACAAATGAAAAAAAGCTTATGCAATAATGACTCAGCAAAAGTGAATATCTTTAATGAATAAGTAGTTGTTTATTTCAAGTTTAATAAAATGTTCAATTGAACAAATTTCAATATTTGTATAAATTATGTACATCCAATACATATCACTTAAATTAATGTAAATAGATTTACATCATACTTCAGACTTAACTTGACAGATGTAATGTTATTTGGTAATATTAATTTTCAAGATGCATTGTAACAAATTATAATTACAATTATTTTGAGTAATAATTTCAATATTTATTTACTAAATGTATATCATTTTAATTTTGATTAGTATTGTAAATGTAATATATTTCAATGAATTACACTTTTCAATAAAATGAAAAGATTGAAAAAATTTAAGATCTGTCTACTGTTTATGTTTATCCAAAATCGATAAGTTATACTACAAAAATTTCAGTTTTTCTGCACCATAATATTATAATTCATATTCGAAAATGTAGTTTTTGTAATAACTGTAATAATTCAAGAGATAACCGAAGAAAATAATTATAACATTGTAAACTTGATAATCAATTCATATTAATGTTCCATTGTGATAAGAGCGGGAATAAATAACATTTTATTTGTTTTTTACATAAATTTGAACTATACATTCCCTTCCAGATTTACACAGAAAAATATATTTTTTAAATTATGGGTGAAGTAGAAGTTAAAGAGCACTGTTTGATAACGATGATATGAAACGAAAAAAATTCAAAGAAAGGGTTAACTTGTTTCGAATATTTCAATTTTAGACAGCACAGTAACCTCAAATTAGTATTTTTTTGCGTATGCGATTAAAAACTTACGCGAAACCTTGACAGTAAAATCCCCATGTTGAGAATCTGTTGAATAAATACGTGATTTCTGATGCTTATGAACAAAGTTATTATCACACAAATACTACTTGTTTATTTGTTTTCATTTTATCCAAGAAGGGCCTAAAAGTACGCGCAGAAAGAATCAACAGACAACAATAGTATATTTAGCTCGATGCTGGGCCATAACTGGCAAATAAGTGAACTTCTGTACGCGATTTGTCACAATTAAGAACATTCTACAATGATACCTATGATTCAAATAAGACTGTTGATTACGTTGAACGCTTAGTGCTTTTTTATCTCATTATCCTAAATGGGCTTTATTTTAGTACTCATTCGCTCGTGTATTATTTATATTGTAAATATTATGACATATTTTATCTGCATTCTTACTTGTTTAAAAGCTTTTTAAAAAGTCTCCGAGGTATTCATGAAAAGTTTTTTTTCAGAATTGATCAAAATAATGCGATAAAAATAAGATAATGGATATTAAACTCAGCTAAAATTATATTTCTTATAGGCACCTAAGAAACTGAACTTTTTCCGGTTTTGATAATTTCGATCTAGCCTTGCTCGAAATTGTTAATTTAGAAAAATATCTATGGATAAAGAATTAATATAGCTTATTTCAAGTATTTAATACAAAAATTTGCTTATTACCTTAAGAGGAATTACAATTATTGAAAGCAGGAAATTGACTGTTTATTTCAACTTTATTAATAATAAATTAGCGCTTGCGAATAAAAAATAATATTAATACATTAGTCACACAATTTTCAAAGCTTACGTTCAAGGTCAAATTCAAGGTTAAATGTAGATTTCTCATCGATCGTGACTTTGGAAATATAAGTAAGACTCCATGTTTGAATAGAAAAACAAAGATATTTTAAGGAATATTTGGAAATATTGCCTAAAAACGTCTTACGCCACAACTCAAAAGAAACTGAATCAATTGAAGTAAAAATATGTAAAACGAAGAGAGGCTTCATGAAAATTATAAAAAAAGTAAAAAATAATAGTCAATATTTACATGATGCAGTATATTAGGTTGTGATAATTATGTTAGTCAGAAAGCACAGAATTAAAGTTAGGTCAATATTTTTCACATACAAAGAAAATATGAAGGGCTACACTAAAAGGGCATTACAGTAAAGTAGCATACAGTCCTCGTTTATCCTAGGCCTGATTATTTTCCTCGCAAAAACAGCCAAGATAATTTTTTACGAAATCAAAAGTATATAATCTTAAAAATTTTTTTGTATATTTATAGAGAATGCAAATATCTAGAACCTTTGCCGGTGTCAATTCAAGGCTGTCTATCTCAAAAGAATTGCTGTTAATTTGGACTCATGGTCAATGAATGAGACGCTCATTTTGGCAGCAACAATTAAGCACATCGACTGATGCGCGAACGACGAAAACATTGACCTTTCCACCAAAGTAGTTGTTATACTCTGCCGCGATCAGTATCATTTAGACTTTTTGAGGTAGACCTAAACAATCGCAGAGTGGATATAAAAATCTCAATGTTATCATTAGAATTGACCTGTGGTTAACTCAAAATTTCTCTAATTTAATATGTTTATTTTTTTTAATAAGTTCGATTTATGGAATCTGAGAGCTGTCGGTTTTCGATACCTATCTCAGCCTCATAACTTTAAATTTCTCTCGTCTTCTTATGCTGTAATTGAATGCCATCACTGCTGTAATATCCCCTCCACACTTATGCGGCGCGATTCCCAACGCAACCGGTGCGCCCACGTGCGTGAACTGTCAATTCATGCCTCAAAACAGGCTCGAGTCATTGTTGTCAAAGTGTGTAGTGAAAAAAGTCTAGAAGATACATGACATTGAATGCTACTCATTTGCGAATATTTAGTATAATTAATTTGTGATAATGGCCAGAAAAACAGTTGGTGAATATTCTAATTCTTCTGAAAAAAGGAAGAGAAAATGGGAGAAGCCTAAATTACGATTGCTCCCGGTCGGTCAAAGTGCTAGTTTAACCCTAAAAATTGACAGTGAAAAACGTATACCCTTATTTTTAAGTGATGTGCAGCATTTACTAATTTATACTCTGATAGGAAACCGTTCTCCGTGTTTACCATACAGATGGTGTCGACTTGAAACAACAAGCAACATTTTACACACCAATGTTTTAATAATTGAGGGTTTGTCTTGTGAAGATTATCTAATAAATAAGTCAGCACTTAATCATTTAACTTCCAAACTAGAGCATGAATTAGAAATCACAACTTGTGGTGCTAATCAACAATCAATGATTGAAACACTAGCTGCTGTTCCTCTTTTAGGAATTCAAAAAAATTACTTAATTAAAGAATATGAGTCTTTAGAATATGAAACTGAAAGCTTAGAAGATATGATGAAATTGATGAGGACAATTTTTCCTATCAGATTAGGTATTATATCATTTACTTATTAAATTTGAGAAATTATTAAGATTTTTAATAACAAACTTATTATTTCATTTCAGCTAAAGACTTAGGTCCAGATAATCAAGAAAATGAAAATGCTTCAAATGAACATACCTCTACCAACAATTTAAATATTCAAGACTTGCCTCAAAGCGACAAATTTTCAAGAACAAAATTAATTATGTCTCCAAGTAAATTAATTGAAAATTCTTATCCATTACCTGTACCAGGAAGTTTAGGTCTATTACATTCAAATTATCAACAAACGAGTAAATTTGATTCTGCTACATATGCACATGTAACTTCTAGATCTCCAATGTTTGCTATAGATTGTGAAATGTGTAAAACAGTTAGTAATAATCTGGAACTTACAAGAATATCAATTGTTGATGAAAGTCTTCATGTTGTTTATGACACTTTTGTGAAACCAAGTAACAAAATTATTGATTATCTTACTGAATTCAGTGGAATAACAGAAAAAATGTTGAAAGATGAAAAGACTACTTTAGCAGATGTGCAAAAATATATTAAAGAATTTCTTCCTGACGATGCTATTTTGGTAGGTCATAGTCTTGATTCAGATTTACACACATTAAATATGATTCATCCTTATATTATAGATACATCTGTAATATTTAATTTAAGTGGCGAACGAAGTCGTAAATCTAAATTAAAAAATCTTGCTTCATCATTTTTGAATGAAACTATTCAAGAGGATAAAAATGGTCATTGTTCTATTCAAGATGCACAAACTGCAATGAAATTAGTTCAATTAAAATTAAAAAATACTCCATTCTTTGGAGATTTAATTCTAATGAAACAGACAGAGAAAGTTTCAGCAGAATCAATTGAAAAAAAAAATAATACAATTTTTTGGTATAATCAACACATTTCACAACAAAAAAAATCGAAGTATATAAACAAAGGTAATGAAAAATCCGCTGCGATAGGGGGAACTACAGAAATATTAGACAATTATATGAAGTTTATGAAAAAATCATTTTCACCTATTCTTCATAAAAATACTTATGAACCACCAAAACTTATTCGATTTCTTAATTCAATTACTAATGATGAAGCAGTGAAAAAATGTTGCGAACAAGTGATGGAAAATGCAATAAATATATGTCACTTACAATTGAAAAAAGAAGAATCAAGTCAAGTCAATATTCTTTCAACATTAAATTCTGTAAATGAGTGGGTAAAAGAAATTTGGAACCATACAGCTTTGAATGGATTAGTGTGTGTTCTTTTTAGTGGAAAGTCTAACTTAGATAATGGTGCTTGCTTTTTAGGCTTGAAAGCAGATGTCAAGTGTATCATAACTGAGGAGCCATTATGTAAAAAACAAAATATAGAAACTTAATTTTAATTAATCATAAATTAAAGCATAATTTGTAAATTATTTAGCTATTTTAATCTTGTATATGTGTGTATTTGTGTGTGTAACATATGTAAAACAATACTTTTTTCTGTATTACTATGTATAAATTGTACATATAATATCATGTGTGTGTGTGTAATGATACTCTTATACATTTGTGTGTAGATGGAAAAAAATTGAAATGCAAGTTTTTACGGTTTTTTATTTGTAATAATGTAAACTTAATTTTTTGTTGCATCAATAATTAGTACGCAATTATTTGAAAAAAATTGTGTTTTTTAATTGTTTTTTTAATGCAATTAGAAATATTTGTTATAATATAATGTATCATGAATTCCACTCACATGTATAATTAGTCAATATTTTGATAATAATTGATTGTAAACTTATTTGTATTATTCAATCAAAAAAATGTATTTTTATTTAAATAAAAGTGAAAAATAAAATAAGATTTAAATGTGATGATTTATAATTTTTTTAAAATGAATATCGATGAAATTAACTAACGAAAAACAGCCTTTTTAAAATCCATAGAGTTAGTTATTCTACAATACATTTTAGGTCAAGATTGAACTATTAACTAAGAATTGAGCTTGGTAGCTTTTAACAAATGTAGATCAAATTGTGAAATTGTCTGAGTGAGCTTTTTTCAAAAATCATTACAACAGAATTGGTATTAAAATAAGCAAAGACGTACATGTTGCCAGTTACTTGATGTGATTATTTGTCTAAAGCTAATTAAAATATATGATAAATTTAAAAAGCGACTCGCACCGAAGGCTATGATAACATTTCATTTTCACTATTGAAGACCCTAAAAATGCAGGGAAAAAGGGAATGCATTGGATCGTTCAATAGATGAACTTTCAGACCGATGATTCGATTTGATTAAAGTTGAATGACGAATACGTCGTCTGAGCGGAGCTGACGTTTTTTCCATCTTAATTGCAAGTTCGGGTTGCTGCCGAAGAGAGTGAGGAAGGGAGGCGAGCTTTGTCTAAAACGATCAAGCTTCTCTCTCGGTTGTTTGAGCTCACGAGGCTACTGGGACGAAAAAGAGAAAGAAAGAGAGAAACTCGTTAGAAGAGCTTGCGTGGAAATAGAGATCGAAAGAGAGAGACGGAGAGAGAGAGAGAGTAGAAGACCGAAGCTGAGAAGAAACGGGGATATCGGGAGAGAGGCCGCTTGTCCGTGGGAGTCGTTCTGGTACTACGAAAGAAGGCGCATCTCATCATCATCGTCAGCGACGAGCTTCAGCGAAGGGAACCGATATCTGCAGCAGAAAATCGCGTAACGCGAAAACTCAACGAGAAGCTCTCATTAGGTAGGATTTTCTATAATCATAAACACGTAACCCACAAAAGCTTCTTATCGTGCGTGAGCTTTATAAAGCGTTAAATGAGTTGAGAAGCGCGACTTGGACTTTAATTTTGCGACTCAAAAGTGACAGTTGGTAGAATTGGCCGCAGCATCGGCATAAGCAGTTGCTGCCTCTGTGATGTGTGTCCAACTGATCGAAAAGCTTTGCTGGGAGCCTCGTTATAAAGACCAACAAAAAATGTCATTGTGCGAGGAGTGCGACAACGATAGTTTATTAATTGGCTCTCAGCTTGCGCGTCGAACATTTGCATCGACATATCGGCATTCTTGCCGATCATTTACTCTTGGCTGCCCTTCGAGCGTACTCCCACCTGTTTGGCATTAAAAAATAGTTTTCGTTCGAGATTATTCGATTAGAATGCCATTTTTCCCCATGGCTGCTCCAGGCCAATCTGTCAACGGCCCTATTATTACATATACGTTGACAAATTTGTTCGCTCGTGCTGCACGTGTGTATATATAACTATACGGCATGAGAATTTGCGCAAGCACAGTTCTACCTAGTTTTCAAAGCTACGGACAAACGCTCTATTTTTATGTCGCCGATACTTCTATTTTTAATTCATGTGTTTTGATTTTGTCGTTATTGGGTTGTTCAAAAAAGTTACTGTTCACTCGTGAAATGCAAAATAATATTATACCAGCACGATAAATCGTTCACTTATCATTATTCGTGGCTTTTTTCAATATTTTGGCAAATAAATACCCTTAAATAACAAAAAGTTATCTTCCTCATTCAAGAGCATCTTTATGATTATAAATAAACTTCGTCATATGTAAACAATTCGTTTCGAAACGCATTGATTGTACTTCAGCTAGGATGATAGCCAAATATTTTTTTTCTTTATAGTATTTACTATGTTCTGTTTCGATAAATGTATCCTTTATGATTTTTAATCGTTACAATTTTTTCAAACAATTTACTCTTCGGACAACGATCTGTCAGTATAACTAGTTTAGGTCTGTTTCAGCTGTGTTAAAAAGTATTAAGCTTTAAATCTAAATTGTACAATTATGCTTTGTGATCGATATCTCGTACGATTCGAGACATTGTCCGACCAGCTCTAAATTTGGCGGTCTGTCTTGCTTGTGCGTCTCGGCAACGAGTTGAAAAGAGCGTCGTTCGTTTAACTCATTGCGTAAGATCATCTCACTTGTATTTCGTGCCTCTCGATCATTGGAGCAAACTTTTTTTCACCACCACATCTTCGAGCACGATTGCCGATGCACTCGCTATTGTTTTCTACGGGTTTTAAAATGATTTTCGGGCAATTTTCGCTAATAAATCGATTCTCGCAGCAGCGATGCAGATCGTAAAATGACAACGAGAGATTATTTTAAACCACACGATCTGTATTTTTAAATTCATTTGGTAACAAATTCACAGGTTGCCTTCTTTTAACTCTGCTACAGTAAATCGTAGCTATTTTTAATGGTGACCTACTTTTTTTAATTCCGCATTGAATGTTTCAAAGTTTTTTCAATTTTTCTGAAAATTTGCGACATTTCCATAAATGTGATAAGTAATGTTCTCGCAAAAATGAAAATTTCATTTGTTAAAATTTAACGAAAAGTAACAAGAGATATTTAATATCTCTGGTTACATGAGAATAAGTAAGACTTTTCTGTACAAATATTTAAGCTCTCGAGTATTTCCGGTTTTTATAATAAACAATCTAGTATCAGATAAATGTCAACTGATCTACATGCTTTTTCCAAATCTTTCTGTAAAATGTATGCAGTCTAGTTGGCTTTTAGTTGATGCTTTATCAAATTCAATCTAAGAACTTGCATGGCGCAACGTCTATTTTGTTGTATCGTATTTTCTGTTGTTGTGTCAACCACCTCATGTTTACGAGCGTTTTAATGGCGTGTAAATCGTCGGCTCTTTCAACGATTTTTCCATCTAATCATAATGTCAAACTATTGTACGAGGCAGAAAACATACGTTTATTCGCTTTCATTTACGCTTTATAGACGACATTCAGGGATGCTGGCTTACAAAAAACTTGGCTTGGAGCTCTGACTCAGAAACTAAAAGCGTTAACATAGTTTAAATAACTCGTTGTCGGCTCTCTTTAAAGTGCCCGGCACGACACTCATATTCGATTCGGCTTCCTATTTTCTTATGTCACCCTCTCTAGTTGAAAAATTCGATGTCTTTTGACGTGAACGATTTTTCGGTGGCGAGTACTTACAAGTGTATGTATGTACGTCAAGAAAATTTTATTATTCCAACAAATTTAGCTTCTCGTGTAAAAATCAATGCTATTTTTGAATCTGCTTGAAAATATCATAATAACAAAAGAGTATTTCGAAAAATCAACCCACCAAGATCAGGAAAATCACTGTGCATTGAATAGTTATAAAGACAATCAAGGAAATGAACTGAATTATCACCAGTGCTTTAATTGAGCTACCTAAAATTGGTGCAATTGAAACCACTGCCAACTGTCTCAGGTCACTGGCGCGTCATAGACATGCTCTTAAAAGCTAATTTTTCATTTCACACATTCTAACCAAATTTGTTGCAAGCTATTGTCCTATTAAAAAGACACAAATATATCGAGCTAAATAGATAGATTTAATAACGGTCCAATTCGTGAAAAGTTTGTTTTGCATTTTTCCTTCCGTGGTTCACTTGTTGATATGTTTGTGCGTTCTAAAGATAATTTTAATATTTGATAGTTTGTGTATGACTTGTTTTTATGACGCATTTGTTTACTGCAACGAGTCCACGTGTGACACATTAGATTCACAATTAGCCGATGACTTATCATCATTTACATGAGCTTAGATTATTTTTGAATTTTCTAATGTCGCAACGTGGAGGTGTATGATACTCGAAATAATGTCGAAGCGAGTGAATCATTTTTATTAAAAAATCAAAGCTTCCGTTAAATAAATAAGAAAATTCTTTTTGCGTACGTGTTTATAGAACGTGTATGATATTTTTTCGAATTCTAATTATAAAGGGCCCAGATTTAACAAAATAATAATTATTTTTGATTATCAACTTGTGTAAAACAATATTATGAATAACAACTCGATTATGAATGACAGACTGAAAAGTTAAGTTTTAATGTTCGAATAAGCTGACATTGATTGTAAGATGAAAAATTTATATTGATGAACCAAAGAGGTTCACATTTTCGGTCATTGCTTTTATTCGCGGTTACAAAATTAGAATAACTGTAGCTATTTTTAGACAACTCTTAGGCTGCTCCAGTTCTGATCGTTTTCGCGCACGATGTATTATTTTTATGACGTCCATTACAATTTATGCGTAAATAGAATAAGACAATGTGTTTAATGCACCATGTATATATAATAGAGTCAACGTCAACACGTAAATATTATAGAGTCAACCATTGAAATTCTATGTCAGCATGTAAGAATGAATTGTATGAATTCAAAAAATTTGGCTCCATTCTTATTGATAAGAACTCAATTTTTGCAATAATGATAAACACAATAGGATCTGTACTTATAACTAACTTATAAAAATGAATTTTTTTGCAGGTCAGAGCCGTTAGAAGTTAATTGTCCAAAAATACACAAAAACAAGGAGTAAAGATGTCGAGGCCAATTTTGAGTAGGCCACGCACACGCGTATACGGCTGCAATTACGACAAGGGCGAGTCGTATTATAAGCCAACCATTGCCAATCTGGACAGGAAGTACAGTGCCAGGCCATTATTCCCCGAGCCACGCAACTCACTTGCCGACGAGATAGCCGCGCGCCGTAGCGACATCGGTAACGTCTTCAGTCGTTTTCCCAAGTGGTTTTAATTATCATACATGAAAAACTACACACGACCCGTCCGCGATTAGTTTCAAATTCACTTTCTTAGCATTCGTATTGAGAATAATACATTAAAAAATTGACAAGTCATGACAAAGTACCATTCAAAGCTTTCGAAATATATCGAACAATCTCACTTCAATTCGAGTTAAAGTACACTCAGATTTTTTCAGTTTAATAAATCGGTAATAGATTTGCAATTTTCTTCGTGACACTTTTTAAAATTAATTTTCGTTCTGCTTACGAGACTTATTTACGAATTACACACATATTCTATCTCAATGAATAAAATATCTGTGTCTTAATCAACTTAATCTCCCGTTCTAAATTTCGATTTGGATGAATCTGCATCCTTTGTGTTTTAGCCTATATGTCAAACCATCCAATGTCCAAGATCATTGTATACTGAACACTTTCTTGTCAAATAAATGTTTGCCTTATTTTCTATAAACTGAAAATGCATGACTTTGTTTCCGTAAAATTTCTCTGTTTCTGCAATTTTTACTCCCCAATATCAAAGTCTATCACATATTGTGTCATACGTTGTAATATATGGTTTATGTTTTTATGTTTTGATGTTTTTGTTTTTTTGTTTTTTTATTCATCTTTTTTATTGTGTATTATCAGCATTTTTAATCTTCATTTTTACTCAATTGTGGCTCACGCGTTGAGTACAATGAGTTTTTTAATTTATTTATCATTCTTCATCAAAATAGTATTTATATTTTTTATTTTATATATTATGTTATATGTTATATTACTTTATTTCATAAATCGTCACTGGCTCTTGAGAAATTATAATTTTTTTATTCAACGAGGGCTTGAATTTCATTTATCAAAAGAATTAATTTACAAAACCAAGAATATTATACTTGAACAAATTGTACGAATCAATTATTATAGACGAAAAATCTTTTAAATCTTCTAAATTGTTTGCTTAATACAAATTTTTTCAAAATATTCAAGATATAAATCCCATCATACAGTTGGATGCATGGGCTGATAATTGTCAACTTATTACATTTAATGTAAAACCAACAGAGCTACAATAACAAATTTTTCAATCATTTAATTAAGTAATAGTCACAAAAATAAGTAAAATAAAGATGCAAGTAGCATTATGCCGTTGTCTGATAATAACGCAAAAGAATACGATTATCAATAGTATTAATTAACTTGGTCGATCAAAATCTCAAAATGAAAGTGTCAAACTTTTCTTACTGTTAAAAGTATTTTTCAAGTTTAATTAAATATAGCTCGTTATCACAAAATACAGGCATTCTTAATAAAAAGGTAAAATTCATTCTTAATCTAGAGGTGATTTTTTAAAGTAAAGAAAATGTTGTTTATTTTTACCTTTTATTATTCAATGCATCGAAGAGCGAGTATGACATTTTAAAATAGTATAAAAAGAACATTATGAATATTGCTCAAATGATAATTTGATTTTATTTATAATTTTATTACGAAATGTCTGTTCAGGGGAAAATCGTGGTACGAATTTATAGAAATTTTTAAAGTTTCGTGTACGAATTTTTCTCAGAACGCATTTTATCGTAGAAATTATCAACGCATGTATTAACAAGTAATTTAATTCACAAATCAGCGCATCGTAATGTTGAAAAAGGAATACAGCAATCTTGTTGTAAAAAATGGAAAGGCTCGTAGAAGAATTATTTTTTATGACATTTTATCTATTCTTATGCATGGGAGTCATAGGATGGATAGAAAAATATTTTATGAGAATTGACACAGCAACCTGTAAAATAGATTTTATAAATCATAGAGAAATTTACAAAAACTCTTTACGATTACAAAAATGTGAAATCCAAAATAAAAATGAAGGCCATATACAGCAAAACTACGTGTTCTTTTATTGAAAACATTAATTCACAGAATTATAAACAAAAATTATTAATATAGAAAACTAAAAATCGCAGCAAAAATGAATTAATTTGAAAAGTACAATAGCGCTAGAAAAATGACCTTGAACTAGATTCTCATGCATATAAAATATTCGAGTAATTTGCGACGAAGGTTATTTCCGCAATGTTAGATCACTTTTCTCTAGAATGCATACATAAGAATGTGAAATTCACACTAGTTTTACTGGATAATTTTATTTTGTATAATATTTACTTTAATATTTTGCTTCTAAACATTGACAATAATCTTGAAATTTTATTAATTTTTTTACTTTCATGAAAAAGAAAATTATTTTATTGCAGCAATTAACAATCGCTATATCATATAATTAATGAGCGCATATATGACTAATGTTTGTTCTAATAAAATTTAAGTTTGTAAGCATATATAACAATATCATTTGTAATACACCATTATTAATACTGTACGAATTCTTTTCTCGTATCGTGATCAAAAATGAAATTAAAATTTGATATTAAAAAATCGTTTGAATAAAGCTTCATTCACCAAATATTCACAAATTTAACAGTCAGAATTGTTAGTTTACATTCATATGACGTGGATGTGTGTCAGTTTGAAGTTTGAATAGATAAATATAAAAAAAAAAGAAATTAGCGAAGCAAGAGCGAAGCAAGAACTGGAAACTTTGTGCTTGCAGGAAGTCGCGATCTCGCGGGCACGCGTCAAGGAGCTCTGGGCCGCAGCGACTTAGGCCTGGACACAGAGTCGTCTTTTCCTTCACGTCGCTCCGCACTGAGCGATTCGTTCTTAGACGACGAGGAGACGGTCTTCGACATCAGAGGTCAGCGCACGACGCGACCCCGCCGCCATCAGCAGCTCATCGACGACTTCGCCGACGACGTCGCAGCCACCAGCAACCGACTCAAGTCCCGCCTGCACATCTCCTCCGAGAGCGTCGACGATAAGCTGAGCGAGACCATGCGCGGCGCCCGAGCTGCCTTCGACGAGGCGGAAACGTCCTTCCGGCGCAGAGCCACAGCCGCCGCCGACTCGTCCGACTCTCTGTTGGACGACTTCAAACCCTCGCTGACCAAATGGAGCAAACTGGGCGAAACCGTCGAGGAAGAGGTGGGCAGCTCGGCCGCGAGTCGCGCCAAGCAGAGCCGAGCCAGGCTGAGCGATCTCGAGGCCGAGATGGAAGAGATGGCCGAGAAGCAAGCGCGACGAGAACGCAGAGCCGCGGCACTGAGGGCTCTCATCGACGAAACCAACAGCCAGGTTGACGACAGTCTCGCCAACAGTAGCAAAGTCAGCAGCAGTCACTCCGTGCACAGATCGGAAAAAAGAAGTGAAAAACACGTTTCTTTTTGAGCGATCGATAGCTTTTCAATAATAAATATCTGAGTGGAATTTCTTCAACTCTGATTATTTTCTTGCGCGCTAGGATTAACAAACTCCACACACTCTCTCAACAAACTCCGACAATTGTATTTTTTTGTAAAAGTCTGGATGGATAGGATTTTTCATTCCGACAGTCCCATCAAATTTTAATTAAATCATCAAAAAAGGCTGAATTTATCAGTAGGACCGTCTTTAATTAAATTATTGTTCTTTTATCAAACCTAGATTTATTGACCGATTAGAAAGTGCAAAATTTTACTTATAATATTAACTTATTATAAACACTAAGTTTTATGTTACAAATTCAACAGAATCAAAATTTTAAAGATAATAAAAATTCAATACCATTGTTTCGATGCTTTTCATAATTATCACTGGTAAATGATTTATTAGAAACATTAAATCATTTTTTATTGTATAAACCACGATCAAAAATAAAAGTGATCAAGCTGATTTAAATGTAATATCTTTTAACTGTTGACAAGGAGCTGATATTTTCCCCTGAAAGATATTAATCGTTATTTGATAGAAAATCCCAATCATATAAATGTAATAATGAATAATTATTTTTTTAAATGATAATATAAGGATATATGTTCGTGTCTCGTAAATAAAGAAAAATTTATTGTTCCTTATAATAGTTTCAGCTACGTCCCAATATATAAAACGTCGTCAAGCTATACTATTTTTAAAGTGACTCAAATGTAAAACAATTTATTTTGTTGTAATATGAAAAATAAAAAATACGAGCTTACAATTTGTTTGCTTCCAAAAAAACTCAAATTAACTATTTTTTACCCTCACCTTGCTGTTATCTAAGTTTGATTATTTTTGTTGTGTCATCCCTTTAAGTTTTAACTTCTATATTTCTTGAAACATCCAAAAAATTTGAAGTTGTTTGGAATTTCAATATTGTGGGTCAACACCATGTTAATGAACAAAATTTAGAAAAGCAGTCCTATTTACTCTAAATATCCAAATATGTATGTAAAGTTTTAATTATTAAAGTGTGATTAACTTCCATTGTCACCCTGTAAAATAATTTTCAAAACCTTCCATTGAGATAATATAATTATTTTAAAAAGACGTGAAAGTAAAATTCAATCCAAAGTAAGGAATCTGTAAACTAAAATTAACTAGCATCTGAAAATGAAAATTCAAACGGGTAATTTTGCGTTTACAATACAAGCTCATTTTAGGGTCTCGAGACTTGGGAGGTAACGACGATATCAATGAAGACTTTGACTTTTATTGTGGTCGCGATCATCAGGACAATTGCGAGGACGAATTTTTGATGAACCAACGTCGAGCCAAAGAACGTGCAGCAGCAGCTTTCGAAGAAGACATTGCCGAGCTACGCCGAAAAAGGAGAGATATTGAGGTTACTGATAATCATAAATCACTTTCTTCCGTACCAATAATAAAATGTAAATTTTTTTATAATATTACTCAACGAAATTAAAGCTCAATTAAACATATACCTATAGGACCGTATGTTCGATATGATCGATTTAAATGCCGAAATCGAGAAGGCTAAGAATACACTAGGCGCCGCAGACAATCTGTTTCAACGTCATGCCCTACGCTTCGACAACCAAGAACCTAAAGAAATCGAAGACCCGAACATGTCTTTAGCCGAGCGCTTGGATCGAGCTCGCAAGGCTGCCGCCAAAGAAGCTCAAAATCTCAGTCAACCCAACATCAAGCTCATGAAACTTGTGCCCGTTGAACCAGATCAAATCACAGGTCAACTGCCCGTTGGTTTGCAAGGAGTGACATTTCAATGTCAGTAGGTTTCCCGAAACCTAACATGTTTTTGATTCGGATATGCTTTCAATTCAAATATGTTTAATTAAAATACCATTTTTATGGATTGAAAACTTATTACTCGCAGGATGGTCTTTCAAGAAAAATTTCATTAAGATTCAACTTGATGTGCATTTACTTGTATAATTAGGACCTTTTCGATTAGACGTAAATAAAATTTCAGTACTGCCTTACATATGATATTTAATGATTAGTATCGCTGTTGTTTTATTATCTTTTTATTGAACACTTGAATTCATGCAAAATCTATTCTGTACTGTTTCTGTAAAATAATATTTGAAAGAAAATGTTGGTATTTTGTAAAAAAGTTTACTCATTGGGACCATGTTATCAATCATAGTGACGTTTAACTGGCTTTTAAAAACTATGTTATAAATATTTTATCCTGGTAACTCAACTTATATTCAAAGATTTGTCGAAAAAAGTAATTTAATAAAATTCAAGAATAGCATAAAATATGTAGCTGCTTTTTATTTCAATAACCATTAATATTTAATATTAATAAATATCAAAAAATAATAATGTAACATCGAACAACCGCATAATGGTAATTCTGGATTAACTTTACAATGAGTCAAAAATAGTACTTGTTCTCTACGCATAGAAAACATATATGTAATCTTTTAAATATTCAAATGTGTATGCTTTAGACATTTTTTAAAATTAAACAAGTACTTTTTATTAAAACCAGTAAATTTGCAATGAAAAAACGATAACCTAATACTGAACTCACAAAAATGCCTAAAACTCTTTCAACTCAAAGAATTTTTTTGTTTGAAGCTATTCAAACTCTTCTGATGTATTAAAATTCTTGAATATAAATCTTTTTTTTATATTCATTTTAAAAAGGATCAAAAGTGTGATTTCTTGAAATGAGCTGGCTTGTTGATACGTTTAGAGCTTCTGATCACTACTACAGTTCAGTGATGCTATTTATCATACGATCGAAACAAACCTCCTACCAAAAGCTTCTACCAATTGATTGCATTATTGTTATATTGTTCTTGTGATGTATGTATATTCTTTGCCAATGTCAGCGTTAATTTATAGTAAGTAAACCAGATCACAGACTTGAAGAAATGCAAGATGTGTCCTGTTGTACGACAGTTCGTGACTTTGAACTTATTATTTGTGATAGCTATATTTTTCAATTTTATTTAATTAATTCATCAGTCGCTAATGATAAACGAAAAAATGTATTATCTTTGATAAAATTAATTAAAACCAACCCTTAAATTGAGGAATTCGATGAACGCCATTTAAAATAGCAAGCTATATTCAGTGCAAGATAAAACAAAACATTCATCAGACGGATAAAATAAATACAACTAAAATATGTCTTTCCTATATGCGCGTTGAAAGATCTTGATAGGCGTGTTGAAAGATACTAGCAGGTGTATAGGTCACTTATAATAATCAAGGACGCGTCTACAACCATTCTTCCTTGTGTTGAATATGATTGCTATTTAATAAATGATGAACAAAGGAAAGTAGCGGGGAAAAGTCATTCCAAAGCCTATTTTATGATGAATCAATAGGTTGATGAAGTTCGCTCGGAGTCCCATGATCAATATGACTAAAAAATGCAAATGAATTTCAAAGTGTAATAATGAAATCAAAATCATTGATGATCGTGACATTGGAAAAAAATGCTCGTGTCATTATTGAAATGCAACATGCACACGTGTTCGATCAGGGCGAACATCAACAAGGTAAAGATGAAGAATGCACACGTGTCCATTGCACTGCCCTTTTGCATCTCAAGCGTGTGCGAGTCGAGGGACAGGAAACATGTGCGCGAAACGATCCCCCACTTAAGGAATTAATAGCTATGTATTGCGAAAAAAAAAGAAGGGAGGACTGTACATGAAGTCTTAAAAGCTAAAATAAAAGCGCATACATCAGTCAGTGCAGCATTACAGTCGATCGGTGCAGTGGTGCGAAGTGTTTGAGGTGGTTCACAATTTGTTGATCAGTGTACAGGTGTACAGAGTTTTTCAGGCTCGTTATATACCAAAGGTGATTAGTTTGTTCTTACCAGTATCTTGGTGTTTCACGTGTTAACGATTTTGCTAAAAGTGTTCATCGAAGTGATTTGAGGTTCTTCTCAGCAACGAGTCCATCATATTGCCGTTTTTTGCCTCATTTTTAAGGATACATTCTTCGCAGTCAATTTTCATACATTGATTCAAGTCATAAAGATTAATCCAATAGTTTTTAATATTTTTACATTAGCATTTACACAAAGTTAAAATATTTTTACCTTATTTTTTACAATTCTTTAGTTTCAACTGTTCAAAATAGGACGGCTTTTTTCTATATTTCAATTGATTTATGTAACAAATCTTTATTGATTTTAAGCAATGTCGTTATATTTTTTTTCAATACACTTGTGTTAATAATCGTGAAAATAGATGCACGTATATTATAGTCAGTGGGCGTGCGGAGCATGTCGAAAGGGTTAGATCGAGGTCAAATTCACTCTTAAATAGCATATCCCTCGCCAAAATATTTGTTACTCGATTTAGACGATTGATCGCTTCATCGGCAATTTTTTTTGTTTACTATTGTACTGCACACTTCATTGATTTTGCATCTTGCAATTTACTTAGCTTTTTATTTCACTCGTTCTTTCCAATAGTTGAATACAGAAAAAGGCATTAATTAGAAGGATGTCCAAATTGATTCATAAATGAAAATTTTCAAACACATTTTTCGAATTTATTTTTAAATATGTTTCCAAGCATCTTCTTTTGGATTTTTTGTTTAAAAAACTAGAAATCCTTATTTGAATACTTTCATTATTATAAGGCTTCGAAATACTGTTGAGACGCTTCGGACATTAATTATTGATATTGATATAAATCGATAGGTATAAAAAGTCGGCAATATGTGGGATGATGAGCCAGCACCATGGGGCGATGATGCGCCAGCGGCAGAGGCAGGTGCCGCTGCTCCGGACGCAGCAGCAGAAGGAGCACCCGCTGCTGCAGCTGAAGAGGGTCCATGGAATTGGAGAACAGCCAACCTACCAAAAGCAGATCCACCACACTATACCACTCACTGGGTTAGGCCACTTTACCTGAATTATCGTTACATCTATGATTACAGGTAAGTTTTTTCTATTCTACTCTATCTGCTCACAAGCAGATCCGTTCTAGAAAAACCAAACTAGAATAGAACAAGGATTTCAAGTTCAATGTTTTATTTTCAATAGACAAAATTATTACAACGATGTGATTGATTGGATGAACAAGAGGAATCTTGGTATTCAACGCGAGATTCCACGAGCACAAGAATGGGCCGAACGTGCTATTAGGACTGCCGATGAAAGAAATGTAGAAAAGAGCACCAAACGAGCTTCTGATATGAACATTCTCATCGGATACAAACCTTTGGTGCGACACTACAGTTATCACACCAGGGCCTATTACAGTCTTAAGTACCAGAAAATTCTTTAAGCTGAGACAAATGTTGCAAAGAAGAAAAACTTGAAAAATAGAAAAAAATGACTTCATGCGAAACGAAAATCTGCGAAATATGTGCTGAAAGTTTTCTAGAAGAACTTACAGCAGTTAATCTATTACTAATCAAACAATTGCACATGTGTGTGTATGTTACATGATTGTTGAAACGCACACATTTATTACATATAAATTCACATAAGTTTATTGACTTTTATTAATTATTATAAAAAACTATTTGTATACATAATTATTTCTTATGAAATTAATAAACTGAGAGAAATATTTATTAACAGAAAAGGTATATCTTTACAGTAAACAAAATACATGGTATTTTTGAAGCGCTTCTCTTTACTTTAAACCATATAACTTTGTTGTTAATGGATATTTTTCTCAGTATCTGAAACAAACAGAAATTACGAACGAAGAAAATGTTTCTGATTAAACTTTATTTTAGAACACGTCTTTCCACGAACGATTACTATTAGTATGATTATGTGTGAGTAAAATTCTTATAGAGTTGACTAGAAATATTTATTTTTTCATTAGAAAATCATACGAAGAAAACAATTCTGATGAGAGATTTTTAAAGTCAAAGTTATTGAATTTCAGAGAAATTTCAAGCTGTATCAATTAATTAATTAATTAGTTAGTTAATTAATTTAATTGCATATCAGTAATACACAATTGGCAATTTACATTGATATATGACAAACGATTCACGAATCAAAAAATATATTGTTAACGTTTTTATTTGATTTTTATTTCATGAATATGTATAATATTATACTCTACTCCAAATGCCTTATCTACTTTTTACGTAAAATTCAATAAACAAAATATTTCCGGATTTAAAGTGATTTTATTAATTCTTATTATTAAGTACCCTTCAAATTCTGCAAAATATAACATCAAAGTTAAGAAATGAAGTAAAATTATATAAAACAAAATTTAGTATTCTCAAAGGTTTCCAAAATATTATTTTGTAAGCAGTCATTTGGATGCAGGTAAAGAGGGTCGATGATTTTGAAGTACCCGTTGCGGAGAATTTTGACTGAAGCGTCTTTGAAGTACATCAAGTATTTTTGGCTGTAAGCATCCCAAGCGTCGTATATGCGACCCAGAAGGTCGTTGTTGTAAGGTTCGAAGCCTCCTTCCTAAGCTAGCTCGTCTTGATATTTCCATTGCTTGTCCTGCAAGGACATTGCAAGTGTCTTCTCTTGGGGTGTCAACTCGCGGTCCTTACCGGTGGCTAATCTTTCTTCCAGACTCTGTACGTGGGCCATTCCGCGCATCATCGATATGAAGTATTTTTCGCCATAAGAACACCCCAGAAAATTGTCAATTCATAAAATTCTTATATGAAGTTTATTGATATAAATACATTTTATTGATATCGTATAAATAGGCAATTGACGCAAACTTTCTTGATTATCAAAACTTACTGTATGTAGTTATTTTCATGTTCCGTTTAACGCTTTAATGGAATTATACAGTGTGATAGTCACTTCAAGTGGGTTTTTCATAGTGATAAACGTAGAAAACAACAATTGTATCATTAATATGTGATGAATCTATATCGTGTTTCTCTATCATAGAGTTTTCCAGGTCTAATGAGAAATTTCAAGTTCATATAATGTCATTCATTTTCGCTTTATCACCCATGTTCAAATTTGTTACAATTTTTTATTTACATTTTATACGTTTATGATACGTTGTGATTTGTTTGTCCACTATTTGCACATTATTCGATAACTAATGAGATACGATTCAATGTCTAACGTCTATTAATGTAAAAATATTTACTTATTATCAATTAAATGTATTTAATTTTAATGCTACACTTATCAATGTCAAATGCGTTTTTCCCCGTAAACTTTATTGAACTTAATAGTATTTCACATAAAATGTACCTATAATTTTAATTATTGAGAATTATGGATGTGGAAAATGTCATTTTGACAAAAATTCTAAAAATGAACCTTTTGATTATTTTCAAGATTTCATATTAAGATGCTGCAAAGATCCGAATTTTTTTTGAAAAAGATCTTAATGATTTACAGTTCTCGACTACAGCTCCATTGATGCATTCCAAAGTACACTATGTAATAGGTATCTTGATTTTGCTCGGCGGGAGCAGTGGAAACGACTCAAAACTTAGGATGCCTTGGTTGAAACAAGATGAATAATAAAATGAAACCGTAAAAATGTATCTTAAATGATTTAATTTTATAAAATAAATGAAGAACTGAACTGAAAAACTTTAAATAATATACCGATCTCATTTTGTAATTTACCCCCTACCACTATCCGGATGTAGTTGCTTGCTAAAGTCAAATTGTTTGGGAAGTCGGTGGATCATGAAGATTGTTGGTATGATCATCATACCAACTATGATGACGAGGAGTTCACGAGCTGAGCGAAAATGAAAATGATTAGAAGTAATGATCCGAGCCTGTCGCTATATGGCCTGATTAGGTTACGACCTCAAGAATCAGAGAAAAACTCACTTATAGAAACTGCATCAAGTTTGTGAGCTCGTACTAATTATCTGCTGAGCTTCCCAAAATATCTTATATTTAGGCCTGTGCCTCGCACTTGTATAAGATACTATTGATACGATTTTTCCGGCCCTGTATAACAACATGTTTCTATGACCTGAAGCAACGCCAGCTGCCAATTAAGGGCTTGGGCCAATTGGTTCTTGAGAACCAATATTAGAGAAATACGAAAATATTTCCTTTACGGTTATTTAGTACGAAATAATTTGAAGAGCAAAAATGAAAATAAATCATCTTTCGAAAAAAATAAATCCAATTAATACTATTAAGGCGATTTCGCTGATCAAAAGAGATAAACAGTTGAAAGTGAAAATAATAATTTTAAGATTACATAGGATTAGACGCAAAAAATTCTAAAGAATGTATTCGGACTATACATTCGAATACATAGACGTCCTCTACGAGTCGTCAACGAGCTGCCGTAACTGGAGGCTTCAAGTGTTGCGTGACTGGAAGGCCTTCCCATAAACAAACTGTACCTTGAATGAAGATCCTTTTCTGTATAAACGAAAAAATCTGAATAGATACATCACCTGGGATTCTGGACGTCGTTCGGTCAGGTTCGCATCCGATTTGAACTCGTACAGAGGTGGACGAACTTTCATCGCAACGAAAATTTTGTACTATTTTCAAAAATTTTTTCAAGCAATTTATAATGAGAGCCGATGAGATATTGTTGAACAATTTACTCATGTGAATAGTAGGCATTTATTTGAAAAACCGGAAATTGTATAAAATCACGAGTAGTAATATTACAAAACGTTTTAAAAAGTCAAATAAAATATTAAAATATATTTGATGTAAATGTTATTTCAAACACACCTCTATACATCGATACATTTAAATAAAAAAATTATTAATTAATGAATACAAAAGAACGCAGCTGTCAAAATTGGAGAATTAAAGGTTTTTGACTCATATCTCACGATGCAAGCAAGTTACAGAGAAATTAATTGAACAATTCGATTTTTGAGGAAATTTTACTTCAATATACACAAAACATCTTTAATCAATATTTTCTCCAAATAAAAGTATTATTTTCTTAATAATATAATATGGCACAATGACTGTAATCGCATCAAAAGAGGAACGACTATTAACATGTATTGGTGAAAAAAAAGATTAAATTTCAATTCAGATATTGGAAAAAAAACAAAAATACAGTTGTACGTATCTCACTGGCTTTGGCATGAATTGATATACTTTTTACCAAAGTAATTTCTTTGTCTCTTCAGTACCTAATTAAACGGCTTTTAATTCCGATACACGATCGTAGAAAGCCCTTTGAGTATGATATTTTTCACAAATCATTTGCATACCAGAGTCGGCTCAAAAGATTCAATAAAAGACTCAATAAAGAGTCCGAAAAAAATAAATTCTCATTAGACTTGGAAAAATCTGTTGTAAAAATACACGTTATAATTTCGTGATAGATAATAATACAATCATTGTTTTCTACGCTTATCCCTTTGAAAAACCCACTTGAAGCGACTATCACTCACGATTGAAGTATGTATTGGAAAAATAGAAATGTTGAGAAAGTCTTGGTGAAAAATGACCACTGACCATCGCATCGTAGCTGATTGCGTGAATAAACAATTAAGTTTTACGTCAAATTTTATGCAAATGGTTTGTGCAAATATATGTTCGATTATTTGGGTGTATATGAGTCCAATGAAAAGTAAAGCGGAGCAGGAAAAAAAACTACATACAGTAAGAGTTTGCGTCAACTGCCTATTTATTCGATATCAATAAAATATATTTATATCAATAAACTTCATATGAGAATTTTATGAATCGTCAATGATCGGTAGGTGGATGATCGATAATTTTCCATTCTATGTTTGTGCAAATAGTCTACTACATCAAGCTAACGGTATAAAAGCACCACTGATTCGTTTGTCTGCATCAGTTCAGGTTCGGTCGAATTGACTCAATTACTGGTATTATTTTATAGCGAAAAATTTAAAGTTAGCCATTTTGCGGGAAAAATGATGAACTACAGGTTCCTGTGTTCGTTAGCCACTTGGTGCAGCTTGGCATACCTTTCTGCTGGGCTGTCAATTTTAACGAAGAAACCAAACATATGTGTCCTTGGGGCTGGGGTCTCAGGATTAGCGGCTGCGAAAGCGACGGCAGAGTATATTCGGGAGCTGGACCTGGTGGTGTTTGAAAAAAGCTCCGACGTAGGTGGATTGTGGAGGTATACAGATAGTCAGGATAAAGACGAGCATGGCTTGCCTGTGCACAGTAGCATGTACAAGTACCTTCGGTGAGTATTGTCCTCCTACTTAGTCAGTTATTCAAGTTCATTTCTTCTGATTTAAAAATCATTTATTTTCGTTTTCAAGGACCAATGGACCTGGAATACTCATGGAGTATCCGGACTTCCCCCATTCCAATGAAGAAAACCGAGAGCAATGCAACAGTCATCAGTACGTTTTACATTATTTGACACAATACGTCAAAGTATTTGGATTGCGCAAGTACATAAAGGTAAGCCAGGACCACTTGAATAAGAGGTTTTATTTTAACAGTTTTTAGCAATTTTACAAAATCTCTTTTCCTTAGTTTAATACCGTGGTAGAAGAAATTTTGCTTTTGGAAGGCGATAAGGACGATTGGAAGAGCGACAAATGGTTAATGATTACTCGTGATTTAGAAACCGATCATGAATCGTCGACTCTGTGTGATGGTGTGGTTGTTGGTAATGGGTAAGTTTGTATAAAAATCGAAAAACACGTGTTAAAACTAGCCTCGACCACAAATTTAACCCTTCCCACAGACACTACCATAAAACGAACGTGCCCAAGATTGCCGGAATCGAAAATTTCCCCGGCAAGATTCTTCACAGTCACATCTACAGGTACCCTCAAGAATTTGAAGGCAAAACCGTTTTGGTACTAGGGGCTGGATTCTCTGGAATTGATATCAGCCAGGACATGTCGCCGTACGTCAACAAGATATACCTGAGCCATAACAAACCTAAGTAAGAATTTCTTTATAAGCTGGACTATGATCAAAAGTCAAACGTTTCCTTATTTATTAATTTTTTCAGAATTCAAAGTAGACTACCGAAAAACGTCGAGCAGGTTGCAGGCTTAGCCTCTGTCAATGGTTCGACGCTCATTCTGAGGGACAACTCGACGCTTCAGGCCGACGTAATCCTCTTCGCCACAGGTTATTTATTTTCTTATCCATTTTTGAGCAACGACTCTGGTCTTGAGTTGAGTGGAAAATATGTCTACCCATTGTACAAATACATGCTCAACGCCAAGCATCCATCCATGGCCCTTGTAGGAGCCGCCACGGAAACCGCCAATTATCCTCTTTCCCGCGTACAGGTGAGCGTCGTTGTAACATTTGCATAAAACTCACTAAAAATTGGTTCAACTGACTTTGGCACTGATTTATTTGCGTAGAGCCAGTACTTCGTATCGATGATGCGCGGCAAGGCCCACGTACCGAGTCTGGAAGAAAGATTAGTCACCGGTAAGGACCGCGAGTTGACACCGCAAGAGAAGAGACTTGCAATGTCCTTGCAGGACAAGCAATGGAAATATCAAAACGAGCTAGCTCAGGAAGGAGGCTTCGAACCTTACAACAACGACCTTCTGGGTCGCATATACGACGCTTGGGATGCTTACAGCCAAAAATACTTGATGTACTTCAAAGACGCTTCAGTCAAAATTCTCCGCAATGGGTACTTCAAAATCATCAACCCTCCTTACCTGCATCCAAATGCAGAGTGATTATGTCAAACCCGTGTAAATAATTTGAGATTAGTTCTATTGAGGTCGTTAATAAATCAATGTGAGAAGTAAACAAATCTGCTGCCTATTCATTAGCAAAAAGCTCCACCCGAACAACACACAGCTTTTTTTTCATGTATTGCTAGTCAAAAATAAATAATTATTTTATTTTGATGCATTTTAACAAATTTGACATCGTGACAGATACATTCTTTTTATATCATTTTAATATCATACATCAATATTCCAAGTTTAGGGTTCGTGAAAATGAATGAAATATAAAATTTGCTCAGAGTGGAATCCATATGAGACAGTTACCTGAGCAGTACAATGCAACTAGGTCAGTTAAGTTGATCTTAACCAAAAGAATTCGATTGAGTTTACAAGTATGTAAACGGAATTGTCCTATGACGTCTGTTTCAAAAAATGCTTTAAAGCCTCTGTAAATCACTTGTACTCATGTGCTTGTACGTATTTAAGTCTTTAGAATAAGAATGATTCTAACAACAATAAATACTTAAGACTATATTCTTATTCTTATAATTTTTTCGGGACTTTTATCTTGTAGTTTCAGACCGTACCTTTTAGACAAGATAGTGAATCCCGTTCTAACAAAATAGTTGTTTTCTTGAGGGGTCGTATCAGAATCTACTTTAAGACTCAGCTTTATTAAAATTAAAAATTTTCAATGTGCGAGAAAAGAAAGAAAAATATTTTATAGTAAATTTTGTCCCTAGAGTTTCGTGAACATTTAAAAAAAATTAAAACGAAAAATTATTGGCGTACATTATTAATAAATATTATTGAATTTATCTGATACTTCGATATTATCAAGTATCTACTCCTGAAGTTAATAAACTCATAGTAAAAACAAATTAATATTTATATTTCCTAGCTTGTTACTTTTTATTTAGCAATGAAATTACTTTTATATTTGATTTTTATAATCTATGACTTTCTCCTTTTCCCTTTTATAAAATTATTTAAAATAAAATTTGTTTTAACTCATCTACTAGTCGAGTTCTTGCGATTGTAGTATTTTTTATGTTAGAATTGACAAATAATATATTTAATAGAAGTCGAACAGTTAATTTTGCATGAATGATCATATAGCATATGCCGAGGAACTATTCATTATTTTGCTGGTGTTAACTTGCTTTATTTAGAATATACAGTATTTAAGAATATTCTATAACTTATGTATTAAAACATCAAACATGCATTTATAGAAAAAAGTCTTGAAAGCCTTTGTATAAATTTATATTTAAAAAATGCAAGGACCGAAAACTCTTTGACAATACAATTAATTTACTATGTTACCATTTAATTCGCTTCCACACCGAGTACAGCCTAAAATAACCATGAACTTGCAAACAAACATGTTAAAAAGAGCAACGGTAGTGCAGCTAAAACAAAAACAAAAAGTTACGAGCTTTATGAGGGGAAGTGCGTCGCTGAGTTAGTATTCTTAGCCCTTAAGCATCGCTTGTGCGCTAGCAAGTTGTGTATTCGTTAATCAGTGGTGCACAGGCCTTCGAGGCGTCAAAATGTTGCGCGGGCATAGCTTACTTTAAAGTATGTAACGGTTTTTATATAAAAAACAGAAGAAATTAATGTAAAAAATAAACAATTGAAATACTGGTTTCTTCAAGCGTTAAAATGAATTCATATTTTCATTATAGAATTAATAACTTTTGCCCCTTGTGCTGTGTTTTTCTATAGTTATTGTTAAATGTACTTTTTTTGGTGTTAAGTTTTGAACATAAGTTAATTTTTGCTTTCTAGAGTGAAACTATTTTGGCACAGTGCTAGCAACATATATTTAACTTTCGCTATAAAGGTGAGATTTTAATGTTTCTCCCATTCAAGTATTTAATTTAAATCTATTTTAGTCTTTTATAAAGACAATTAAAATGGTATACAAACACATTTACTAACATTTCATGTGTTTTTCATTAATGCGTTTCATTTTTGCTTACTGTAAATATTTGATTTATATTTAAAGTATTATCTTTCAACATGAACACCCAAGTTTATTTTTTCAACGTTCTTATTTTATTCCAACTCAAATTGAGGCTAAAATGAAAATTTTTTCTTTCGTTGTTATTATTAAACCCAAATATAATTGAAAATATCACCAAAATTCTAGCATAATTTTTTTATTGTAAACTATTTAGTTTAATGAAATGAAGTGTCCTCCGTGTACACGCGAAAAAATCGTATATTTTAATTAAATTTGTATAGTAATTAAGTCATTTCAATGCAGCGAATTATGATGTACTCGAATGATAAAATTAATTTAATATGATCGAATGAAATTAATGCGAAATAGTTGAACATTTCATTATTAATTTTAAATATGAAAAAAATCAACGGTTTTAATTCTATAATTAATCGTATAAAAGCGAGCGCAACATTTCTTATAATTTAGAATGATTTTAAATTTAACTATCGATAGATAATAGAAAAATTATAATATCGTCTAAAAGGCTAAAAAGTTATTTATATCGTTTGGTTCTTTGCCATAAAGATTTGAGTAGCCACTTTTATAAATTGATTTTTATGTTTGTCATAAAAGGGAATTAAAATTAATTTAAGTTAAACTAATTGAAATATATTAATCTAAGCATTAGTAAAATATATTAATATATGGAACTAGGAGTCTCCTAAAAAAATTTACTGTTTTGATGTCACTCCTTTTTTGTAAAATCTGAAGATATTGTTGATTTTTACTTCAAGTACTATTCTTGACATAGAAATTTGATAATATAATTAACTAAATCAATTAAATTATTACAAATAGTTATAAATTAATAAATACTCATAGTTTAATATACTTTACAGTTTACGAGGTACAAAATTAATAAATTATTATGCGAGGAAAAATGTTCTTCATTATGAAACTTTTTTATTCAGACATAATATTCGCATAATTGTTTGAAAAAATATTTTTCAACCTATTAAATAAATTAAACATTTTTCATATTATCTAAACAAAGAAAGTTTGTATTTACAACAACTTTTCTTTTATCTAAGAACTCACACCTATAATATACGTTATATTTCATATTTTTCTACCAAGAAAGTCATTTTTATTAATGTATTTTACCAATAAATAGTTTCGAAAGTTTTACTTTATACGTATAAACCAAATCGCAGAAATTTTAATTTTTATCAGTTGTACAAATTAAATATTGTAATTAAAATAAACGCGAGCAATGCAATTATTTATATTTTTTGCTCTATATACTGTCCATATGGGTATTGGGTTACTAGTTGCCTTCATCTTCAATTTTAGAAACAGAATACTGAAAAAAGTTTAGATACTGAACTCTTCTACTTTACAATTTTTTTTCATTTCTATCGATTTTAACGTAGTATCCATTAAGGAATGGCTGGTTTGAGAAGTGCTCTAATGGCAAATAATAATTTTTTATTTAGTATACTTTACGATGCTAGTGCAATGGGTAGTACTTTATGTTATTCGTGTCACGAGTAAATTTTAAAGGCCTATGAATATTGACATTTTATTTTCATATTTTTCTGTAAGATTCTGGAGCGACTGATAAGAAAAAAAAATATTGATCGATAATTCAGAAAACTATTGATATTTTTTCAGCTTTCGTCCTTGTTTCGGTGAGCTGTAATATTAGATTGTTCAATGACTTACCAAACAGAACAAAGTTTTTTGATAATTCAATTTTGAAACAATTGCTTTTCAATTTTTCATGAAAATCTTCAGTTTAATCACCAGTACGAATGATTTATATAGAAACCGAGCTTCTTATCTAAGACTCCAGGGCAGAAGTCAAGGTCTCTGGCCAACAGGTCACCACCTGACCCTGTACCTGCGCCTGCTAAGTTTTGTCTTTTTGCCATCTCTTGTCCAACGGCAGAACCATTGCATTTATTTTTCAAAATATAACTTTCATAATTCAATACTTCTTTTTATGAAATTACAACTAAAATAAAATTAATTACATCTAAAGTAGATGAGATGTAATATAAATCCCAAAAAATTCACATGAAATCTTAACACGATTTTTTATATATTTGAAATACAAAATTGAAATGAAATGACATAGTCGTAATATTAAAAATAATTGTTTGGCTTACTTAATATTGATGTTTGCCAAAATAAGAATTGTTTGTCACTAGAATAAACCAAAAGGAAGGAATACGCGATTACCATCTGTATAGATACTACTAGTATATCTGAAATCGTAATCTCAAATTAACTTTTCAATTGATCGAGAAGTGATTTGACATATATTTTAATTGATATTATTTTATACTACTAAAACTATTCTTTATGAATCAACTATTTGAAATTGAATAATTACTAAATTTAGCCTTGCACTAACATATTTCAGAAAAATATAACTGTTTATTCTTCAAATTTTTACGTTTAATACCATTATTTTTCTTCGATTTTACATTTAATTTTTTTTATTGAAGTTCACCTGAAATTATTCCATTATTATTTTTTTCAATAATTATTATATTCCTGCAACTCAACAGCATATTTCTTGAATTATACTTTTTTAGAACATGCAACAACGTTATTATATCTGTACTAAGAGCGCATGCGCATACCATAGATTATGTGAAGCATAGGCTGCAACATAAAATTTTTATAAAATCGGTTTAAACAACTTTTGCTTTTGATGCAAAAATTTTTTACATAAATTATTACAAATATTAAATTTTTTTTTAAATTTTCATTTTTTGTATCAAACCACCACCAGAGTGATTGAGCAAAAAAAAACGAAACATGAATGGTAACCGGAATGAAATACTAACGTGTGCAGAGGCATATGCGCGCTCGCAACTAGGTCAGAGGTAATATTATACCAAGAGCGAAATATAGATAGATAAAGAAAGATAGGGTATATGAGGATACACAAAAAAAACAGTGCATCGTGAGAAATCCATTTTCCAACTACATGGAGGGGCAACTAGTTCAGTGGGATAAGTTGACGAGAGCGAAAGTACAATTTACGTATTAGCTATAGGAGATATCAGCTGTGAATATACGTAATATATTTATCTTTTTATCTTAATAACTATATAATTATAACTGCCAGAAAGTATGGGCTGGACGTCACTGCGCGAACGCGTCGTTAGTATTACTTTTCTAAATATATGCATGCGTTTTTTACTGAAAGTAGATTGATAAGGTTACTATTATAATTTTTCAATTAAAGCGGCTGATACGTCTTTGATCATTTTCAATCATATTTATAAACCAATGTTTAGTTTTGTTGCAGAAAAAATTAGAAATCACAAATTATTTTGAAACTGTATTTTAAACAAGAGAGTTCAATTTTGTTTGAAATTAGTCTGAATTATTGTAATTATAAACATTCAGTAAAAGCGAAGCATGCGAATTATGAAAACTTGCATATTTCAATTTTGACAAAGTAGTTATTATTCATTCATTAAAAATCATGTGACTTCATGTTAATATTTCTAAGTCAAAATTAAATTTGTATTAATTTCTGTGAAAAATCAATAACCTTTCAATCAATATTTGATTTATAATGATTGAATTATGTTGTCATAGAGCTATGACGTCATAAAGAGTGATGGAATTTTGAATCGAATATTTACGGGTATCAAATATAATATGCGGTATTCACAATTTTTTAGTCAATTGACTGCAATATCCATTCAAGTCACTGTTCATGCTGACAATTCATTGGCTTCCATAAATTCAATTAAATAATTTAATAAGCAACTATTTTGCAAGCTCAAGGTCTGTTGGTGAATATTAATGTATCTGTACTGCTGTCATTTAGTACATTTCAAATAGTCTTAAATAATATTCTCTGACGATTAGAATGTGTACTTCAAAGATCGGAACGCTTTCTATAAATGCTATTTAATTAAAATTCATATTTTTTGTAAAGATCTTTAAAAATCTATTCAAAGAAATATATTAAACAAAAAGTGTTGTTTCAAGTATTGCTCTGCTAGTAGAGAATTTTATTTCATTAATACGAAAAGTGTCATTTACCTTCTTCACACGTCATCGATAGATAATACAAATTTTACTTATACTTGTGGAATACTTAAGTCTGTATAATACCGCCGAATAAATATCAATAGATGAGTGTGTGCGCGGATAATACCTAAAATCTCATATTAACTGTCGAAGTCTTTTGTTACATCATCAGACCTGAAACTAATTTTTATATCTGGTAAGTATCAGTTTTATTCATATTTTCTTTTAATACTGCTCATAATTCAGCTGTGTAGCTAAAAATTTTTTTTAACAAGTATCAAAATAGCAGGTGCTTTTTTGAGCTTGCAAGGTTTTATACCTGTACATTAACTTTCATGATTTTATCGTTATTCTTAAATATTTTATTCCTAAAAAATCGTAGTTCACAATAAAAAAATCTATGTTTCCAATAAAATAATTCAAATTCTTTTATTTAACTAATTTATATGTATTTCCAAAGTTTTGTTTTTACAAAAAAGTTTAATTGCTTGCCTCAAAAAAATATGGTGTCATCGCTAAAATTGTTGAGTCTGAATTTTATTTTATTTTTTCCGATAAAATAAAAAAACTTTCGTTATTGTAACAAAATTTTGTTTTTAACCACAAAATTGATTTTTATCGATACAAATTTTAATGTCAAAGTGTAAACTACGATTTTTTTTTGTACAAACAAGTGAACACTTATGAATATGTTTATGTTGCAGTTATCAGTGAAGAAATTCTTTGGGTCTTTGAAGGTCCAGATTGTTGCTGCGACTTCGTTAAACTATTTTAGTCTTCTGTCTTTACGCTTGAGTCACATAAGTTGGCTAAGAAGCTAATAATATGATAAGCTGAGTTGACCGGAAAATACTTTTGTTGCTATAAAGCTGTGTTTTTTCGTTTGCGGTGTAAATTATAATAAAGAAATAAGATGGATGACTACCAGGTAAGATGAACTAACGAAAATATTTGTGGATGCAAATGTGAATTTATTATTTTTTATAAAAAAAAATTATGTTATACTATTTTCTACTTTTATATAATTATAATTTTAAACTTAAAATAAAAATGATACGAACCAAAAAGTTATTTTTGGTAAAACAAAATAATTGTTAAAAGTTATTTAAAAATATACATATATCAATTGAAGACTAATTTATGCAAACATTTTTGAAAGGACCCTAGGGCTTGGCAAGTTAAGTTTATAAGATCCTTTATAACATAAAAGCCCTTAATAAAATGCTGGTAGTTAGGACACTAGACGGTGAATCAAAATTTAAAAATACGAATTTTCACGTTAATAACCGATGCCTTTTATTAATATTATTTCGTATGAGGAAGCTCTTTGCCAATAAATTGGCAGCGGTTTTTTCTTACGTTTTTAAAAATTGTTAATCTTCAAAGGTCAGGATTTATTGACGTCTAAACAGAAACCTAAAAAATTGTTCGAAGAAAAAGTTTTCTCATGTTTTTTTTTCATATTATCAAATAATATAGTTACTTTTACCCTTAAAGCTCATAGGAAATTAGAAAAATGACTTTGACTAGTAGGTCAGAAAGGACTAAAATTCAGTTGCAAATTTACAGGAAACGAACAAGAAAAACTGAGATGAACTTCAACAACAATTTTCTTTTTCTAAAGCAATCGTACGGCAATATTCGTTTCCTGTAAACGATTTTCACTACAAAAAATGCTGTTTTTTTTAATGCGTATGAATTTCTTAAATACTTATTTCTCATAATGTATAAAAAATTATTTTTTGTAGCACGATCTAAAATTTAATTTTTTATATTTTCCATAAAATCAAATTGGATAGTGTGAATAAACACATTTTTCAAAAAAAAAATGAATCTACAATCCTTTAAGTATAGCACGAGGTAGCTACTAAGGTATTATCTGAGTTTTCATTGATCAAGGGTATTGAAAAATTACTCGATACATTAAGCGCACGTTCTATTTGAAGAGCATTGTTGCATAAGAATTAGAAGTCACTTTACTATTCAACTAACACTAATACAATTTAATGAAGAATATTCTGAAAGAAAATAATATTTAAAAATAAAAGTAAATATGCTATAATATATATGAATAATGTTGCAATATGATTCGATAATTTCAACTTTTATAAAAAGGACGAGATATTCACCAAAAAAGTATAAATAAAAAAGAGGGAAATTTTTACTTACGTATCTTGATATTTTATTAATTTAACCATTTAGTACCGATGCACGCATCATTGACTAATTCACTATGATACTATATTTACCTTTCAATTCTGCTCAATGACATTCCAAAAACAATTTAAATTTTGATAGGTCATTGACCTCAGGACAAATTAAGTTGACACCTTGAAAGGAAGTTTTACTAATTAAAAATTATACCTTTATAATAATTTCGAGTTAACGATAAGTTTAATGAGACAGCTAGATGACAATTTTTTCTTATTTTTATTTGCGACTGTAATTTGTAATTCTTACTTTTTTAATCTTTTAAAACGCTAAATTAAATAAATAATTGAATTTTTAATGAAGAAATAATTTTTTATAAGAGATTAAAAATTTAAATTGATATTTTCTATTTACGATAGTAATTTAAAAAACTTAACATGCATAGTATTGAGAATGAAAATAATAGAAAAAAAATTGAACAATGATTGATTACAAACAAAAATTCAGTTTCAAATAAGGAGTTTTTAATTTAAGTTGTACATAGTATTAAAAAGGTAAATGTCATATTGAAACATACTAGATTCAATTGTAATAAGTGTGAAGTTAATGGTTATTATATACTTCCTGATAATAATATTGACCCTTAGTTTGGAGCTCCGAATTAATTTCTCGTCAGAAAAGAACTTTTACTTTGCACAAAACTTCAAAGTAGAAATGTAATTGAATATTTAAAGAACTTTGAAAAGTAAAATCGTTTACGTTGGTTTAAAAGAAAATCAAAAATTTTAATTGATATAAATTTTTCATTGTTTCAAGAATATTATAAATAATATTTTGAATCTTAAACAAAGCAAGTTCGAGAAGTAACTTCATCTCAATGCCACTTTTGTAAAGCGCGCACTGAGTAGGCTCGAAAAGTTATATCTGTTTGCCATGTCTCTTTTATAAAGGGATTAAGCTGAATCGATACAAAATTAAATTAGCGTAACTAGTTCTGCTCCAGATTTCAAGAAAATGTTTAAAAAGTTAATGTTTATATTATTCAATACCCTTTTTTATATAGGGAATAATTTTTTGCTAATACGAACAAATTCTTATTGTTTAATAAAATTCGTTGGTCTATAACCTAATTATTTATTTTTTGGGGGAATATCATATGTAATACAATCACATAATTATACCTTTTCACACCATTGATTTATGTGCTACCCTGGAATAAAATAATCAAATTAAAATTCAAAGCAACAAATCCATGACTTACATATTAGCTTACAAGGCGTGTACATATATATATTGGCTTTTATTGACAAAAAGTGTTTATCTGCTGACGTTAATATCTCTCGTGGATCCAATTAAGTCGTACGCCTACAGTGTTTGGCTTCGGGGTCAGACTTTTATCGGAGTATTGTATATTGTATGTTGAGACATTTGCAATCAAATCGTGACTGCTCATTGAACTAATTTCACAGTCAGTTTGTGTTGTTTTTTATTTTCATTTTCCTAAATTTTGCATAATGATGGTCAGAAGAATTCGAAAGTACCGTAATGTCGAAGGGGGCAAACACCTACGAAAGCGCCTGAAGGCAAGAGTTCATCGTACCTAATTTAATTTTTAATTTAACCCTCTTCGTAGATACCAATTTTAGATTAAAAATAGAGAATTTAAATTGTTCCATTGATCGTGAATTTTTCAATTACTAGAAAATGTATAAATGTTATAGGTTTATCAATTTTTAAATGAATAACATAAATTTCACGAAGATTAATAATTATGGTCTTGAATTTCTATATACGTAGATGTAGATAAATTTTTTGCCTGAATTAGCTTACAAATAGTTTTTTACTAATTAGTAAAAGTGCAGAGCTGTTCCATGATTATAATTATTATTTCATTTCAATTTTCAATGTTAACTTTAAATTAGCTTTAAACTTTGGTATACTTTTAGCGCAAAATGAACCACTTTTATTACTAAATTTTGCGATTTAAAATAATTGTATATTATTATCATTATTTTATAATAATGATTGCCAAAAAGTTCACACAAGTTCCACAAAAAGGAACAAATGTAAAATTAATGCTTTTCTAATTTTAGAAAGAACTGTTCAAAGGGAGAACAGATATTGCTGAACCCGATGCACTAACCAATCGAAAAATGTCAAACTGCTCGAATGATAGTAACACAAAACACAAATGGCTGAAAGCTTTCAAAAGTTTGAAACAACCAGAAAAGTAAATTTTCACCTAAGAGTAAATTTAATAATAAATAAAATACTAGATGTTAATTGAAATATTACATTTTTATAGGGAGGAGAAACAAGCAATGTACCATGCTGTTTCGACGGTGGTGGCAATGTCTAGGTAAACGTCGACATATTTAATTATAAATTTTACAATATACAATTAAAAATTAGAATATAAAATGCTACAAAATATCAACATATGTACCATGAAAATATTTGTGTATAGTTCAAATTACTCAATTAAGCTTGAGTAAAAATGTAAGACTTTTATGCAAACCATTCTGACTTTGCATATTATATTGCTGAAATATTCTTCTTAAAGGTGCGATATCGATGTCCTTTCATTCTTTCTCTCCGTTATAACTGCGCGAGTTCTTACATTTTATATAATTTTTGAATGTCATTAAAAACATTAATATAGTTGAATCCCCATAACAATGGTACAAAATTTATTCATGTGTAATTGATGAGATTGATGTACTTTGCAATTAATGGTTGCATTAACTCGTTTAGTATGTATAAGATATCAGTTTAACGTAAATAAATACCATAATTCTAAGAATAAAATAACACTGTGAAGCGCAGTTTTATTAAAGTTATGATGCGCTGGATATTCAGCTTTTTTGAAACTTGCATCAGTTCTTCTTCTTGAGTTACATCTAAAAAAAACTGTGCCGCCACTGTCTGCTTCGTTACCTTTAGCTTAGCGACGTTCACATCAAGAAAATGCTACTTGACCCACTATTTCTTTTATATAAGCTCGTGCTAAAGCATCACAAGTAAGAAATTAAAATACTTCCTTGTTTTTGCAAACAATTATTTCATGTGAAGGTGGGAAGTTCATTTTTAAATATAATCATTTTATCAGCGGATACTATTTCATTAAATAGCTTCTCAGAAACCAGCACGGTAAAGTGATCTTTGAAATAATTTGCAATAAGATACGCTTTTAGCATACTTGTCTTGAAGTAAGAAAGTGCGCTTTTACGCTTGGTTCGATAAAATGTCACCGCTGATAAATGAATTATAACTCTAAAATCGCTTCTTTTCACAACGAACGGCTTACGCGCTTTTTCTTACTTGGAGTACTAAATTGTCAAACATTTTTAAAATTATTTTTTCTCGATGAGAAAGCTCTTCACAACTGATGCCAAACGCGAACAAAAAGAATAGAAGTTATGATGGTATAACAATTATTTGGCCCAATTTTTCAATATGAATTTAATCAGAGACAAACAATCAATAGCATCATATTTATAATCTGATTAAGTCGTCACACAACCAACGTACACAATAGTACATGATAGTTTATAAAAAATAAATACTGCTCAAGATATTCATTCAAATTAATAGATGAAATAATGTTTCGCGATTTTTAGGAAAAACCTCAATACCGATGGAGCCGGTGGTCATCAGTGGCGCGAGTATACGTATCGCAAAATAACTCCATGCGATGCCTGCGGACAGGTCTTGAGAGGGCACGCGCGCCAGGGCTTCCGTTGTTGCAACTGCAAAGCCAACGCTCATGCTGATTGTATGAGTGCAGTTCAACCATCCAATTGTCCCAGTCTCGTTCCTAAGCGCACCCCGGGCATGGCATTGCTTCGAAGGCAAAAAAGCACTACTCAGCAGGAAGAAGCATCGGCCGCAGAACAAAGTAGGCATTGTAAAAATAATCTCTACGCAAAAGTACCTTAGATTTTAGCACGAATCATTGAAATTCTATTTATCTAACATGTTAAATATATCAACTTCAATATGGTTGTCTAAGGTTATCACATGAATAAAAAAACGCGCACCAATTTTTAAAATTTGCGCTCGCTCAACAACTACTTTATCATCCTGGAAAATTGCCTGCAAAACTACTCATGAAATTTTCAAGTGAGAATGCATTAATTTATAGCACTGCGTGGCTAAAGTTCTTGTTTAAGGCACGCTTTGCCGTGACTTAAGCTGCCCATCATTAGCTCCTAATATCTCGCCCTATGAGCACCTTATATCTCGCCAAAGGGAGCCTAAACGTGAATTTAGCACCGTGCTATAAAGAAGTATACGATACTTGTGACTCAAGTAGTCCATTCTGAACAGGACAACCGTGCTAACTGTGCCGTGCAATAATGGCCCGCTTAAGCCACACGTATCATAATGTACTATTATTCGGGTATGTAAAGAGGTCAGAGAGTATCTGATGAAATATCGTATTCTTTAAGTTTATATTACATTCGAATTTGAATTTGAATTTTATCGTGTGCGTGGTTTCTTTGTGTAATAATCTTCTGCATTCGATTTAAAATTAATATACGTACTGCATTTAAATTAACTTATTTTCTGATAGAATTCTTTCTAATTTTTAATATTTTTACCAGATGTTGACATCATCTACCAAGTACTGAAACAAGCTGGAGAAATTCGGGGCAGTGCAGCTAATTCACCACCAACGCCACCAAAAAGCGATCATCCTCCGGCGTCCAATCCAAAAATCAATCCAGCCACTGCCACTGCAGATTTGACTTCCACATTGCCAAGCTCTGCATCTACGTCTGGTAAGTCGATGAAAAAGTAATGCTCTTGGAATAGTATTTTGATCATTGATAAACTATTAAAAAAACCGTAACATTTTAATTGGTCATTCTTTAAATATACTAATCTTTCAAGAAAATATTAACCATAATAAAAAGGATGCCAAAACTACCTACTTTATCAATTGATTAATCATAGCTGCGTCTTAATGCTAAGAAAATTTTTTACAAACTTCCAAATGAAATCATTTAATTTTAATCTATTATTCAAAACAATAAAAACAAGGAACCCTCGTTATTTCTATAAAAATACTAAATTGAAGTAAAAAATATGAGAAAATAGCTTTAGTTTCCACTGATAAAAAAGGTTATTTCGGGGTTTTTTAACGAATACATTTTGAAATAACATTTTTCAAAAAGATAATATAATAATCAAAATGGATTTATTTTTCAAAAACTTATCAAATTATATATTATAACATTCTAATTTCATCAAATAGCTCCACAAAGTCCACAACGTCGCAGAGAAAGATTAAATTTGAGAATGAAAAGTCTCAGTCTGGATTCGCCTGAAGTAGGAGCAGTCCATGTACGTCACCGTCCCAGAAATTATCCAAACTCTGGCCCACGAGATTCAACACCACCTCGTCGCTTTGATAGCAGTAGCATGAATCGATTATGTAAGTATTACTCAATATGAAAAGTACAAACCAACCATTTGTCATTTTTTTATAAAGTGAATAATACTGTAGCAAAAATAACTGACATAGTTTTTTTCGAATAATTCGATAAACTATTTAGATATGAACAATTGTTTCATATACTAGGGTACACTTGAAATTAAATGACAAATAGATGAAGGGTCAATAACAAAAATATCGTAACAAAAATTAAAAAGTTTTAATAATCAAAAACCAGATAAGATTGAAAAAATCTCATTTTTCATTAATTTTACAGCTGCCCCATGTAGTCCTGGTCAAAGTATACACGGCATTCATAAACAACACCTCCGTGGTACTTTGAGAATGTCCAGCGTTGAACTGCCAGATGAAAATGAAAAGTCTTATTCTTCAGCGAGTACTTCGCCGTGTCCTTCGCCTCATATGAACACGCAAATTCATTCAAATCTACCTGGAAAACGAGTTCTGCCACCAAACAATCTTTATGTTGTTCTCTACAACTTTGAGGCTAGACACCGCGATGAGCTTGATCTTAAGTGAGTTTATACATCACTTTGAATATCAGCAAAAGTGGAGTTTAGAAATTTATGACTGTTGTCGGCAAATAAAATAAATTTAATTCCAAATTTCAGTAAGAAAGCAACTCGGGATTTCCGGAATTCAAATTTGTTTCAAAATTTTTTTCATTGACTTACATTATAATAAATTAATATCTTTGATTACATCTTACTTCCTTTTTGTCTAACATTAAAATTTGATTGTTTAGTAACAACTTGAGTATAAGCATTTATTAATTTTTACCGATTTTATCAGATTGTTATTAATACATTTAAATCGTTCCAATTGAAAATAAGTCTAAATCTAGCTATTGAATAGTAATTTTCATTAAAAATTTACAGAACAAATTAATTCTACCCTTGTAAATAAAAACTTTTTCAACGCGATTTTCGTTATTCAATATTAAATGGTGTATTTAATAAAAAAATATGATGTTTAGCAAAAATCACTCATTCACGCTAAATTGTTTGATCATTGAATTTATTTTGTTTCAGAGCTGGTTATAAAGTCACTGTTATCGATAAGTCCGATAAAGATTGGTGGAAAGGCAAATGCTTAGGAGGACGTGCAGGCTTTTTTCCTAGTACATATGTGATGAAAGTTGAGTCTGGGCAAAAAACGTTACAAGTCTCAAGGAATTTACAGCTTGCTGATCAAACAACGCTACTGAGGGACCAAGTAAATTTTATTTTGAACTCTATCCATCAATAAAATTGAAATATGGAATATTTTCAAATTCTTAACAATGTATTTTAAAGCTTCTAAACATTGAAAAATATTTTTTCAGATTGTTCTACAAGTAGGCGATGAAGTAGATGGGGTTGCATTGGTACGTTGCGCAGTCGATATATTGAGCACGGGACAATCCAGTGTAGATAGTGAAGTACGCTATAAAGAAACCCTCTGCCCACTAAAATATCTGCAGGAAGTGTGACGTCAGTCACGTGGAATCCAAGTGGGTGGTAACAGCCACAATTATCGACATCGTTCCCAACAACCACAGCGTAAAACTAAAACGAAAGTAGCTTTGGAGCAATATTATGACTGTTTACAATGCTCTGATCGTTGTCGTCATGATGCTCTACTAAAAAATCGAAACATCAATAATGTCAGGTCAAGCAACAGTAACAAAAAATGCACTCACAATGGAAAACGTTCTAGTAACTATAACAAAAACATATCACAAAAATATAACCATAGTCAGAAAATAAATAATCGACACAATAGTGATGTTAAGCGCCAAAAAAATATCAGAAATCAATGTAGAGAACAAAAGATAGACAATTTACAAGCGATCACTGAGAATGAATTCAGTGATAATAATAACAAATGCTTTATGAATTATTTAATGGGTGTAAAGGATCCATCCATTAGAAAATGGTTGACTAAAGGCTATAAAATAAAAAATAACAATTTAAATGAAAGAAAAGAGCATTTAAGAGACGATCAACAGAAGAAAAACCCCACACCGGCGAAAAAAAGATCATCTTTAGCACGGCCTGTAAGAGTTCACGATAGCTTTTCACAAGAAAATGCTCCAATTTATAATAATTGGAACGATGACCAGAGTTCTCAGAACCAAAAACTTCCGCAACAAAGTAATATGCAAATAGATAATCATGAAGACACAAAAGTAATTATACAAATATTTTACATAGAAATTTAATAAAACAAAAACTATTTTGAATGTTACAATGATTTAACTTTTGCAGGTGGACATAAAAATTGAAAGTAAAAATGAAAAAAAAATTGAAAGAAAAATTCAACCATTTGGTCCGACAATTGATGATGTAGTTGAAATTCAAGTAGATGAAGAAGTTACCACATGGCCATTACGCCTCAAATTAGGCGATTTCCTTGATTTTCCCTTGCCTAAGTGCCACCGACGTAAACGGCACCGGCGACGCTTAATGATGATAGCAACTGTACATGAAAAAACGATGAAGTCCATGTTGGAAGCTGGTGGGATTAAATCCTGGCAACAAATGCAGAAGCAAAAAATTTTTGGTTTCAAAGACACCGAACGCCTCCTCAACGTTTTCAGTACTAATAATGTGGACCAAAATAATGGGTACAATTTCATACGTTGCTCCGTCATGTAGAATCTATAACTTTGAGTAAATTCAAGATTCACGAGGTTAAATTCCCTCTTTTACCTGAGATCTGAACTTATTTAGTAAAGTTGTTTATACGTATAATATCGACATCTTGGACTATATAGTTTTATAATCGGTAACAATTACGGTATTTTGAAACTAATACTCAGCTGAAAGCACGTCACTTCAAATTTGCATATTTTAGAAATTATCATCGTAGTGAGTAATCGTTATATTGACTATATTTTCAAATACATCTAGGCCTTATTTATTTATAAAGAATTTTAAAGTATTAAAAATATTAATAAACAAAAAAATCTATTGTTTTTTTATCCTTATCAACTGAAAAATCCTTTGTGATGGTTTTCTAGGACTTGAAAAATATTTTTTATTTGCGTACTTTATTTTATGATTAAAAACTTTTATTACCTCAACGTCACTGAATTAATAATGCATCTCTAACATACGAAATAAAAATATCCTGTAAAATCTTCATAATTAATTGAAACATGTCAACTCAGCAAACAAGTTTTGAATCTTCATCTTTTCGATTCAAGTATGTAAGTGTATTGATTGACAGAGCTTCAAGAGGTACAGGTGTTTTCTATTAATTTTCTTCATTTATCACTTCAAGTATTATTATTTTTATAAAAAGGAAATAAAATTGTAAAAAAATTTTTATTAATGAATACTTTGATTCTATATTTGATATTTAATAAACAGTAAATATACATTTTTATTATGATCGACGAAAACCCGTATAAAATTTTTCAACTTGCTGCTTCAACTGAACCAGAGTATTTAAGGTGAGTAGTGTTGGACACACAACAATATTATTTTACCTTGAATAAAATTTTATTATAAGGATATAAAGCACTTATTATGATTTATATTTTTAAGCGCGTGTACACTATTTCAAAACTGAGTTCTTTGTTTTATGTATGGCCTTTTTCAAAAAAAAAAAAAAATACAATCATTTAGAGAATAAACTTGCGTAAACGTCAAAATTACATGAGTAGGATTACAATACATAATATCTGGTCACGTCCCTATGCTAAACCACTTTTATTCCAGATGATGTTTAAACTAGTTTTTAAAATATTGAAATAGTGTTTGAGCTAAATATGGCTTAATGAGTGTATTCTTTTGTAAAAGTCAATGTTTTATGTTTTTTGAATTATTAATCTTTTATTTTCTTCCGAAGTTCAAAAGGTAATTTTAAGATTTTTTGTTGAAAACTTAATTATGCAAGCAAACAGACGAGAATCGTCATTTTTTAAGACAGATAGATCATCATTTTTAAGTGACTGGGTATTAGCACAGTCACCTTACATTAATAATACCAAATTATTGATTTGTTTTGTTAACACTTGATTTCGAGTTTTTGAGAAATATCAGTATTAATGAAGTAACTGAAACGTATATCTAATTAAATTTTTTCCCACACCATGCAGTTTATTGATCCACAAATTGATAAAGTAGTCTATAAATGTAAGCGTTTTGAATTTTCATTATTGGAAAAATAAAATTATTCAATGTACGTTTCACACGTATATACCCACAAGCATACTATGACTCATGAACGATAGTCACGGGTTATCGGCTTTATACTATAATATTTTTCAACATTGAAACGTTCCTGATCATGAATAATCATAATAACATATTGAAATAGTATAAAAACAGAACGCGATTTTTCCAGTCAAACATCAAAATATGAATTTTAATTAATGGAGTATTTTGGTTTATGACTATGATCTAGATTATAAAGCTTTTTGATCAAATATCAATAGAAAAGCTAAAAATGTTGATAAAAAACTCACAAACTCAATACTCAGTTAATAATTACATTAATGTATAAGAACACGAGTAAATGAGAGCGCTATTAGTCGATACAAAAGATCAAACTAAATGAGAACCTTTGACCCAATTTCGTCGAGCGATTAAATTCGCTAGATCGTTTTAATTTTCTTAGTCGATGCGTAAGAGTAGATGTGCATACGTAATTTTTCGTATACTTTACAGTACTTACTAATCGTACATGATCTTGCGAGTACAAAATAACGTTTATCATAGAGCATTGTCAGCGATTACCTTATTACACGTAAATTACGAAATAAGCGCTTAATGAAATGCTTTTGTTAGCTTAAAGTAAGCGAAAGAATAAGACGGTTTGGCTATTTAAGCAGAGCTGCTTTTGATTTTGTACAAACAAGTTTTTGAAAGTAAGTGTAAATTTGCATTCATATAAACTTCATTAGTGATGTGGTTATTCTTGTTCTCATTCCTCGTTCTCGTGCATAGGTAAAAAGATTGTCCGTATTACTAAGAAGTGACTTTGAATTTTATTCATCATTTTAAAAAGAAGGAAACAACAGATACAAAATAAACATTGAGAAAGGAAGATGATGTCAAAATCTTACGTAATGTAATTTCCAGTAGCCATCCCACCCAATCGGTGTACTAAACGAAAACATAAGATATAGTCTCATAGCAGTTAAGACTTGAGCGAAAATCTCCGACATCGGCAGTCTAGAACTTACAATCGAAGAGGTAAGTCGTTGCCGTTCCTTTTTTCATAGACCACATATTTTAATTTGGAGATTTTTCTATTTACCAGAGTGTTTGTTGATATTCCGCGACTACATTTTATGATTTGTTCGATAATTTAATGTGCATTAAGTATTTTTAATTTCAACTTTTTTTATCTTCAGTGAATCTTTTTTCAAAACAAGAATAATATACGTAGTTAAGAAATCATGAATCAAATAATTGATATATTTTATGTTTTTTTCGTTACAAGATGAAGCGGCTAATTACGACGGTAATTTGTGCGCTGTTAGTGTGCACCAACTTAGCGTCCAGTGCAGCAGTTGATAACCATGACCACAATAAAGTAGTTTGCTTTTGGAACTCTACTTCTTTTCTGAGGGATGGTATGGAATTTTCACTTTTTTCGCTTTTTTTAATTTTACAGTATTATTTCCAAGTATTTATATACTAATCGGAAAAATCTTGCATGATGATTTCAATTTGTAGTATTTGAACGATAAAACGACTTCACGAGCTAACGATTAATATCGTCATGCCAATGTGCGCAAAATGTAATGCAAATATAGCATTTAAAAATTATCTGAAAAATTCAAAAATTCGATTGTATTAAAATGGCATTATATCGAAATCTTATACTGGAGCAATTAGCAGTGCAAAAATTTAATTAAAATATTCTAATAGTTGAGTATAGCAAATAGATCACATAAAAATTTATATAATTGTTCACAACTGATAGGTCCAGGAAAATTCAAAGTAGATGACCTTCGACCAGCTCTGTCACTATGTACACATTTGGTCTACGGATTTGCTGGCTTGGATGATACCAGCTTCGAAGTGAAACCACTCAATCCAAATCTTGATACAGGGGCTGGATATGGATTTTATCGTCTAGTACCTCAGCTTAAACGTCAATTTCCCGAGCTTAAAGTTTACTTGAGTGTAGGCGGCAATGCAGATCCCTACGAAGAAACTCACAAGTATCTTACTTTAGTAAGTATTTACAACAAGCAAATAATTATCATAATTATCTCCGACAAAAACTCCCAAAATGTACATTTTAAATTAATATAAAAAATATTGTAATCTTCCGGTGACGTCATGTCCTTGACCTAACCGAATCTTTTTTTATATTTATGTTCCGAGTTTTCTGGTAGTTTTTGCTTGAACAAATTTTTTTTGAATTTTTATGTTACGGAAAGTAGGATAATGGTTTTTTCAGAATTCAAATTCAATAGTCATCAAATTTTAAAATACATGAAAAATTGAATTAATTAAGATACGTCTCCTTCAGTCTTTACAAAATTAAAAATTAACATTGATAATATCAAATGTGCTTATTCAACAATAAATTTATCTCGATACGAGCTTTAGAAATAATGGATTTAGAGCCCTTCATCATAAAAGTTTTCTTTGCCGTATATTTTTTATTAAACATGACCACGCGTAGGCATGAAAAATGTAAATTGCTAATGCTTAAATAATTATTTTTTTTTATTAACAGACCGAAACAACGAATGGCAGAAACAAATTTATCAGTTCAGTAAACCGTTTGCTAGCTGATTATGAATTTGACGGAATCGATTTGGCTTGGCAATTCCCCCCTGCCAAAGTAAAGAAAAATCGTGGAACTTTGGGCTCGTTCTGGCATGGACTGAAAAAAACCTTTGGCTATGGTCAGTTCAAGGACGATAAAGAAAAGGAACATATGGAAGGTTTCACGGTTTTGGTTAAGGACCTCAAGAGTCAATTGAAAACCAAAAATAAGGCACTTACACTTACTGTTCTTCCTCATGTCAACAGCAGCGGTAAGATTTTTAAATTGAAAATCTCAATTTCATGAAATGTGAAGTCAAATTTGAAATTCAACTAATTTGTGGCAATGAAATGTTTTAGTCTACTACAACGCAAAGGCTTTGGCTCCTCATCTGGATGCCGTCCACTTGTTCGCTTTTGACCAGAGCAATCCCGAAAGAACCCCGAAGAAGGCCGACTACCCAGCTCCAATTTACGATAGTTACGGAAGAGTACCCGATGAGAACATCGACTACCAATCCAAGTAAGATATAGCTTCGAGTGTCCGTTTGATCAATATATTTTCTAATACTAATGTAAAAACTATGCATAAAATTTATAGATATTGGCTGAACAACGGTATGCCCGGAACCAAAGTTGTCATTGGCATCCCAACGTTCGCGCGTACATGGAAATTGACGGCCGAGAGCGAGGCAGCTGGTGTTCCACCGGTAACCGCCGAGGGCCCCGGAGTCGAAGGACCTCACACGAAAATCCCCGGCATCATGTCCTACGCCGAGGTCTGCTCTCGATTGACCGAGGCAGCCGTCGGTAAAGTACGACGAGTCAACGACCCGTCCAAGAAATACGGACCCTACGCGTTCACGCCCTACGACGCCAAGTCCGGACGCGAAGGACTCTGGCTCGGTTTCGAAGATCCCGACACGGCGGCGGTCAAGGCTGAATTCGTCAAGACCAAATTGCTCGGTGGAGTCGCCCTTTACGATCTGTCCCTGGACGATTTCCGAGGCGTTTGCAATGGCGACAAATTCCCCATTGTCAAAGCAGCCAAATACAAATTGTAAATGACACCGGCACGGATGATAATCTCGTTCGCACTTGCTGGAATTATGTGATGCAGTTTTCATGTTAGTTTATTTGCAAGCATGTAAAATTTATAAAATTTAATTTTCACCGCTTCTGTCTACCGTCCCAGGCCATGGGATGCATAAAAAACAAATCATTTTTTAAATAAACGAATATTCACAGTAAACATTGGATTTTTCATAAAAACGAACCTAATCTAAAATTACATAAAAATCTTAATACATTCATACACTTTTTTATTAAAATTACTATTTGTTAATTTTAAACTGGATTAGTTGAAAAATATCCACTGTGAATATATTGGCAATTATAGTTCTCCTAATAAAATTATAAAACCGTTTTTTTTATGAATACTATAAAATTATGAGACATTATATACCTTTTAAGAAAAAAATAAGAGATAAATTTTATCATACTTTTTCAATAAATTTCGAAAAAACGCGAGCTAACGGTATATCAAATGATAAGATTCTGGTTTGTAAAAAAGCTTGCAAGTATCCTTTATACATTGTATTTCAGTTCTATTTACAATGAAATACAACAACGAGTAAGTATAGTCCAGCCAGATGGAAAACTTTCCTAAGATCTCATATAGCATTTTACATACTAGCTCCATGTTGATGGATCAGTAAATGATATAACACAGATGCTTCATTTTCATTGATTATAAAAAAATTAATTTTCTCATTTTCTAAGGGTCTTCAAGAACTGAAACATTTCACGTAACAAAAAACTCGTTTACAGTATATATTGATTTCGGATTTAGATAATTACAACCGCAGAATTAAAACATCCACAGCGAAAATGTCACTCTTTGAATTTCACTTCATATTTTACACCCAAAAGTGCCGAGTTAAATTTTTGTTCCGTTCGATGAAGGACAAAATAAAAATAATAAGAGAGACCCTCTTTTTCCTCGTTCGTACAAGCCGCAATGCCATACAACAGGAGAGCTTTATACTACTAGCGCCCCGCTTCGCTTTATTCATTCTGTTGTTGTACACACGCATAATAGCATAGGCCGGCATACCTGATTGCACCCTTTCACGATGAGCGAAAAAGTAAGCGCTTTTGCCTCTGCCCTTGCCCGGCTCCCGTGAATACTTTCGACAGCTGCACTAGACATGGTCGCGTGTTTAGGTTGAATGAACCATGAAGTTGCCACGTACTTTTTCTGCTAGTTTTGGTTAAAAAAGCGCATGGAGCATGCCCGAGTCAGTTCGCAGTGATATCTGAAATAACTCAACTCACGTGTTTGATGGCTCGTTGGGGGCTTTATTGATTTCTTGCGGTTTAATTGTATATACAGGTATTGTTCAGTCATCCATGAATCACGAAGTACCAAAAAAATATTAACGCCTTTCACACTTGATTTATACTCTTGATATATTCAAAATAGATTCAAAATGAAATTTTTCGACTTGACAACTGACGTATTGGCTATAAAATGTCACAAAAATCATGTTTTTATAGGTATGGTCAATGTTCTTACAAATTTACATCGATATATTACAATAAATTATATCAAACGTCTTTTATCATTTCAATAGGTATTGGATGTTCCCTTTATGTAGTCAGTCAAATAGATAATAAAGTAAAATTCAAATCCAGTATTTTACATCCAGATAATATTCATGACATTAAACTTCAAACAGATGATAGGATCATTATTTATGGAAGAAAAAGTTTATGCATATGCCAAGTTACAGTAAATGATGATTTTGTAGAGTAAGTTTTTATTGTTGAATAACTTCTACAGAATTATTATGATTTTATTGAATGTAAAACATTTGTATTTTTAAGGGTTGTTAAGCTAGATGAAATCCATCACTTCAATGATTGGATTATTGATGTAAAATGTTTAGGATCAGTGAATGAACCAATATTAACAATATTGTTTGCCCACAATAATGTATACAACTACAATACTGAAAGCAAAAAATATTCCAATACAATTTGTAAAGAAACATGTTTATTGTATCCTTTTATTTAAATAATTTTATACAATTTACCGTATAAAGAAAAAAAAATTCTTAACAAATTACTAGATATGCAGGAGAAATCTCCGGTAAGCATTTTACCAATGCCATTGTTTTAAGTGGCACTGTTTTTCAAGAAATACTAATATGGAGTGTTTTAAACAATGCAACTGATTCATATTCACCAATTTTGCACAGATTAAAAGGACATAAAGTTAGTACTAATTTTCATATACTAAACTTCAATTGTGTATAATAATCTATTAAATTTATTTATATTTTAACAGGGAGTTATATTTTCTGTATTTTATAATCCAATGAATAACATAATATGCTCAACATCTGATGATAGAACTGTGAGATTATGGAAAATATCTAATAACTTTAATCATCACTTAGAAGATATGAATTGGAGTAAGGTTGAAATAAATTTACAAACAACCATGTATGGACATTTAGCCAGAGTTTGGAAAGCAATACTCATTAAAGATGTAATAGCTAGTATAGGAGAAGTAAGTTGTTTTTTTATCTAAATCCAGTGAGATTTATTATAACTATATAACAAATGAAACTATATTCATAGGATTCAAGAATATGCTTTTGGAATTTGTCTGGTGAATTGTTACATAAAATAGAAGCACACCAAGGAGCAACTATATGGTGCATTGATATATCAGAGAACAATATTTTATTCACAGGAGGAGCTGATGGGTCAGTAAATTGTTGGTCAATGATAGACATAAAGAGTAATATGAGTCAATACAGTCTATTAGAAGATTCCCAAAAAGAAGTACCAAAACATGTTATTTTTCTTGAAAATAGTGATGTTTTAGTTTATTCAAGTTTAAAATCAAATACTAGAATTCTACATTACAAAAAAAATAAAAACCAAATACTAGATTCCTTCAGTTTACCTGAATTTTCTTCTGCTTATTGTATTATGGAACTTTCACCAAATCGTCAAAAATTTGCCTTGGCTTCTATAAGAGGAGATATAATTTTATATAATAGTAAGTTCAACTAATTTACATTTTTTGATTAACCATAATCATTTTGATTAAAAAAGTTTCATTATTTATTTTCAGAATCTGATCAGAAATGGAATCAATGTGGAATATACAAAATTATGGATTCTAAAATATTTTCAGTGCAGTGGTTGGATAATGACAGAGCTCTTGTATGTTCTACTGAAGGAAATCTATCGATTGTGAAGTTCATTGCACAAAGTAAGATTTAAATATATTATTTTAATTACAAAACAGAATTGAAATTAATTTCTTCATAATCTAGGCATTGAAATTTTATCTCAACACATATTACCTCCAAGCCGTGAACGCTGGGTGACAAGTGCTTGCACTCATAAAAATTTGTTGATCTGTGGAGATAGAATGGGTAGCATTTTTGTTTATAATCTAAATAGTGACTCAAGAGATCCAACACAAACATTCAAAAAAATTCATGGTAGGCTGGGTGTGCAATCTTGCACAATGATGAATGGTAACCTTGTTACCACTGGCCGTGATGGAACTCTTAGATTTTATAAGTTTTGTGATATGAAAGATAAAACTCCCATTATTGAATACTTATATGCAAAAAGTATGCCAATGGATTGGGTTAGCAAATTACTTCGACATGAAAATGATTACTATGTCTTAGGTTTTAAAGAGGTACAATACTTTTTCTACTAATTTTCTACACTAGTTTTCTAGTTTCAATTTATTATACTGTTCTCCAAATGTGTACTGTTATTTCTTAAATAAATTTTTTACAGGAAGATTTTGTAGTTTATAGTGTTGTGTTGAAAAGAATTTTAGTAAAATTTCCTTGTGGAGGAGGTCATCGATCATGGGACTGTCTCATCTATAATAATTTCATCAATTTTGCTTTCATAAAGAAAAGAAAAATTGAAGTTTATGTGGTGCCATTTAATAAGTTATTCATTCCTCCATTATTGGTATATTAATTTTAATTATAAATTATATAATATTATTTTAATATATTGCATAATATAAATAAATGAATCTTATTTAAATAAAATAGGTTGGGTGTCATACAAAAGAAATTTATGCTGTCAAAACTCTAAGAATGCCAGCAAATCCTTACAATGTTTTGATTTCTGGGGGTGAAGATTGTAGATTAGTGATTCACTTCATAAATTCTTTGGAGTCAGAATCAAAATTAAATCTTGAAATTGTTGATTCATTTGATGGACATCTATCAAGTATAAAGTGCCTATCAATTTTCCCTTTAAAAGAGGATGAGTTCTGCAGTAAATATTTAATTTTTTCTGGTGGCGGAAGAGCCCAAATAAAAATTTGGGAAGTGACTGTTAATAATGATGAGTTGTTTTCAAAAGAAAACATTTCATGCAAAGATTTGTTTTCTTACATGTTACATGGTCCTGATAAAGAGAGGAATAAAATTTGGGTTGGTAAAGAACTAATGTACAATGCTGATCCAGAAACAAGATACATGGATATAAGCACTATTGTGCATCCAAAAAATATGCATAATATTCTTGTATTTATTGCATGCTCCGATGGATATCTCAGGTAAAATTTTTTAAAGCAAACATGATTAAATTAAATTATTTTATTTCAATATAAATTATATCTTTCAGAACATTCATCTATGATATTATTTTAAACAAAATTAAGTTAGTTCACACTCTACCTTATCGTAACCGATGTATTTTAAAAGTACAATCAATGCTTCATCAAGCCAAAATATTATTAATTACAATGGCTACTGATGGGTTACTAAATTTTTGGACTTGCAATGTTGAGAATGATGAAATTGATGTTCAAAAAATTGGAATTGAAAATACTGAAGATTTTACTTTACATCAATCTGGAATCAATAGTTTTGATTTAAAAAAGTTGGATGAATGCAATTACATGCTAGCTACTGGAGGAGATGACAATCTCCTCAGTGTTTTAATATTTAAAGCAGTTTCTAGTAAGAATAGCATTGAAATGATTAAGATTGTTTCCACCTGGAATACAAGTTCTATTCATTATGCTCAAATAACAGGTATTATATGATTTCTAAAAAATTATAATGAAATAATTATTATAATAACTATTGAATGAGATAATTAACTTTCAGGCGTAAAATTACTCACTGACAATAAACTCATAAGTGTTGGTGCAGATCAAAAGCTAGCTGTGCATAATATTACATGCAATGATTTGAATATTCATGCAATGTTTGTAGAAGATATGACTCTTTGTATATCTGACATTCAAGGAATAACTTTCTGTGATAACAAAAAGTAAGTAGTAAATTTACTGTAGCAAATTTTAAGTTGAAATAATTAAAAATCATGCATATTTTCAGCAATGACAGTGGAAGAATTTTTTGTGTTTATGGAAAAGGTTACCAATTGTTAGAATATTAGTAGCAGCAATACAAGTATACACTTATTTTTATATTTTACGTAAATTTTAAATAAAATTCATTCAAAAAAATTATATTTTACTGTATCAATCATTTGAAAAATAATATTTCCCAATCTATATTTTATTTGCTAATTCACTTCAAAGACTAAAGATGGCAGAATTGAGGTAACTAGTCTGTAATCTGTATCGACTGTATCTGTAAAGTCAACTTGTGTGTATTTATTGCTGACTGCAGCCGTGCAGACTGCACAGAGAGCAGACTGCCGTAAACAATACTAAAGCTTTTTTTGAAATAAATAGTATTTTATGTAGAAAAATCTTTGTTTATGTGCACATTTGAACAAGTATAAAAATTAAAGAAAAATGTCTGCTATAACAATATCAGCTGTTCGTTCACGGACCAGTATTCTTGATAAATCTTTAAGTAGAGGTAGAGGCGAGGTTAGCTTGAGCTGTTATGCTCTTCTTTTTTCCGAAGTTGTGCAGTACTGTCAAAACAGAGTTTACACAGTGCCTGAGCTACAAAACAAGTAAGTATACTTTTGTGTGATACAAATCAACGTATACTTTTTTTCCTTTTTTATTACAAATCATTACCATACTCTATATTTCTAGGCTCGCAGAAATGGGCGCAGAAGTTGGTCACAGAGTAACAGATTTGTTAGTCATAAGAGAAAAGGCAGGAAGACGTGAAATTAAATTAATAAATATCTTATCATTCATCAAAAGTGTTTTATGGAAATCATTGTTTGGTCGCGAAGCTGACAAACTGGAACATTCCAATGATGATGATAAAACATACTATGTAATAGAAAAAGAATCTTTAGTAAATAAATTTGTGTCTGTACCAAAAGATAAAGGAAGTTTGAACTGTGCATCTTTTGTAGCTGGTATTATTGAAGCAGTTCTATGCGATTGTGGTTTTGTAAGTGTATTGTACGACAAAATATTGTACTGCTATTCAGTATTAATAAACTATAATATCTTTTTATTGCAGACAGCAAAAGTAACAGCTCATTGGCATAAAGGAACAACATATATGATCAAATTTGATGAAGCTGTCATAGCTCGTGACAAACAGTTGGAAGATCGTTAATAAATAATTTAATGTAAAAATCAATTAGTGGATAAGTTTATACTATAAACCTTAAAACTTTAAAAACAATCTTTTTTCTATGTGTTAGATAAGTTGAATGGTCCAATGATATTAATAATTTTGATTATATTTAAATTTAGTTTATTTGTTAACGTTTGAAGTTATTATTTTTCAACAAAAATATGAAAAATTAATGATGAATTATGAAAAATATATATTAGTTATACCATTTATTAAATAAATCTATCTTTTGAGGAATGAACATTATTAAAGAACAAAAAACATTTTATTTGGATTAAATTGATTACAATATCTTCTTTCAACACTAGAACATACTTATTGATTTAAAATCATCATATTTCAAAAGTATTTCTTCATAATAAGAAGATGTAAGATATTTACACAAACTTCCAATCTCTATCTTTGTAGCTTACTTGACCAGTACGATATTTATGTTCTTTTGCATCCTAAAACAAGACATACAAAATCATAGAAATGCTTATTTAGGAATGATGTAAATTTTTAATTAAAATTGAAAATTGAATATGCTTACTCGATATTTCTTTACACGCCAACACAACAAACCAAGAGGCAAAAATGTAAAACCAACGAATGCACAAAAGTTTTTAACATTTGGCTTGAATAGATGCTCTAAACTCTGCTTGAGTGTATAATGACGTTGAATTGCAGGATCAAACTGTTTTTTAAAAGAAAAAAGAAAAATATTAATGTTGACGCAACACTCCAATTGATTGTGGGATGAGATGATGTGAGATAGATTTTCATAAATAACAACAATACTTGATAAAATTGCAACAAAAATAGAGCAGACACTAGCATTTGAATTAGACAAAACACCAAACAAACAAGTTTTGATTGTTTAATATTTCATCTATCAGGAATCTCAAGAACGTTAAAACATAACACGTTTTCAAGATTTTTCTCTGAAATTGACGTTAATCAATGCTTTTTTCTGTAGACACGTTCTCTCAAGTAACCATAATATAATTCAATGACAGATGAGGTTCAGTGAATCAACTACTTACCAAATGTCCCGCGGGTGCATTTGGATTATGCCTCTCACGCAGATACTGTTCTCGCAGCTCTATGCGTCTTTGGGCCCTCCATTCAATAACTTCTCTCTGCTTTGCTGTAACATCATAAATTTTATCTGCACTCATTTTCCATTCAATTCATGCAAAACAGAATTTCTGTACGATGAAGAACGAACAGCAGACGACTGCGGGAGTGCAATTACTCGCGCACAACGGATTGGACAATTACATAAGGAAACACACGGCTAAGGTACGTTTACAATTCCACAGCCAGGCTGCATCAGGCTGCGCACAATGGAAAGGGCATTAACCGAGAGGACTGAGTATATATCTCAGCCAATCAGAAAACGATATAAGTTATTTTCTCTACGGCTTACAATGCGTGACGTCACTGACGTCATGGGGACGATGTAGCAATTCTCTTGCCGTAAATCATCGCCCATATGAATCACTTATCGTCCTCGAACATAATTAAATTGTTTTAATTTAACAATTAATATTCCCTCATAACTAATAGGATTAAGCTCAGATTGTTTGAATATTGTGGATGATTACATTTTTTACGATTTTATTTAATTGATGCCTATTCTATACAGACTACAAATCGTAATCAAACTATTCGATATACTTTAGAGATACTTTAGAGGGCTTTATTCAAAAGTGAGGACATTTTTTTTGTAGAAATAAAAAATTTATAATTGTATTGATTTATTAATAATTAGTGTGCACCAATGGATTGAAAACAAAAACATCATTTGAAAAATCATATTGATTTTTAGATCACAAATTGGCGAAAATCATAGTGAGACACCCAGCAGGTTTTTTACACTTTCAAACTATTTGAACTATTAGGAGAAAGAATATTTGAGCTTTACGCTATTATCTTTATTAAATTTATACTGCAGTCTTATGAAATTAGAAAATGACTAGTATATAAACTCTTTATAATCTCGTTAAAATTTTTAAAATAGATTCGATGAACATTTTTTTACTATGTTTCATCTGTAGAATCAATGAATTTACAATATTTCCGTAATATGAAATTTACAGAGTACAAGTAGTTCAATTGCGAGTAACTACGGGATCACTCTGATTGGAATTAATACCTACCATTTGAAATTTTCTAAAAAGTATTTTATATTCTGCGATTTTTTCTGACTAATAATTAAACGTTTTTGTTAATTATCAAGACAATGTCACAAGATGGGCGTTGAAAATTGAAAAATAGTTTCCCGATGACCCCACCACCACAATAAATATATGCATCGATGTATTGCAGCGAGGTGAATAGTTATGGTTCAAAGCACATATTGTGTAAAGAAGAATCTCGCTACAGGAAAATGCATCCTCCCTCTCTGCATTCGTGTACTTTGATATAATGCGCGAGATCGTCTTCTTGACTTTCACTCGGCGCTCCGCTGCCGGTCTGCACAGATAGAGAGTCAACGATCGCTATAAAAACTTTATTGTGTGATTTGCTTTTTTACTAAACCGAATCCCTTTACTCTTTATGGTGATGTTAACAAAGTGCGCGATGCTAATTCTATGGATTTTCTCGGCCTTTGTTGCTGTCGCGCTTGCTCAAGAGCCACACGTGAGTCTTATATTGTACCATATTTATGTTAGCGTGAGGCTTAGCAGATCGTTATTTTTATTGTATTGACATTCACAAAAGTTTTAGAGAGCATAGTAGCCCTGAAGCTTCAAGGCTGTGTACTTAATTTTTATAGCTTTTGAAAAATAATTATGAAAAATTACTGGTAAAAGGGAAAATTTTATATAATTGTTACTAATAAATTTCATTTTCATTAAAAAAATCATTTTAGAGGAACGTATTTATTTATAATTTTCAATTAAGCTTTTCTTATCCTCGTTTAGTGCTCTCATCCTTTTATGGGCGCAGCTAATTTGTTGACTTAAATTTGATAGTTAAGATAACAGCTACCTTAAATTTCATTCAAACTTGAAATTAAATTCTAGAATAACCAAAAATGTTCGCCTCCTGATTTTAAATAATGTAAAATCAAATGAGGGTTAAGACTCGTAAAAAAACAAACAAACAAAAATTTCAAAAGTATACATATATTATAAAAAGTAAAGTATTATGCGTAAGCATAATGTAATAAAAAGTTGTATCCTTGTATAATAATTAGCCATGACTGTACTTGGATGCCAAGGTCACTTTTTGTATTAAAATTATGGTTTTGGCTTCACAAAATCCTTGGTGCGATCTCTATGTCCATATTTGTTGAAATTCAAGTAGGTAAAACAAAAATAATTACACGTTTGTTTTTCGCATAACAATTGCATTTTATCTAATTTTGTTCTTCGCAAAGTTTGTACGCTAAAATAATTTATTTGTTCAAGGGCTCGTATTTGGTTCAAAATTTAAAATAATGACTATAATATCAAAGATTTTTCAAACAACATGGACGATACTATCGTTACTTGATCACATAGAAAACAATAAACTGTATTTTTCCGCGCCTATGCAACCACTCTTTGATTTCATGATTCACACATCGTGTTGTTACATCTCTACGACGTGCGGTAAGCATAAATGTAGCACATAGACGATCTAAGAAGAATCCATGAGAAAAATAATTACGTACATAGGTTCAACTTATTTCCTTCTTTTCTCTTACGATAAAAAAAGAAAACATATTGCAACGATAAAATTTTGATAACAAAATTTTTGTGTATGGAATTATCATGTAAAATCTTTTCTATACAAAAACAAAACTTTACTGTTTTTTCTTACTATAACACTAAGCTAAGAAAGGTTTTACTATAAAAGGAAAAGTGAGTGTAATATTATATAACGTTCAGTTTTGATGACATAGTTAAATTAGATTTTTCTGAATAAAAAAAAAGATTGTTTCGAAAAGACTGATAAAAGATACGTATTAAGCTTTGGGACAAGTAGATCTTTTTAACCTTCACTCAAAAACCTACCATTTCTCAGTGTTTTGAAATGATATTTTAAGAGATCCTTTTCATCAACCGTATAAAATGTTTCTGGCTTTAATGATCGAGTAATATCGAGTAATATCAAGTAATTTGTAAATCATTCAATTAATTGAAACAAAAATGAATCCATATCAATGCGAGAGCGGAATTTTTTTCAGAATGATCAACTACCACCGCTTTCCACTGATTTTACTTGCTCAGGCCGACCAATAGGATTATACGCTGATTTGGCTACGAACTGTCGTGCCTATCATACTTGCGACGAGCACGGAAATCATTTCGCCCACTACTGCCCGGAGGCCACATCTTTCCGACAAGATGCCAAGGTTTGCGACCACGCTTACCTCGTTGATTGCAAGGCAACCTTTGACGCGGCCCTTCTGAAATCTTCCGAGCAGCTGGACAACAGATTCGATGCGACCTCGTCGCACTTCGAAAAACCTGGTAGCAAGAGTGTTAATAATGTTCGACAGTACGACACAAATCCATTTCTGCCTCCGAATTCTGCCGAACGTTTGAATAATAGATTTCGAAATGATGCATTTGCTGGATCTTCAGATCGGTACGTTGATTACGAATAATCAGAGCGCTTTTTTATTCAAAGCCCTATAAAAAAGATTTTTATCAAAGCAAACAAGTTTAGTATTATGGCAGTCAGTTTAGCTTATTTTTTAGTGTAAAAGTAATATTCAAACTGCTGAAATTATGCTTTACTCTTTGAGTCCTAATATTAAAAAATTAAACTATTATGGTTTTTATTTTATTGATTATTTAATTGACTTATCGGTTAAAATATTTTTCTCCATAAGGAAATCTCATACTATTCTGATTATTTTACTTTTTAAAGCTCTGGACAACTTAACGATGATTCACAAAGAAGTTATGCAGCTGAAAAACATTCCCATTTTCCGACAACGAGAACTGATCAATTTTCTGCTCAAAATAAGCCACAGCAAAATTCGATCTTTTCAACGAATTCTTCTTTTACATCTGGACCAGTGTCGAATAATCAGCGGGACGAAGAAATATTAAATGAAGAAGACTCGTATCTCATCCCACCACCAATACCTAATAATTCTAATAACTTTCAAAACAATTTTAATTTGAAATCAAGTTCAAACTTCAATAACGTTGATTTTCAACCAACTCATACAGTGCATCAGTTTGAAAAATCAAATGAAGCAAACTTGGTCTCTAATGATAGTGAAAACAACCATTTTACGTTCCAAACGAGTGAAACTAATCATGCACATTTTCAAGCTAATAGAAATTATCAAAATTATAACAATTTCGGGTCAGATATCAAAAGAACTTTTGAGATGTCTAAAGATCATCGTTCAAACGACAAATTTTTCGATTCCTCTTTAGAATCAAACGAAAGTATAAAAAAACCATCCAATCTTCTTGAACCACCAGCATACAACCCTAACGATTTGCAACGTGGTAGAAATAATGTGAATTTTCGCTCTAACATTAATCCATATTTAGAAACCTTGAAATCTATTCAAAAAAATGAGTTAACGACTATCCGTGCCACGGAAAAACCAATAAGAACTACCACACAGGAAGTCAAAATATTCCCAGCGGCGCATCAACCATTGCTATCAAGCGATCCAGAAAATGATCCTTACTATCCAAGGCCGATTACAACCACTGAGGCATATTACACACCAAAATACGAGGCCACCGGCAAGATCGTTTTTACGACTACAAGAAAACCCCAAGAAATGAAAATTAAATTCGATGTACCTGCTGCTCTCCCCGATGAAAGCAGTCTTAGTGATTTATTAGATAGAAGAAAGTATTTTTTCATACCCCAGTTGAAATCGACATGATTTTTTCAAATTTAATAAGTTATCATCCACAAGATTTGTCACTATCGTATTTAAAAGACAATCCAAACAAGTTAACACTTTGAATTTCAATACAACAATTAATAATTAATTATAATTATAGTTATTATGTAATCTTATGTTATCGAAATATGTAAGAAGTTTATTATATGTAAGATTAATAGGTATTCTTATGCATTTAAAAGTGACATACATCTTTATCTATTCACAGGTACTGTCACAATTTCATACATCCGATAAATAACATTTTTGCATGAAGAATCTTTAAATAATCTATATAAATATGATTATTTCATCAATGTCAACAATTTAATTGTTCTTATAAAATAATATTTATAAATATTGTAAATTTTAGAGTATTTTTGAAACGAACCGAAAGGAATTTAATTTGAAAAACTATTTGCATTTATAAAAATATAAGATACATATATACTGTCAATAAATGAGTGAAAGATGAATAACTTTTTAGATCAACATTTAATAAAAATTATAAATTGTAAACAGTTTATTTTTATCATCAAAGCGTTCTTGTTTTGATGAGTCATACTAATATTAACATTGAAAATATTCCAAACTGTATGAATATCATCTGTTGCATAATTGAAATGTTATGGATAATTTTATAAGTTAAAGATTAACGGCTCATTTCTGTCTTTGAAATCCTTACGAAAACGATGCGAGTTTTATTTACTACAATTAATGAACACATGTTTGTTTTAATTTTCGGAAGTTCGAATGCACCTTCCGAGTGCATCAATAAAAGTTCCTTAATGAATAATTTGGTAATCTTATCAAAAAACGATCATGAAAAATTATTGTAACAAAGATTATGCTAAACTGTGTGGTAGCAACAAATTTGATAAGCGCAATAACATTTATAATAACATGCGGTGATACTTCATCGCGTTTTTGTTTGAAGATCCTACGGCAAAACGGATATAATTCGGTGAAAATTTACTGTATGTAAAGAATTTAGTTTCTTCATTATTCAGTGAATATAACGGTTTTTTTTTTGTTATCAAACATGGAAACAGCTACGTTTTTGTTAATCAGTTTAGTTTTACTCGGTATTTATGTGTACTTCAGAAGACGTTTGAACTATTTTAAATCGCTGGGTGTACCTTATGTGCCCAGTGGGCTATTTGGCTCTTTGTCCGGTGTGATATTTGGCACAAAATATAAAAGCTACCTGTTAAGAGAACTCTACAATTATCAGCCAGAGGCCAAGTACATTGGGGTGTACAATTTTACGCAACCAATAATTCTATTGAGAGATTTAGATCTTATAAAAAATTTAGCCGTCAAGCATTTTGAGAACTTCCCAAGCCATGTCCCCTTCGTCGACGACATGGTCGATCCGATGTTCGGTGTCAATCTGTTCAACATGGCTGGGGATCGTTGGAAAGAAACTCGAAACCTGCTTACTCCAACTTTCACCGGCAACAAAATGAAGGGTTCGTTTGAACTCATGGTCAAATGTGGAGAGAACCTCGTGAACTATTTAGAAGAGCTACCGGACGAGGAACGCGAAAAAATCCCGACGAAGAACTTTTTTGGAAGACTCGCTACCGACTTGATAGCGACCTGCGCTTTTGGATTGCAGGTAGATTCGCTGAAAAATCCAAAAAACGAATTTTTTCGCTTCGGAATGAATGCTTTGAGCTCCTTCACGCCCACTAAACAGGCCTGCGCTAGAACTTTCCCGAGGCTAATGAAATTGCTCAACATCAAAATTTTCAACGATCAAACTAGAGATTATTTTTCAAATATCGTGAAAGATACGGTGGCAAATCGAGACGAGCAAGGAGTTACAAGAGCAGATATGATTCAACTTTTGATGAACGCTCGAAGCAAGGAGTGGAAACACATCGACGTGACCTTGGATTTTATGGCAGGACAGGCGATTACATTTTTCTTCGGTGGCTTCGATACAACGTCGATGCAAATGTGTATACTAGCACACGAATTGGCTCTGAATCCGGAAGTGCAACGGCGTCTGCAAGAGGAAATCGACGAAGTTATGGAGAAAACCAACGGCAGTCCGACCTACGAAGCGATCAACGGCATGGCCTATCTCGACGCAGTTTTCGACGAGTCCCTGAGATGCCGTTCTCAAGTCAGTAGCATCGACCGGGTGTGCAGCAAAGAATTCGAGCTGCCTCCAGCCCTGCCAGGTGCCAAACCGTTCACGCTCAAGCCTGGAATGGTGGTCTGGATCCCAGTTCAGCCTATTCACGAAGACCCCAAGTATTTTACAAATCCAGAAAAATTCGATCCCGACAGGTTTTATGAAAAGAGAGTCAATGGCGACGTTCCCAGCAATTTTGGCTTTGGCATTGGTCCGAGAATTTGCATTGGCAGAAGATTCGCTAAATTGGAGATCAAAGTATTGTTCTTTTATATCCTGTCAAAATTCGAATTTGTGCCTAATGCAGACACTAATTTGCCGGTCCAATTCGACAAATCACAGTTCAATCAAGACTACAGCTTATCGGTAAAATGGAGAAAAAAGAATCAATAATTTTAATTATAATAAATATTTGTACAATGTTGCATTTGATGTATATGAATCACAATAAATTATCACTTATGACTTTATCTAGCTCGAGGATGAATTATTTTACCTTGAAATTGATTAAAAAGTAAAAATATATTGATTATAATCAATGCACTGCAATTAATGAGGTTGCATAAATAGATGCGACGAATAAATAAACGATATAAACGATATTAAAAAATATTCACGATGCGACGAACAAATTTGTCAAATGAAATCCTTCCCCTTTCCAAACTTTGATGCGAGTTTCATGACAACATTGCTGAATGTAGGTATTTCTAGCGGCACTCGTCTAAACTCTGCAGAGCCCCAACAACCAGACAGTGACCATACAACTAGCCACTTGTAGCGTAGGCCTTAGCAGGCGTCTGCATGGCAGGTGGAGGTACTGCGCCTGCCGATTGCTGGGCGTTGTCGTCGTTCGCGAGTCATCGCAGAAATTAAGAAAGAAAATAATCGCGTCGACGTTGTGTTATCTTATTACCCTGTGTGTGGACTATACAGCACTGATAAACGGCAATTGCCGACTGATAACAGCACGATGCGGGCGTGCGTTGTTTTGGCGAGTTTGATTCTCCTGGCCTTCGTTGTGGGATCAACAACAGGTGAATTTTTATCTCAGTAAATTGGATTCTATTAGACGCGATTGTGTTTACGAGCGAATATTTTGAGGTTGGATTAATTTGCCTCCAAGGAACGCCGCGACAGGGTCAAAATAACAATTCTTAAAACACCTGTTGCTTTTTTACTGAACATATATCTTCGAACTTTGTTTGACAGCTTTTTATTTTGATTTTGAATTTTCCTGCAAGACATTTCGAAAACATGCGCGCTGCTTCGATAATTCTTATAAACAATCGGTCGATTGCTACCTGTGCTGAATTATTCTGTCAATTAACTTTTTTGTGAAAACCACGTATTTGATTTTTATTTTAATTTCAATCTCCTTTGGCATTAATAAAAGTATTACTTATTTTGATTAAATTATTGCATGGTTTATTTATTTAATTTCTTCGATTTGTGAAATAACATTGAAACGAATTTTGATTTAATAGGTCAAAATCTAAGAAATAACACAGCAATATGGTGTACAACATCCAAAGAGGAGCAAGAAAAATGCAAAGCATTTTCTCAAGCTGTAGAACAAGAAAGATCTTCATTCAGAAGCTACTACATGCCTATACATTGCAAGCAAGCATTCAACAGAGATGAATGTATGACTCTTTTGGACCAAGAAAAAGCTCATTTGACTACTTTGGATGCTGGTGAAGTTTTCATTGGAGGAAGATATCACAGTTTAGTACCAATAATACAAGAAATTTATGAAAGTGGTGTGAATTACCAATATGCAGTAGCTGTTATTAAAAAAAATTCCTTACCTGATGTTCAAAACATTAGAGATTTAAGAGGAAAGAAGGCCTGCTTTGCTGGTGTAGGAACTCTGGCTGGTTGGGTTACTCCAGTTCATATTGTAAGTTCTAAATTTTTGCCTACTTTTTATTTTATGTCTACTACTTCAATTTTTTTTCTTTCACAATGTTTAGTTGATGAAAGAAGGTGGCATGGAAATTATAGACTGCAATAATCATGTGAAATCAACTATCAAATTTTTTGGTCAAAGTTGTGCAGTTAACTCTTTAGTCAATAAATACAATCCACTCGGCGATAATTCTGACCAATTATGTAAACTTTGTATTGGAAAAATACCAGGAGGCAAGTGCACAGATGCTGATCCATATGCTGGTTATGAAGGAGCATTTAGATGTTTAGTTGAAGCAGGTGATGTTGCCTTTTTAGTTCACACCACTGTTCAAGAAATGACATCCACTAACTTTGATCTCAGTAAGTTCATGATATTTTTACTATAATTTTTTATACTTTTTTATGTTTTACTTTAAAATGATTAAAGTTTTACTATATGTTTTTTTATAATAAAGATTCAGTATCCAAAGATCAATTTGAATTACTCTGTCGAGATGGCTCAAGAAGGTCTATTGATGAATATGCCTCTTGTCATTGGAGTGAAGTACCATCAAGTGCAATTGTTGTGTCATCTGCCACTGATCAGAATAGAAGAAAATTATATCAGAAGTTCCTTGAAGAAGCAGTAAAAATTTTTGGAAAACGTGATAGTAATACACGGGATAATAGTGCCTACAATAATAATACCACTTATAGTTGGAATAATGGTGGCTATAATGATCGAGATAGAGAAAGCAATGAGCCCAACATTCAAACCATTGGAAAATTCAACTTATTTGAATCAGCTCCACGATATGGATTACGTCATAATCTCTTATTTTCGGTAGAGTAATCATATCATCTTTTAATTATGTTTTCAATTAAAAATTATTCTAAAGAATACTTTATAAACTGCAGGATTCAGCCAAAGATTTTGTCAGAATTCAAGAATCCGATCAAACTTTTTCTGGGTACTTGAAGTCATCATTGGATATGATTTATGCTGTCAGAAGTTGTCCAGTAAACAGAATGACTCTGTGTGTAACATCAGATCCTGAACTTGACAAGTGTACAAAAATGAAGGTATGGTATTATGATATACTCATTAAAATAATTTAATTATTCGGAATGTTTCATAAAATTTTCATTTTATGTTGTAGATTGCTTTGAAAGCTCAATTATTAAAACCAGAGTTGAATTGTTTGAAAGGGCACAATCATATTCATTGCATGCAATCTATACAGAATGGTAATGCAGATATAACTGTGCTAGATGCAGCAGATGTTTATACGGCTGGTTTACGTTACGAACTGGTACCTTTTATTTCTGAAGTTTACAATCTTGAGTCACCATCATACTATGTAGTTGCAGTAGCCAAAGAAGAAGATGATAACACAGATTTGACTTACCTAAAAAATAAATACACCTGTCATTCAGGCATTAATACTGCAGCTGGTTGGGTCTATCCATTAGCTTATTTGCTATCAAACGGGTGGATTCGTGGCTACGGTTGCGATTCCATGAAAGCTGCTTCTGAATGGTTCACTAAATCATGCGTTCCAGGGGCTCTTGAACTTTCCTACAACATAGGTAAAAACAGTGCATAATAAGTAAAAAAATGTTTGAAAGGGTCAAAATCAGTTGAAAATTTGAATTTTTAGGCGTTCCTTATGATAACTTGTGTGATTTGTGTCACGGCACTCGAGATCGTTACTGTCATCGCGATGCTTCCGAAGATTATTACGGAGATACCGGTGCATTCCGATGTTTGACTGAGGGTGGTGGCGACGTAGCCTTCGTCAAACATACTACCGTTGCAGAAAATACTGACGGAAAAAGACGAGAGTGGTGGGCACGTAACACTTTTACCAAAGATTTCCAGCTGCTCTGTCCTGACGGTACGAGAAAAAGTACTTTGGAATACGAAACATGTAATTTGGGAAGGGTTGCTGCCAATGCGGTTGTTACCAGAGGTGGTTATTACGGTTACAACGAAACTCAGGTATGATGATCGAAAAAAAGAATATTTATCGAACAAAGTGTCAAAAAACTAATAATATTTTTATTTCCAGATCAATGCGTATTCTAACTTATTGATTTACGCGCAACAATTCTACGGCAGAAAATACCAAGATGAATTCACATTTGCGATGTTCTTCAGTCAACCGCCCTACAGTGATCTCATTTTTCAAGATGCCACCACGCAGTTAGCTATCGTACCAAAAGAAAAACGTGAATTCAGCGCATATGTTGGACAAGACTTTATGCGTGCTAAGCGTATCGTTGATTGTACCGCCGGTGGGTCAACTCTAATATCTTCTCTAGTTGGTACCTTAATGATGATTTTCTTAACGACTGTTGTTTTAAGATAAAACTAATATTTATATTATTGCAGCGAGTTAATAATTAAAAAACGTGCCTTATCGCTATTCACTTGCTGACTTTTAGAGGCATTTTTATAATTTAACGATTACTTTTTTATTGTATTATCATACGTAAAATCTCGTTGCGATTCTCATCGTCATATAAAAATTTTTTTTAGTAAATATAAAATATAAAATGATGCTTCGCAAATTTCCAAATTCAACTGTAACGACTCCGTCCAAATACATGTTCAATGTAAGTAAATTTAATAATGTGCTTCATGTTCCAATGCACAAGTATTAAAAGCCCATTTTTGTAAATACTTATGAAACATTCAAGTAATCTAGTATGAATCTCGCTTGCAAAGCAGTTTTTAACAATGAATGTCTAGAAATCCGTCCTTGTTCAAAATAAGAAAACATTTTGAACAAAAACATTTAATTGTTTAATACGTAAATTTAGTACATTTTATATAAAAAATATATATAATAAAATCCGTCCACGTGAATGAAAAAAATGTTCGTCTTATACAATGTTTAGTATTAATTTACTGTGTGAATGATAAGTTTTGTAATATTTTTTAAAGAATAACAAATAAATAAAATATTTAAATTAAAAATGAGTCTTCCTAAATATCTTTTTAAATAGCAAGATGTGTTTCTTGTTATAAGATGCAATGTTCGATGCTCTTTTTTCATTTAAAATTGGGTAATAAATTACCTGATTTTTATCATTTCGGCTTCTGGGAGATAAAACCCACTAGCAGCGTGATCTCATCTCCGACATTTGACAAAAACAAAACAAATCCCTCGAAAACAAGCGCAGCGGATTTGACCCCTAATATTGGCTGCACGCGTATCGCGTGGCATAACATCATAATACACACAACATATTCAACATTCCCACATAGGCGCAGGCACGGATTATCGTGTGTTCGCGAGTATATTTTCTTTCGTCCTATCGAAATTTTTCTCTCGACTAAATCGTCCATATTTCTCTGCATCTCTGTGTCCTACGCGATAAAAAATAAGCGCGAATTTCGAGTCGCGATTCTTGCATCGTTTGGGCGACGATTTTCTCCCTTGCGCTCCGCAGACGAGCGAGTGCAACGGCTCCGAAATACAACAAAGTGCGTGATTTTTTTCTCGGAACTTGGTAGAGGCCATTCCCCGTTGGCCCAGGCCGGCAATAGAAGTCAGCGTGTGTCTGGGACTCGTGCTGACTCTGTGTAAGTAAATCCAGACGCAAAGCACAGCGACTTGTTGCCGCAGCACGATTCGGTATCCTAAACACCGTATAGCAGTTCCGCCCGCCCGAGCGCGTCTGTGTGCGTGTGTGCGTTAGCGAATCAGAGATAGACAGTGCCTCGGCGGGCTTATACACTGCACGCTAATCGCGCGACGTCGCTTCCGTCAATTGAATTCCCTGTGATTTGTTCATTTGTTTTTTCGCAGTTTTCCTTGTTATATGCGGTGGCTCGCGTTGTTGAGTGCAGCCAAAATACTTTTTCAATTCTACCATTCGCTCAAGGCGTTTGTGCGCAAGATGATTCGAAATCCGTTGTAAGTATTCTTGTTGTATACGCATTTTTCTGGTAATGTTATTCGATAAGTGTTCAATTTCGAAAATTCCATTGAATTTTCTATTTTATTCGATCGATGTTTTATACGCTGTTAATAATATGCTTATCCGTTTGTCTTATGATTGATCCTTGCAGTAATACAGTGTAAATGTGATTCGAAATATCGTGCACTCATCTCGTTTTAATGAAAAAAAGATATGTCTTTCATATATGCCGGTCGTTGCACCCAACCGGTGTTCGAATTTTGCCGTGTGGACAAAAATTCGACTCGATGATACGCCATTGCCAGAAGTAAACACTTCTTATTTTTCTGTTTTCAGTCGATTTATGGAGCAACCAACTAGAAGACCCCCGAAAAGAGTCATCGAGCCAGTCGATGAGTGGTTACACAATGAAGGCTTTTATCGAAAAAATACTCCCAAAGACCCAACTTGCTTGTTTAGGGCTGTCAGTGAACAAATTTACAATAATCAAAGGGATCATGTGAGAGTAAGGAGAGAATGTGTTGAATATATGAGGAAAAATAAAGAAAAATTTGAAGAGGTAATGATTAATCAAGATCTTGAATAAAGATTTTAAGAATGTAACTTATTTATTTGTAGAAAATTAAAACATCTATTGATGATTACTTGGACCAAATGGCTTGCGTGGGTCAAAATGGGGGAATGAATGAAATTCTAGCCATGTCTTGGTTGTACAAGAAAAATGTTGTCATTTTCCATGCACAAACATTGACCAAAGATTTAAGTATCGATAATGGATATGCGGAAGGGATTTGTTTGTGTTTCATACCTCCAAAGCAATATGAAAGCGTATTTACCCAAGAACATACTGCCAATGCTGGATTTTGTCAATGTTGGTCATAATATGAAGTTTTAAATATGATAATTAAATATTTTTTTAATTAAATAATATCTTTACAGCCATAGTTTATCAAATGCTGTACAAAAATGTATTTAAAATGAACACTGTTGATAGTACTGTTAATAAGATGCTACATGATAGAAACAATCATCTACGACACGACAAGTTTTTCTTGAAAGGGAATATGGAAATTAGAAAGTACGATGATCAATGTTATATTCATGATACATTTTCAAGTATATTTATATATTCTTTATTCTTGCAGCCAATTGACTTTAGAGTTAATTGACAAACTTGATGGAGAAGATCTTGAAGAAACTCAAAGAATTAATAGGGGTATTACACCATTTCCTTATAGAGTTGCAAAAGCTTTGGATCCTTCAATTTATCGAAATATTGATTATGATATTTGGCATGAATTAAAAAAAGGTAAATTTTCTGGACTCAAATAATATGTTATATCTTTGATAGATTTTTGAATTGATCCACTATATTTTATTCTTATCAAGAGAGTAAGAATTCTGGTTTTGCCAAATTTAATTCTAATGAACTTCAACCTGGAAGCAAATGCTATGTACATCTCATTGAATTGAAAGATTCTGATAAGGCGAACAATAATTTCATGACGTCTAGGGAACCTTGGGATAGCAATAAAGCTGTAACAAAATGTAAAAATATGGAGCCATCAATATATTATACCGGTCACATACAAGAAATGAGTAAAAATAATGGACCTGTGGTAGTATTTATTGAAGAATTAGGACAGAGAGTGACAGTGCCACGTGAAGCCTTGAAGCAAATTCCTCCAAAAAAAGTTAAATCAAACAATTGGGCCCTAAGTCCAAATAAAAAGAATATGATGGTTCAGAGTAAGTAAAACATAAATGCAACTAATTCAGCATCCCTAACTGGATTGATACTCTTCATGTGGCATTTGATTAATTTATAGATCAAAAATGGAAAAAGCCATGGAATTCATCCAATCGTAAAGTCAAAGAACAAGTTCCTTTAGACAATAACAATGAAAAAATTCCAAATAACAATACTAAAAATACAACTAAAAATGTCACCTCAAAAGTTGACGTTAATAATATGTAATGATTGTTTGAAATTTGATTAATTTTTAAAATAAGTGAAATAAAATGTTGTTAAAATAAAGTATATTTTAGGACTGAAAATAGCGAGAGCAATACTGTCGCAGATAGTAATTTGGCTTCATGTCAAGATATTGGAACCAAAGTATTTTTTTCATTAAAAACGTTCATTATTATAATGAGAAATGATTAATTGAAGTACATGTATTTCAGGCAGTTGAAAATTTAAAAACAGAATTGGAAACTACTCATATCACACTTTATCAACCTGCTGAAAAACCAACTGTTGAAGAGGATAAAAAAGGTGCAAAATTTGTTACAAATAATGATGCAGTACGTGAAAATATGTCCAAAAAACAAACCCAAAATGTTACAACAAATAAGAATAACGTTGATGGAAATCAAACAAATAAGCAAAACATTCAAAGAAATGGGAAATCTGAAATATTTTATCCTGTATACCCAAGTAATGTTTTACCTTGTGAAATCTGTTCATTTCTAAAAACGTGTAAAAATTTGATTTTAACTTTTCTCATTTAGATGCTCCATATCCTACTCATTTTCCAATTGATGGAGAAGTTCATTATAATTATAACATAGTTAAAACTATTGATCCAGAAGCAAATGAAATTCCTTATGCAGGTAAGTAATAGTTGCTAAAAGTCTATTGCAAGAATTGTTGACCGTATTTTATTTATTTAATTTTATTTACTCCGAATCAGCAACAACGGCGCAACATTATTATAATATAAATCCTAAGGTATACAATAAAAAATATCGCCTCAAAATTTTTTCAATTTGTCAGATATTTAATTATTTTATTTTTAACAGTATTATTGGTCTCAAACTCCCTGGTCGAATGGTGTTAATGGTCCGCCTATACAATTTGCCGAAAATCAATATTATTTGGCTCAAGCACCCTTGATGGACCCAAATTATAATCCCAACATTATAAGTGGTAATAATTTGAAAATAATGTGATTTGTTTTGTATTCCATTTATGGTTAATTATATCGTTTATTTTGAAGTCCCTGTTGCTACTAATGAATCTCACATATCGCAAGTTAGCCCAATGCAACAACCGAATAATAATCAAAATCGGCAAAATCAACGCTCGACCCCACCCCGAAGCCAGGAAAACAATAATCGGCAAAGACAGAACCACCGAAATAATAATAATGATTATCGAAATTCACCAAATGTGGACATAAATCGAAACCGTTCTGATTACAAGAATTCCAACCATCTAGAGCAACAGATACCTAATAAAGGAAAAACGAATCCGATTGCACCCAGGTTTAAGCGGAATAATGAAAGTGAGTAATTTAATAGTAATAAATCATAATACTCTTTAAAAATAGATCAAATGATACTTTTTTTTAATTATTCTATCACTTTTGCTCTTATGAATTAGATGATCTATTTACACATTTTAACTTTTTTTACAACTTTTATACAGTCAAACTTATCATATAATAATTTCAAGTAAAAAATTGCATTATTATTCTGAAGTCTTATCTTTCTGCATAACTCTCCTGAGGTACCTTTGCACTTTTGTACCTTTTGATTTTTCTTCTAAATTAGATGGTGAGGAATCTCTCTTCGTTCTTTTTTGTTTTTTCTCTTTTTTTCGACTTGAAGATGCTTCATTTGGTTCTGGGCTAGCTGGCTCTACCATTTCTTGCGGACATTCTGGTAATTTCTGTTCCGATGAAGATGTTGACTTCCTGATTGCTCCTACAATTATGGGTTCATTTTCTCTTATTTCAACATTTTGTTCTTCCAGTTGCAGTTGCTCGGAATTTTGTTGTTCAGCTTGACCTTGAGTATTTTTAGATGAATCCAAATCATTTAAAGAATCTAATCCTTCAAGTGTTGGAAACTCCATATCTTCAACTGGTACCTGTTTCGTTTCTTTTCTCTTCTTCCAAGAACCAAATGTTTTTGAAAATAAAGAAGTAAGATCTCTTGGAGTGATTGATTTCTTTTTCTCTAAGCTCGTTGGTGTTTTTCTTTTTTCTGAGCTTGTTGGTGTGTTTTTCTTTTCTAAACTTGTCGGGGTGTTCTTTGGAATCGCACCAGCTTCACTGTTTTCTGAGCTGCTAACTCTACTTGGACTCACTGGTGGTTTATTTTTACATGGACTTGCAAGTGCATCATTTGCTTCATGTTTTCCATTATTCAAACCATTTTGATTTTGTTTTTCTTCATGCTCTGATTGCTGGGGATTTTGTTCTTGGGATGCAAGTCCATCATTTGCTTCATGTTTTCCATTATTCAAACCATTTTGATTTTGTTTTTCTTCCTGCTCTGATTGCTGGGGATTTTGTTCTCGGGATGCAAGTCCATCATTTGCTTCATGTTTTCCATTATTCAAACCATTTTGATTTTGTTTTTCTTCCTGCTCTGACTGCTGAGGATTTTGTTCTTTGGATTGACTCTTTTTATTTTCATTCAGTTCTACATTATTTAGAGAATCTAAATCATCTAGTGATGGAAGTTTTACATCTTCATTAGACTCTTGTTCCACTTTCTTCTTCCAACCACTCATATTCCATGATAATTTAGATTTTTCAGACTTTAGTTGGTTTAAATTTTTAGTAATGTGCATTATGTATTTTATAAATTGTACAGGTGGTTTTAAGTTTACCTTGGTTTTATTAGACTCTAGTGAAGGTTGGATTGGTTTTTTAGTAGCTCCTGCCTGCATTTTTTCGTCCTTTTTACCATTTATTGGTTTTTTATATTTCTCTAAATTTCCTGAATTTTTTATTGCACCTCTGTTTTGTCTTTCTTTTGAAGTCAGAATAGGTGGTTTTATAGATCTTACTAGCCTTGAGTAAAATAGTTCTCTGTCATTGTTTTGGTAGTATACTTTTGTATAATACATAACATTAGGTGGTAGATTGCATTGTTTGTACACCAATGGAATAATCATTCCTGATCCTACACCTGAAATAAAGTATATGTAATATGTAAAAAAATTTGTAATACAATGCCTAAAAAATCGCTTTTATCGTACTTATTCCTTGAGCTGCTCCAAAGTTGAGAAAAAATTTATTTACTTCGCTTTCAAAGAAAGCTGGTGAGAAAATAGTTAAAAGTTTGCGACATCTTTCTGATATGAGAGTCAGTATAGCATCATGCTCAAATGTAGTACCAGGTACTAAATCTCTTTCTCTATCACAAATCTGTTAAAAAAAAAATATCATAGAAGCAATCAAGTGCAAAATTTTTTTTTTAAATTCCAATACTTTGTTCCCATACCTGTAAGTCGTAATGACCCTCCAAATTATCCATCAATTCTTTAGCAAATTGAGCATCTTCATCTGCATATAAAATAAAAGCATCATATTGCTTTTCATCTTTACCTAATTGTATTTGTACTTGATCATCTAAAATAAAATTGTATAATGAATAATATGTCAAAATGATTCATGTTTTTATATATTTTCATTGCTACCATAAGTTAAAATCTTTTTGCCCTTTGTAGACTCATCTGCTTTAATTGGTTTTGATTTAGTAGCCTTTTCTACTCTATCTAGGTATTGTTTACAATCTTGTTCAAACATAAGTTTACAATCGTCAATAACATCAAATCTTTGTATTTGTACTAGAGCATTTACAAAATCTTTAACTGTAAAATCTGTGTTGTCCTTTTGAATAATCTCAAATATCAGACCAATATGATCTACATTTAAATGTAGATTTTGGTATGCATTTTTATCAACTGAACAAACATCAGCTATTCCTCTCCAATCTCTGCAAGTTTTTGAATGATTTTATTATGATACAAATGATAAATCCACATAAGGTTAGGCGTAAGGATAATCAAAAAGTACATGAATAAATTATGAACACATTAACTTACCTCATAAATCCAGTTGTCGCTGGTACACATTTTTCTGTGTTCAGCATTGTGGAAAGTAAATATCTTGTTTTGTATGACAAGGCCATCAAAGGCGTTTCCAAAAACGTGTTTTCCATTTTTTGTAACTTATTTAAAAAATACAGAAGTAAAATCGTATCTATGACTTACAACCAATTTTTTTTATGTACCATCTATTGTTCCTGGAAATTAACTACTCAATTCAAAAATTATTTTGGTATGAGCTAATTACGAGCATGTCCAAGCCGAAATTAACTCTGTGAGTAGTATATTTGTTTTGAATTGACATGTCTGGAATTCTGATCATTTATTAGCAACGGGTTTTGCGATTTTTATCCCCACCAACTACGATTGGCGCCAATCTGTGGATTGCTTAAATTTATTACACGCGTATTTTTGATGCTCTGTTCGAAAAATTTTCAAAAATGAACGAAATTCTAACAATCGAAATCGATTTTTTTCAACCAATTAATATACCGATTTCTTCAAAAATGCTAGATGCGTCAAAGCTGCGTGAAATTATCAATCAGTAGTTGAATATTTCTCGAACAAATAAAAATTGTTTCAAGTCATGGTAACCTATTTTACAGATCGTAACAACAATAACAATAACAACCGAAATAACAACTCCAATGAACATCACGCTCCTCATCAACAACAACAGCATTACCAACGGTATCAACAGCAAGATTACGACTATCGCCACAATCGAAAACAACAGCAGCAACAACAGCAACAGCATCAACAATCACAAGTACAACAGCAGTCTTCTCAAACTCCTCAACAACCTATGGAAATGCATGCTTCAATGACGCACCATGCGATCGAGATGAACGATATGCATCAACAGCAATTGTCTAACCATCAACAACAACAACAGCCACCACCACCACCTCCACCCACGCAACAACAGCAGCAGCAACAACAACAACAACAACAACAACAACAACAACAACAGCAACAGCAGCAGCCTCAGCTTCAACATCAAACTCCAAGTCAACAACAACAAATGATGCAGCCTCAAACACCACCACCCATGCAACAGCCACAAGCTTATGGATATCATATAGCTTACAATCAACAGGTGCCTTTCGTGCCGTACGGAGCTTATGCGCCAGAGCACGAAGCTGCTTATACAAGTACGTTTTAATTCGAATTTTTTTCTTTTATTGAATTTATTAAAATCTTGACTATTATTTTCGCAGCTTCATTTTATCCTCCTGGGCCAGGTTTTATTCAAGTTCCATACATAGCCACTGAAATGTCGGCCGATGGTAGCCCAGCAACCATGACGCCTTTATATCCAGCTCCAATGGATGGTTTTGCTGCACCGGCTCAATACCCTTTGTACCCTCAATACGTGTACCATCCAAGTCCGATTTATTCTGGACCAATACCGCCACCTCAACCACCTCAACAGCCCCAATCTCAGGTGAATGAGCAACCGCAATCTCAACAGCAACAACAGCAACAACAGCCTTGCTATGCACAACCACCACCGGTGCCCCCTCCGCAATTTCAACCTTATTTCTTTCCTTATGCTCCGCCTCCTCCTCCACCCCAAGGCATACCTCCAGCGCCCTTGCATTAATTACATTAAAAATGTATAATGCAGCAAGGATTCTGGATGTGTAATTTTTTTACCAGTTCAAATCATAGGTGATCAGTCATGCACCACATATTTTATCTAATGCTGTTTTTAATCGATATTTAGAATAGTTACATTTTCATGGTGACATGATAGATACATGTATGGTTCTGATTTGTAAAAAAATTATACTATGAGATAATGGTTGAATAAAAAGCACGATTGTTTTTTCAAGAAGTATTAAATGATGCTCATCTTCCTACATGGAAAATTATTCGACATATTCGAGCCAATATATCGTATATATATCTATATATACATTACAGGTTTTCCTTTATAAGGTACTGGTTATTCTGACAAAGTATATTATTTTGGAAAATAATATATAGTACAATAGTTGTTTTAAATTGTAAAATTCAGTAAAGTCACTTCTGGTAAACTAAACTTGGAGTTACTAGATGTTAATTTAGTTCATTCACGATCATGAATAAATTACTACATTTTAACTCTTACTACATTGTGATTCTCTCATGTTCATATTTTTAAAAATTATGAATTATTTACACTTTTTAAAAGTATTTGACAGCTTTTTATGAATAAATTTCAGTACCACGAATATTTCAAAATTTTCCATAAAAAATTATTATAATGCTAAATTGGTTTAGCATATTGTAGGGATGTGAAGTACTATGAGCGTCACTGACTATGACTAAAGTAGAATATTTACAACTATTATCTAATGAACTGCTATGGAAGTCAGAAACGTTTGATTGTTGAGACAGATGAAAAGAATCATTTAGTTCAAATGTTTAATAAGTTAGTGGATACAAACTTGAGTACATTTACTCGAAGAATTTGCTGACAATACCAAATAACATTTGAGCTATTGCGATTCATTGTTACTTTTCATGAAATATTTCTTGAATATTTATATTGTAAAGTTGAATAGGTTATTCGATTTATTGTTTTTTTTTTTCATTATGAAATTGTTTGAATCTTTGAGACAGTCTTTATATTTTTCTTATAGTTATATAACTGATATTTCTTACAAGCCATAGGTCATGTACTTTGTAATAGTAGATATTTTCTAAAAACTAAAATTAAATTTATATTATTATTATTATTATTTTTGAAAATTTGATATAATTTGTAATAAATATTTTCGAAAAAAAAAATTAATTTCGTTACTTAATAATATACTTTATCCAATATCCTTGTGTAAAACTTGATATTTATAAAATGTGACCTTCTGTTATGAAAAAATATTAAAATACAAAAGTATAAAGATCTTAAGTTTTTATTTCTTATGTCATGAAATAGCTAAAAAAAAAAATTAATTCCGCCATTTGATCGATGTACTACAAAGAATACTTTCTGCAAAAAAGTATTCTTCTGAATTAGGTTTGAGACTAGCTTTGTACTCCACTAATGCTGTTCTATCACCTTGGGTACCAAGTATCTGTTCAAATTTATAATTTTTAAAAAAGTGATGTTTTGAAGTATTTTTTTTCTTTCAAGTAATCATCAACTCACATTTATAACTCCTTTATAACAGTTAAGACTCTTTGCAACCTGAAGTCTTTTATTGCTTTCTACATAATTTAAAAATTTTTCTATTATACCAGATGGTGCTTGTTGTTCTTGCAATAATTTTAATACTTCTTCAATAGGTAAGCTTGACTGTAGTTTTTTGCCTCCAAGCCACCCCTTACATAATAAAAATCATGAAAAATCATAAAATATCATTTTAAAAACTTTTATTTTGAAAATTAAAATATACCTTTTTATGAAGTAAGCCATCAATGTCATCCCAAGCTTGTAAAGATGCTCTTGTTATTATGGCAACTTTTTGATATTGACGAGATAATATTTCTTGAGTTGCCACCAATGATAGAGGAGATAGACTGTTAGTTTCTGGAGCACCCCAACAATCCTTACAAGTTATTCTTAAACATTCCAAGGTTGAAGCATTGCTTTTTAATGGTTCACTAAATTTATTTTGGGAATTTTTTTGCCACTCTATAATAATAAAAGTTTACTAATCAGTTCATTGAAAAAGATAATTATTTTGAAGATACAAATCGAAATATTCACCTAGTAACTTCACATATGATCGAACAAAGTTAGTTTCTCTGCAGTCTAATAAATTTGAAAAGAGCATACTATAATTTTTCAAAATTTTGGACAAGAGTGTATCTATATTAGCTTCTTTACTAGTATTTTTAATGATAATATTTAGACATTTTATCTGCAAATATTTGAATTTTTACTAGAAATCACTATTTTTTAAATTAAAAATATCCAAATTTAAACTTACTGCTGCATCTGATGTCTTCCCTTGAGCTCTAAAAATAAAGTTACAAATAAAATCATGAAAATGATAATTTTTTCAATTAATTTTTCATTACTTTTTTTTTCTTACGTCAAGAGATCGCAAATTTCATTTGTACACATTCTTGTTGATAAATACTGTATGTAGGCATTTAATGCTTCTGGTCTTTCAGTTAACAATTTTTGTACTAAGCTTTTTTTTAATGTATTTTTGATGAAAAGTGTTATCTAAATAGGAATAAAATAATTGTATAGAATGAATATTTTTCTAATTTATGTTTACAGTAAATACAAACCCCTAGAATTGCATCTCCATTACCAGTTTTTATAGCAGTATCGAGTAAAGCTATTTTACTAGCATATGATTTATATGATTCTAAAGAATATGATTCACCTATTAATATCTTTCTCAGAGTAGTTTCTGGTTGAATTGTATATGATTCATCTGGTTTAAATTGTATTTTATCAGCTTCTAAAACTGTATTAAAAATTATAGTCAGTTTTCAAAGCTAGTTGCTTTTTGTAATTAAATAATAATTTACTTTTAGCTAACGCTTTGTCAGAAATAATTGATAGTAAAGGTTTGACAGATTGCTGTGGTTCATAATAGGTTGTAACATTATCCGTAACTTGAATATTGGAAATTCCAGCTCTGAGTTGCGCTGTACCACTTTTTGATACTCCAAATAGATTATCTGACTAAATAATGTAGGATTTTTATTTTAGCAAAATAATTGTAACAATATTCGTCAAATTTTTAAATAATAACCTCTGTTGTCTCAAAACTAAATGAACGTTTTTCGGTGCTGTACCAAAAATCATCTTCTTCGTTTGATGAAGCCATAATTGAATTTCCAATTCAGCTGAATATTCTGTAATAAAATTGCGAGCAGCGATCTTTATCGAAAGCCTATAAACATATTGTTTGTGATTTTATGAATGGAGTAGTTGTCTGCTTGACAGATGTTTCAATAAATATCGTCTGCTATTTAGTCATTCAATTTTCATGGGTCGCAGTCCGCAGACCGCAGTCTAAGCAGTTATAATGAAAAGCCACATGGATAATCCAATGTGCAGCTAGGTTGTTTGAAAAATGTCAACGTTCAAAATTGAAGTTAACTCGATGACATATACTAAAATAAAAGTATAAAAATATTCTAAATTTGAAACTTTTATGCTCATTTCAGATATTCCGCAATTAAATGAAAAAAATTAATCAAACCAAATTAAATGACGCAGAGAAATGATTTTAATGTAAATAATGCGTTAAACGAAAGCCTTTTTTCCAAGTATATGTTAAAAATAGATTTCAATTTTTAAATAAAGGTATCAACCTAATAAAACTTTCCTCTCGACTCGCGAAAAAATATTGTTCTGCGTGAAAAACCAAATTACTTTTAAACGATCAAGTTGAGCGGAAAAATTATAATAATCCTCGTCGAATGTGTGTCAGCATCGCGTAAAGTACATCGCGCGCAAGTCGCATCGGAATTAAATTAAACGGGCCGAAGTTTCCTTCTACTGTAGCAGAAACGAGCGTCGAGGGGAAAATCCACGCGCGTACTTACACTCGTATCTCTCTGTGCACTCGTTTCGATTATTATGCGTTTGAAATATAATAAATCAAAAAGTAAAAAAGCGGCTATAAATACGCGCTCTCGGGTGGCAGGAAAAAGTAGTCGATGATCGTCTCTCAATAGCCCGCGATCACGATGACGACGATGCGCCTCTCGTTGTGTTTGTGCCTGATAACGGCGGCGAGTGGTGTAATCGCCGATTCGAAGCCGGAAGTGGAGACGAGCCTCGGTAGGATCAAGGGCTCGCTCATGAGTACGCGCTTGAACAGGACGATCTATGCGTTTCGCGGCGTGAGGTACGGCAAGTCGACCGCCGGAGAGCGACGTTTCAAGGTATGTATTATTAGTAAAATTATGTACACATAAAATTTGCAGCTGTCTGTCTAATCGAGCGTTTTATCCTCGTTTGAGTGCCACTTGTTTGTTTGAATCGCTTTCTCGACACGTGCGATTCTCGGTATATACAAGCACTTTTTCCGCCAAGTCGAAACGAGGCGACAATTTCATCATCGACTTAATTTGATTTATGATTTATTCGTATAGCCACCGGTGCCAGTTGATCCTTGGAGCGGAACCTTCGATGCCTCGGAGGAAGGTCCTTCTTGTCCTTTGATAGAAGTGCCCGAGCTCGCCAGCGAAGATTGTCTCAGGCTCAATGTCTATACGACCAAGGTCTGTAAGCTTCGCATTGTGCTTTTTTTTCACACGACCAATAACAATATTAAAAAATAACAATTTGACGAATTCCAGCTTCCAACGCGTCCAAGAGCTGTCAAACGGCCCGTCATCGTGTTTTTCCATCCGGGTGGCTTCTACGGCTTCTCGGCTCAGAGCTACGTGTGGGGACCTCAGTACTACCTGGACCAGGACGTTGTCTTGGTCACGGTGAATTACCGACTCGGTACCTTTGGCTTCCTGAGCACTGGTGACTCTCGAGCTCCGGGCAATCTCGGCCTCAAGGATCAAGTGGTGGCTCTGCGATGGATCCAGCGCAACATCGCCAGCTTCGGAGGTGATCCCAACAGCGTGACCATCACGGGCTACAGCGCCGGCTCCTGGAGCGTCGTGCTGCACATGATGTCGCCCATGTCGCGCGGCCTCTTCCATCGCGCCATAGCCATGAGCGGCTCGCCGACCACCCCGGAGCTCATGCCGGAAAAACAGCCCGATCTCTTGCTCAGACAGGCCAAGTACGTGAACTGCCCGAGCGACGACATCGATCGGGCCCTCGACTGCTTGAGGACGGTCCCGCATCAGAACATCAGCGATACTCTGCCTAGATTTTATGTGAGCCGAAATCGATCGCGATAATGTCGATAGTTTTACGGAAACGATATTTACGGCGATATTTATTGCAGGAGTGGTACGGCGATCCGACGCTCATTTGGACGCCGGTAGTCGAGCCCAACGTGCCCGGACTCGAACGATTCGTCATCGGTCAACCTGTGGACCTGATAAGGAAGGGACAATTCGCTCACGTCCCCTTGATCACCGGCGTCACCAAGGACGAGTTTTCCTCCAATGCTCACAGTAAATATCACCGAATCAACCGCAAAAGCTCTCGATCGTGCAAACCTTTTCACTTATCGTTTCTCAACAGAGGCCCTCGAGGACGCGGTCAAGGGCGACGAGTCGATCTACAAGAACTTCACCGAGAACTGGGAGCACGCGGCACCCATAGCTTTCCAGTACGAGCGCGACACCGAGCGCTCGAGACGCATCAGCCGCGAGATAAGGAAATTTTACTTCAACGACGAGCCCATTACCTTGAAAAATGGCAAGAGGCTCGGAGAGGTGAGAACCTTCTTACAATAAGCCACTTGCATGGATTATCATATAGATAACGTATGTTTAATTTCAGATTTACGCGGACGCCATCATAGGCTTTCCGACCTATCGATTTGCCAAACTCATGTCGGAATACTCTCGCGCTCCCGTTTATAATTATCAGTTCACTTATCAAGGTCGTTACAGCTTCAAAGTTTGGAGCGACACTAAGAAGCCAACGGGTAATATCAATCAACCGATACTCTCGATAATGATTCATAGCTCAAATTTTACGTGTGTCTGTGTGTCCGTACAGGTGTTGTTCATCACGACGATTTGATCTACTTGTTCTACATTTCGTTTGCATTTCCGCTCTTCAAGCCCGAGGATCCAGAATCCCGCATGGTAGACAAATTAACGGCCATGTGGACAAACTTTGCAAAATGTGGAAATCCAATTCCGCGCTACAATCCGCTGTTCCGAGGCACCAACTGGTCCGTCATGACTCCGCGCGAGGAGCCATACCTCGAAATCGATGAAAAATTGACCATGAAGAGGAAAATGTTTGCGGAACGTTACGCACTCTGGGATCGATTGTTTCCACTGCTGCCTGTTCGATAAACGGCGACGACGACGACGACGACGAGGATGAGTGCTTTTGTTTTATGGGCGCGAAAATTAGCGCTTGCATAATAATCGCTGCGAGTTGCGATAACTTTTGTTTGTACGCTTGAGAAAATGTTTACAGTAGTAATAAAATTTTTTTGCAAAAAAAAGAGAAGAAGTACGAAAGAAAACAAAAATAAAAAAGATCCACTTCTGCGAATGCGCCTTGCCTTTTTTGTCGTGTCAACAGAGCTTTCCTCGTACAGATAAGATGCGAAAGTTTAACGAACGAGCAAGGTGATGACGAGCGCACGCACACAGACACACACCCGTTGACTCTATAACGAGTCATTATCTCGCTCTCAAAGTCATCGCGCAAAACGGAAAAGGAAAAAAAGGAGAAGAAGAAGAAAAATCGTTGAGCGATCGGTTGGCGCGAGAGCAAGTCAAACGCACAGCTCGTCGACGACTGTGCAATGTGCTGCAGGTGGTCATTGTCACTGGCCTCTGCGTGCGCGCCGAGATGCGCATATGCACGCGTGTTTATCACGAGATGTGTACGTATATAAAGACGCGCAAGGATTTCTCGTTAAAAAAAAAAAAAAAAAAAAAACAAAACGTAAAGCGTCACGTGCCGCGCACAATCCAATTGTTCTCCTTCTCTCTCTATAGCCAAAATGATTCACGTCTATAGCATGTGCATATAATTTTTACACAGCCACGATAATGCGTCGGAGATATTGGCGCGAGCGGCGAAACGATTCTCGCACGCGTGCGTGGCTTAATCATCGTTTTTGTCAGGTGCGCTGCCGATCGAAAACAAAAAACACAGCTATACGGGCTCTGCGCTACGCGTACCTATACTGCATACATCACACGCAGCACATATATAAGTACATATATACGTACATGAAATGTATCTTACGATTACGCTTAGCCGAGAGCCGAGCAGAGCCGAGAGCTATAATAATGCCTCGGCCATTGCGCAACAAGTCAGTCTAGCAAAAGTAGCGCGACGCAGTGCAACGTATATCGTCTAATTGGCCGTTCCCACGCGCGCGTCTTCCTGCGCGCTCCTATATATACATACACACGCGCAGTACTGTATGCCTGTGCGCTGCTGCCGATTACATACAATATACACACCGCAGCATCGACCGGTTTGACTCAGTGCCGAGCCAGACAAGTCGCTAAGAACGTCGTCGACGTTGCAACAAATTAGCGTACTTATACCCATATATAAACGTACAGCACACACACACACACACACACACATACACGGGATATAAATACAATAGAGGAAAAACGCGTGTACTTGCGGGCATACGATGACGAGTTGATCGCGATTACCGACCAACCAACGAGCGCCAAACACGATGGAGAAATTTCGAGTGTCGTCGCTGCTGTTGCCGCTGGTGCTCCTGAGCGCGGCGGCGGTGATGGCCGAGGAGGCAACCCAGGAGGCCACCCTCGAGCTGCCCTCGCTCGGCAAACTCAAGGGCTCGACTCTGGAGACGAGGCTGGGTAAAAGGATCCTGGCCTTTCGCGGTCTGAGGTACGCCGAGGCGCCCATCGGCCAGCAGAGATTTCAGGTAATCCCCATTTAAATCGAATCGGAACTGCGCTTGGTTGAGAAACGAGGAGTGCCTATATACACACATTAACGATCCGAGCAGAGGCGTAACGAGCTTTTGTCGGTTGTTATCGGATAACGATCTTTGTGCGCGCTCGCGAGTCGCTTCTTCCCGCGAATATTACGCGCCTGTAATATTTTTCCTAATCGTCCATTTTACGATACTTTTTTTTATTATTATTATTCTTTTTTTTCCTGCAAACGACTCTGCTCAGTAGCGAGCGGTAAAAAGGCGCGCTCGAGATACAAAGTAATTCGACGAAACCTCGCGTAACGAGGCAGTGTGCATGTAATCGGCATCCGTATTGTTAATCCAATTGACGGCGACGTGCTTTTGTGAGCGCTGCTTTGCTCTCTGTATGTATGTAGGCTCGTCGTCGTCGTCATCTACCTCAAAAGCGCGCATATAGACACGTAGAGCTCTGCATGTATACGCGCGAGCGCACGCGACGCATTAAGTAATTGTTTTTTCATCGACGTTGGACGAAACGTCGTCGAGTGCGGTGCGCAGCTCTCGTAATGATCGCTCGTGTGTACCGAACATAATGATCACGTAGGATAAAGGTGCGCGTCGATCGATTCAAGGTAAAACTTTTTTTTTTCTCGTCGTTGCGTTTCAGCCGCCGATACCGGTGAAATCATGGGAGAGCGTGTTCGACGCGTCCGAGGAGGGACCGGCCTGTCCCCAGAGTTTCGCCGCCAATCAGTCCGAGGACTGTCTTCGCTTGAACATCTACACGACCAAGGTAGACCCAGCACCAGCTCTTACTACGAGCATAATATTGAAATTGAAATCGATTTATTGATTAACTGTTGTCGAGTTCAGCTGCCGAGCGGTGACAACGAGGCACCGAAAATGCCCGTCATCGTCTACTTTCATCCAGGCGGTTTTTACGAATCGTCGGCTCAGAGCTTCATCGAAGGACCCCAATACCTTCTCGATCACGACATCGTCCTCGTCACCGTCAACTACCGACTTTCCTCTTTGGGTATGCATAAATATTTCTCTTCGCAACGCGTATAAGCTATAAGCCCTCCCGTCTCTCGACAGGTTTCATGAGCACCGGCGACTCGCTGCTGCCCGGCAATCTCGGCTTGAAGGACCAAGTCGAGGCCCTGCGATGGCTTCGCCTCAACATCGCCAGCTTCGGAGGCGATCCCGGCAGTGTGACCATCACGGGCTACAGCGCCGGTGCCTGGAGCGTCTCCCTTCACATGGTCTCGCCCATGTCGCGCGGCCTCTTCCATCGGGCCATCGCCGCCAGTGGATCGGCTATTTTCCAAGAACTATTGCCGACCAATCAGACGCATTTGGCGAAAAAGCAAGCCGAGATCTTGGGCTGCCCGACCGACACCGTCGGCAATATGTTGGTTTGCTTGAACACCAAGACAGCCGAGGACTTTGCCAACAGCGTCGGACAATTTTTCGTGAGTTTGCCGTCGTTGTTTTTCATATTTTCTTTTCTCAAGAGGATTATCTTCCGAAACAGGAATGGCACAACAACCCGGTTATCCAATGGATGCCGGTAGTCGAGCCAGAGGTGCGGGGGGTCGAGCGCTTCATGCCGGCCCAACCGATCGATCTGATCAGGCAAGGCAAGTTCAAGAAGGTGCCCTTCATCGCGGGCATCACGAAAGACGAGTTCGGTGCCAAGATCGTGCAAATGATCGAGGAGGCCAAAGCTGGAAACGACTCGATGTTTCGAGATCTCAACGAAGATTGGGAGCGACTGGCGCCGATTAATTTCCTCTACGAGCGAGGCACCAACCTATCGAGCGAGATCAGTTATCAGCTCAAGGAGCAGTACCTCGATGGCAACAACGTCAGCATAGACAATAGTCAAGGACTCGCCAATGTAAGTAATCTTTGTATAGTTCAATTTTAAATTTTAATTTTTTGATAAAAATTTAAACTTTGATTTGCATTTTGATTTGTGAACACTTTAAAGCTCTACGCCGACGGCGTGATAGGCTTCTCGGTGCATCGATTGGTCAACCTACTGGCCGAACATTCCGATCAACCAGTTTATTACTACGAGTTTACTTTCCAAGGGCCCTACAGTCACGTGTACTGGAACGACACGAAGAAGCCCTATGGTGAGAGATTTTCGTAGCGCGTAATAAATTGCAATTTGAGAAATGGAAAATAACGAGTGACACGCCCGATCAACAGGTGTGACGCACCACGACGATCTTCTGTACCTGTTCCGAGTGAGCCTCTTCCCCGAGTTCGAGAAAGACTCGCCGGAGATGCGGACGGTCGAGCGCATGACGGCCATCTGGGCGAATTTCGCCAAGACGGGCGAGCCCATACCGCTGGAAGGCAGCGGCCTAGAGCTGTTCGCCAACGTCACCTGGGAGCCCTACCGCCTCGACGAGCAGAGATATCTGGAGATCGGCGAGGAGCTGAGCATGCAGACGCGATTGAACGCCGAGAGGATGGACATCTGGGACAAGCTGTTCCCCATGGGGCCGGTGCCGCCGACCAGGAGACGCTGATCTCTGCCCCCTCCCCTTCCATCACCCCCCCCCCCCNCCCCCCCCCCCCCCCAAGATCTAGTATTATATCGAATATGAGATTTACGCTAATGATTTTCTTTCTTTTTGTATAAAAAACGATACAAGTATCTGTGTTCGTTTGCGATTGATGCGCACGTTGAGCTTTGACACGATCACTGTTGTAAATACATATTTAATTACATACATATTATTATATACTATTACTATTATTACAATTATAGATATAAAACGAAATGGCACTTGTAGAAAAAGTCAGTCTCAGCTTATTTCCACCCGAGATGCCAATTAGAGTCATAAAATAAAATTGTGTAAATCCGATATCGCTGTAGTCGGAGGCTTGCCGCATGCGCGCGTGGCAGTTGCGCGGCGTCCAACTCGAGCGACGAGCATCCGCGAGGGAGTCAAGCACCCCTGCAGTTGCAGCTGGTGGTGGTAGGGCAGTGTGTACACAACGTCACTGGCAACGCAGGCTTTTTGCGCGCTATACACAACGGCTACGAAGAAACGTATATATATGGAAGGCCAGCGGCAGATAGACACGTTCCTCTCTCTAAGGTCAAAAAGCGTGTGGCGCTACTGCAATTCACAATCCGATCCTTTTTTCCCTCGTAGGCGCGCAGTGCAGTGATAAGGCAGTATATATAACGGGCGCGCGCGCGCACGCCTCCCTCGTGCAGCAGCAGCAGCAGCAGCAGCCCTCCTCCCCTGCACTCTGCAGTTCAGCAGCTGAGTGGTAGTCGCCTCACGATGCCAGTGCCGTCGCGCCACGCTGTTAGCTAGCCCAAAGTCCAGTGCACACTTTTTGTCATACTGCATCGAGGCGTCGTTTTTTCCCTTCCATACGAGTGTGACTTTCGTCGGAAAGAACCAATCCGCGGGTCCGACTCGAGCCGCGACGATCGACGGCAAAGCTGATCGCGACATGGATTAATCGGGTATAAGGCGGACGAGCGCGGAAAATGGGTCGCTCGCGCGGTGCAGCGGATCGCCGTCGCCAAGCCAAGCCTCGCACCACCAGTGCAATGTCGGAGACTGCTCGATCGCGTTGGCCCAGTTTCGCGGGCCGAGCGTAGCCTCCGAGTGCGCGCGAACTCCACTTGCACTGCCATATAAACTCGAGTCGACGACGACTGGACATTTTTCAAGGTTATAGCTACTTGACAGCTCGTAGCTTCGACGTGCAGCGCAGCCAGGTACACACGGACTTGCCTTGATAATAACGACGTTCCTTGCATGCTTAATTTGCACGTGCCTCGTAAGTGATTAGCCTCGATGAGAATCCATCCTTCATTTCCTTTCAAAGACATCGGGGTAGAGAGTACACGTATAGGAGAAAACTAAAAAATTTTAAACACGTATAGGAGAAAACTAAAAAATAGTCATCAACTAGAGCCGATTTCTTTAATCACTCAAAAATGACAATTACTCAGTCTATGAACAGTCGATAATTACCTGCAACGAAACTTTAAATCGATCTCTGTGCTGCATTGTCATGCTCGTTTCTCAGCATGTACAGAAAGGCAGCGTCTAACGTCGAGGACGATGCCGATGCCGAAGAAGCCTGCAGTGCTGGCGATGCTGCTGCTGCTGCCAACAAAATACCAATCGAGATGAGCTACAGCTGCGAGATATGCGGCAGGGACGGCTTCGACGATGCGGAAATGCGATCGCACATGGCGCTCCATCATCTCAAAGGCGCAGCCAATTGTCCCTTCTGCGATCTCGGCGAAATATCGCCGGCGGAAATGCTGCTCCACGTAAACAGCGCCCATTTGGATTATCTAACGCCAAGGTAATTATACTACCCGAAAGCTTACAAATCATCATCTAGCATCAGCTCATCTGCTTGTGACCTTCAATTAAAATATTACTGTTTTTATACTTTATCATAAAAAATTTGAAAATTATTCTTATATTTTTTTCTTAATTCACGAAGAAATTTCTTTAAAAATGATACATTTATTATACTTAATAGTATTCTTCTAATTCTGGTACATATAGTACGCTCGATCGATAGTAAGATTAACCAAACTGTATCTCTTTAACAATTTATAAATTAACTGAAATGTTTAAGTGACTGGAATGAAATTAGCCCAGTGCTAAAAGGCCCTTGGATACTGTCATCTGGAGTATCCTTCGTTGGTTTTTCATATCGTCAATTTATACCAATTTTTTTCTTAAGTTTGCTAATCATGACAAGTGGCAATTATCCCTAGAAGCAAAAAAGAGACGGAATTGATGGACCAAATTTTTTTTGCACTCATATTATTTTGAAAAATTCGATTTTTTTCTCACAGATTTGTCCCAAAATAGTCAAACTCGTGTGAAAAACAGAAAGTATTTTCATTTTTAGTTTTTTAAAAAAATTTCTCGTTCCATTGCGCACGAAGAAATATAAATTCTAAGTAATAGGACAAAAGTGTACAGATTCGAACGGTTGGAACTTGATCAAATGACGTCTTGTTGCGCGCGCCTTTTAGTGTTTACTTTCTGACACAGAGTGTTGAATGTCAATGTCGATTGTCAAACCTGTGATCCGTATTTTTTTAGTTCTTTATAATAACAATAAGTTTTGCCATTTTTTAAAGGCGACCTAAACGCTGCTAATGGTAATGCTAATTATTAAGTTTATAAATCATTTAATGTTAATTATAATGATTTTTTTCATTAGCACACCCGAATCTCTTGCCTTTATTGATGACGATGGTCTACTTCTCGTTGGTGACGGAGAGTTGACTGATGGTTTGATCACAAAAAATGGGCCCCGCGATAAAAGCACATCAGTAACATCCAAAAACTCTCCAATTACATATGCAGCTTCAGTATCAAAGACGTCGTCTAATACTTTAATAAAAAAAGGAGAAAATAAATCTAAGATTACTGGTTCGTTGCTTAACAACAACAACAATAACTCAGCTATGATTAATAATGGTTAGTTTTTTTTCTTTTTAAAAAATTTCAAGCTTACTTAAATGAGATCATATAAATCTATATAACAGTAATAAATATGGTTTATTCGAATCTAGAGCCAGTTAATACAGCAGGTCATGGTTCTCCTTTAAGATCCAGCTTAAATCTCCAATTGCGTTCACCTGCAACTCCTAAACTTCCTGCACAAGAATGTCCTATGTGTCCTTATAGTTCTGATAGTCCTGAAAAATTGCAAGAGCATGTTAATCGTCAGCATTTTGATTTGATTTCACCATCTATTACACCTGGTTCACCTGAAACTCACAATAGTACCTTCAACTGTCCATTTTGTGTAACATCATTTTCTAATTCTTCGGATTTGGAATTACACGTCAATTTTGAACACAAAGATATTTTAAGGTAAAGTATATGCAATTTGTAGTACCTTATTGAATAAATAAATAGTAATGTTAAATATTTTCTTGAACAGTCCAGCAAAAGGTTCATCAGAGGCAGCAAAAAGTGCAGTGGAAACCCCTTCTTGTCCTGTTTGTTTATCTACAGCTTTTAAAAATAGTATTGAGCTCCAGTCTCATATTGAAGAACATTTTTCAAAAAAACCTTCTCCTTCTCCTTTAATTACACCTGATGCCTCAGCAGATAGACAGCTTGCTCGTGATATGGAAAGACGTGAAAAGGAAGTTCGTCGTCTAAGAGAACAACGTGAATTTGCAATGCTACAGGCTCAATATGGTATGGATAATCAGGGTAATTTTCGCGAACAAAGTGTCACTTACATGCAAAGAGCCGTATATGCCGGTGAAATGAGTGTGGCTGACTATTATGAAAAACAGATAGAATTAAGAGTTGCTGAAACTTGTGGAATTGATGATGGAAGCTCTTGCACAAGAGGTATATGATTCAACCTAATACCTCTTGTTTTAGTTAGGGTTGAACTTAATGATATAATTTTTTTTAGTTTTTAGCTAAATTTTTTGTAGTAAATAAGTTGTTTGTTTTAACCAATTAATTTAATTACTTAAAAGCCGAATATAAATATAATTTTAGTTGTAGTAGTTATTGTTGATTTTATAATAACATTGAACATACAATTTTTCAGCGCTAGTTCCTAAAATCAAATTGCTAAGTTCTTCGTGTGGCAATGTTATGAATACCTATATGTGCACAGCAGTAGATCATTATGCAGTATCTTATGGTGATAAGGGTTGGGGGTGTGGCTACAGAAATCTGCAAATGATGTTTTCATCACTATTGCAACACACAGGATATAATGAATTATTATATAGAGCATGGAGTTCTCAAGCTGACGGTAGTAGTTCCTCTGAAAATCCACCAAGAAGTTCTATTCCATCCATCTCCAAAATCCAGAAGATGATTGAGTGGGCTTGGGCTCAAGGATTTGACATACAAGGTGCTGAACAGTTAGGAGGCAAATTAGTTAATACTAGAAAATGGATTGGTGCTACTGAAGTTGTGACCCTATTATCAAGTTTAAGAATTAAGTAAGTAATTTTATAAAAAATAAACATGATTTTTAGTTTTTAGAAATATTAACCATTGAAAATGTAGGTGCCAGCTTATGGACTTTCATCGACCAACTAGTCCCAATGGAAGCCATCCAGAAATGTTTAAATGGCTATTAAATTATTTCCAAAAAGAAGAAGATTTTAAGCCACCTTTGTATCTTCAGCATCAGGGTAAAATATTACAACCTTTTTAATAAGCTTTTTGAGTAAAAGAGATCAACATGATTTTTTTAATTACAGGCCACAGCAGAACTGTCATAGGAGTAGAACAACTTCGTAATGGTACAATATTTGCTCTTGTCCTTGATCCAAGTCATAGTAAATCTCAAATGGCACCATTTAATAACACTGGTACAGCTAATTCAGCTATGAGGCTTGTGAGAACCTCCATTGCCGCAATGAAAGCTAAACAATACCAAATAGTTGCTGTAGTTGGTACAATGGATACAGAAATGGAGTACCAGGTAATTATTAAAAATCAACTTTCTACATTCAACTTTTTGATTTCATACATTCATTTTTGAATTTATTATTTTTTTGTAGCAAAGTAAAGTACTTCGCTCTCAAAGAATTCCTCACGATAGGTGAGACTCAATCAAAGCTGAATTAGAGTTCTGTGCAACATATTTAGACTATTTAATTAAACCTCTACTTTAGTTATTAACTTATATAGGCAAAAACTAATAATTTGTAAAGAAAACATGTTCTCTAATAGCAGATATTGTATCTTATGCATTATTGAATCAAAACTGAGCATCTTTAATGCAATGACCAAAATAATTATTGTTATTTAAAAAAATTCATTATGAAAGTTGAACTTGTCGATCATTGAATTATGAATCTCAGTGTCGCAAGAATAAACGTCGAATTCATTGTTGAAGCTTGTCGTGATAATTTTAAATTTCAAAGGGACTAAAAAATAAAAAATTTGTAAATACAATATGAACTTATTTGTTAATTTATTAAAAAATATTCACGTTTTCAATTAAGATTTCTTAGAAAAATGCGAATGCCAGAGTAAAAATTATCGTCATATTTCTAGAGACAAATGATACTTATTATTCACAAAACTTTATAAAAAAACATTTAGTAGAGTATGAATATTCTTATTTAAAAATTTTGATTTTCACCCTGGCTCTAGTATATTTTCAATTTTATATTTTTTTAGTTTCCATGAATTGTTTGTTTTAAGCCATTTCAAAAAGTATAAAAAATAAATTGTATGTTTGCAGTTATAAAATAAATCAGCGATAAAAAAGAGTAGTGAATAGTAAACTTAATGTATAACATTTGTGAATTCAGTAGTTGATGCCTTGTGTAGTTTTTAATTAAATATAATTTAATTTTATACATAATTTAATATAGCTTTGGTAATTTTCTAAAACTATTCTGATATAATAGCAAAAACTTTTTTGAAGTTAAAAATATTTTTAGTCTACATCTATCCTGATTTCAAATATGTACCAGACAAAATATAAAAAAATATTTTAGATGCATGTAAAAATAAAATAAGATGATACTTCTTGTAATAAATGTTTTATACATATAACTAATATTTCTTTCAATCTAAAAAGTTATAAAATAATTAGAATCTATGATATTTAAAGTAGACAGCATAATGAGTACAAAGTTGTATTAGAAATATTCAAAATTTTATTACGCACTTAGTTCTGTGTTAAGAGCGGTTGTTATTTAATATTTGGAAGGTGTTACACCAATGTCAATGAATAAATATTGCAAGCGTTGCAACATTTTATTGATCTATAAGATGAAAATGCTTTATAGAAATAATATATAAAGTATTAAATACTTTTTCAGATCCTTGTCCAATAAAAGTAACTGTTTTTTCTTTCAATTGTATAAATAAATAATAATTGAAGTTTCAAATGGTAATCATCACATTTATTTACAAAACCAACTAGATCAAGATAACAAACTTAAAACTATTGAAGTACTGCATTTTTCACACTCAACTATTCTCTTCCCAAATACATTCAAACACAACACTTTAAAATAATGGTGAGATTTTTTAGATTTTGAATCCTAAATGACGCATGCAGGCTTTGTGTGCTTCTATTAGATGACCACATTCAGCTTCACCTTTGTTGATGATGCTGAAATCAAAGAAAATCATGAAATGTTAAAACTTGGCAATTTTGTTAAACTATACATAATTATAAATATATATAGAAAAAATTATGTTAAAAAAAAATATGATTATTTACGATCTTATTTTTTCAATTTTATGATTATAAAAACTTTACATAATCTACATGATATATTGTGCAATAATTACGTTTTCTACATCATCGATGTTTAATCAATTATTAATGCATTTTACAAAAGATAAAAATATAAAGATGGTAATTTTTTCGTTTATTATGTAAATTGAGAAATAAATGACATGAAATCTGTCATAACTCAAAGCTTTAATGAATGAATTACAGAAATTATAACCTTCAAGTGCAGCAAAACTTACCATTCATCCCTAATTTTCTTAGTTTCGGGGCACGCACAGCAGGGTTTCAATGGTTTTTTTTCTGTAACAGGTTGTGCTTCAACTTGAGCTTCAACTTTGGTTGCACTGTTGCCCATTTTTGACGATCAATTCACTTAATTCGAGCGAGAAATTATTGCTGATGCAAAGTTTGCAAATGTTATCGTTCACCTAGCACAATGTGTATAAATTCAAAAGGCGCAAGCGCGCGAAATCACTAGCACGAGGTATGCCCGATGGGACTCTAATCGGTTTTGCTTCTGCTAGATGTAACAGAAAATACAAGGCATCATGTAGTACTACATACATAGCGTTCTAAAAATAGTTTGTTTTGAAGTTTTGTAATAGGTCGATTTTGTTTATATTTGTAAAAGCTTCACGATTTAATAATTTTTAACTCTTTTTTAATCTATACAACATTTTTTATTAATAATACATTTATAATGTTTTTTAACGATTAACAAGTAATTATATTTTTATGTTTCTTTCATCTTGATTTCAATAACACCAATAACTGATACATTTACAAAAAGAACTGAGACACTAAAATTTTGAATTCAATTATACTTCAACCATAAATGTGTAAAAAAGTATGCAACTTTTATCAAATGCATTATCTTATATAACATTGGGCCACAAATTTCAACAGGATCACCTTTCTTCTTTCATCTCTTCTAAATATTTTCACTGCTCTGCGAATCAATAACTTGACTTTTTTTCTTTTTTCGTGATTATCTATACCTATGAACAAATTAAAAATTGAAACTGTTAATTTATTCATTTTTCTACAAGTAAATTTACTTATTTATTTAACCTTTGACTTTTCGTTTTAATGAGCGAGTTTCATTTTTTTTCGAACGGTGTTGAGTCCCTAATCTAATGAACGAATCCATATTTTTTTGAGAGAGCGAATTCCAGAATTGGTTTGACTTAGGAAGCAACTGCATTATTTGATCGATTTTAATGAGCACATCTCCTATCTTACCCACTGGTTTTGCTCGTTGAAATTTTCTTACGTACGGGGCCATAACGAAAATTGAATGTTAATAATTATTCGTATCACAGTAAGTATATCACGATGTTATTAGTTCTCATAGCGAATATTGAGTGTCGTATATTGTATCTTGACCAGTTTAATAAGTAACAATACGGTATACATATGCTTATAAGTAATCCATAACATTGAATAATTTGATCGTGACCTTTTGTATTGAAATATAAATTCATTTTTTAATGACAGTAGATTTCCATTTTAAATGTGAACCAATACCTAAAATTGTTCAAAAATTCAAGATATTATAAAGTTTACCGAATGTCTTGTTTTTCAAGTTAAAAAAAAAATTCAAAAAAGCCAAATGGCAACATAGGCGAATAAATTGTCAATGATTATTAGTATAGGTCACTTGGGCTGTACTTCCCACAAAGGGTTGCAATTTCATTATAGCTTCCTCGCAAAGAAGATTATCCTTATTTATCTTCGTTAGTCCTTTGTCGTCGATATGCATATAATGTAGTTATTTGGAATTTGGCGATGACTTATACAAAAAAAGAAATGAAATTTGATGAAAATTTAGAGTTTATTTTTCAAAGAAGTTAAATCAAAGTTAAATTTTATTGAAACCTACTTTATTCTTTTGCTGTAGAATATTTCGGATTTTTATCCATATTCTATAAAACTTTATAGATACTCATTTAAGGAGGCTCTACACAGTATCATAACAATAGTACAGCGAGGTGCCTGTCTGTCTTTTTCTCGCATTAGGCAGACAACCGCTCGCACTATTCGAAATCAATGATTTTACGCACATTTTGTTTAATTACTCATTAGTTAGTTCGATAAGGGGTAATTTTTAACATACCAATCGAAAGCTTGGAACTTTCTCTTTCAGAAAATATATTTTTTATTAAGATGGTTGATCTTTTAAATTAGTTATAAACACTAAAAGACCGCGTCCCATAAGAGCCCGTGTTGAAATCGCCATTTTCAAACTTGTTTATCTCAAAAGTTTGATCGTCAATCACATGTTTTTTTTTGGAATCTCATTTTGAAGATCTAACAAATCGATTGATGTAGGTTTTATCTTGTTGGATGATCTTTTGTATTATGTGTAGAGCCTCCTTAATTGATTATCATGTACTGAATAATTTACACCGAGTGTATAATTTTGATACACTTTCAATTGAAATTATATCGTTAAAAATTTATTGAAATAATTTATAAATCTTTTACGTGTTTACGTTTATAACTTCGGTGATTTTCTTTTGATACTAAAAGAGAACTTTATTAATATTGGGGTAATCAACATAAATAAATTAAAAATTATAACAACAATTTTTATTCAAGTGAAATCAATAAGTAATCATTATTAGTTAACATTCATGCGTAACGTTTTATTTGATTCTTTCTCATTTATAATATATTAGCACAACTGTCAATGGTTTTGCAGATTAAAAACGTCTTTTACATTATGATACATATCTTTAATAATCGTTTAACATTTTTCTCATTTTATAGATCATAAATTATGAATTGATTGCATATACACAATTTTATAATGCTCCAAATGAAAATCATTGCTAGAAATCATAGACTTTCTGCTTGCAATTACTTTCTTAACTTAATAGCAACTTGGAGACTTCAGTTCCTTCTGTAATTGAGCATAATAATGTCAACTCTTTCACATCACAAAATCAATCATATATGCTTATTTTCCGTTTTTCAAATCGCCTCATGAAGAGTTTATTTTGTATACGCAATCGTATGAAATTCACTGTGTATTTTAGGATTTATATTATGTTCAGCTAAAAATAATGTTTATCATAGGATTTCAAATTTTCCGTTATAGCCTAATTAAAGTTTTAAAATTATTAAAATTGATAGGACATTTCGGCGAATATCATTGCAATAATTTTTCAATGGATATTGTGAAATCGTTTTCTCTTCATATCACTCATTTTCAGAATTTTGAGAAATGTGTACTTCATTTATTATTATCTTTCGCTCCTCTGCCGTCATAAGAATACAATAAAAAAGGTTTTTTGTCAATTATTCTGATACTACCTATTAATTGGCACAATATTTAGTTTTTTTTCCTCGTAATTTCATTATAAGTCTACTTTTTTTCTTTTATTAATATTTAGTGAATCATTTTTAACGTTTTGACTCGTTATAAGTTTATTATTTAATTTTTTTTTCTTACTATAGTTTTATTATTTTTTGTCACTTTTAATCGATTCATACAGTTGAATAAAATAATCCGAGATAATGTTAATGATAACTTTGAATATTCAGCATCGAATCATTAATATGTACTTCATCGTAACATGTGAGGCCAATAAGCTTAATTTTTTGATTTTCATGGTCAATTTTACATGACTTATATAAAAATTAGAAATTAAACTGTAATAATAATAATAATTATAAAACAATGTATTCTAACACGGGGAAACTGAGTAAATATAATAATCATAATGGTAGTACTAGTACTATATAACAATATAAATTACTACTAGTATGACATCGCTATATTATACATATTGATGAGCAACATTTATGCATCATTATACAGTGGTCGCCGCTTAAGAGAATCACTGTGTGACAAAAATTTTCATTCTATTAAGCGGATGATTCTACTATCCGATAGGGATTGCAATAACTTATAAATAACTTTGAATCCGAGAAATTATGCATTATTATAATAAATAATTTATTATTATAAATGAATATATATATATATATAATTTATATAATAAATTATTTATTATTAAATATTTATTCAAATCATATGTGACACCATTATAATTTAGTAAAATAGTCATTTATCTTGGTTTGTTTTTTCTTTTGGTCAATTATTTTGAAAATAAATTTTTCAAATTTGTAGTACTCTTCAAAGGATTTCGAACGATGTTGAACTCCTCGTCTCAAGACTTGTAATGCGTTAAACATTTCTAGATTATTAGGTGCGGGTTCTATACTATCATCTTCCTCTTCAATTTCTGATTCATCTGTGTCCAATTTTTGGCATATGTCATCATCTGTTGGCTTTCCAGAGGTTTCTAGACATTCGTCAATATCTATCCACTCGTCAAAAACCTCATGTGTCATATCTTCCGGATAAATTTCGTTCAAGCTAACGTTGCTCGAAATATTACATATTTCATTAGTTCCGTTAACAAACCCAGCCTTTCTAAAACAATTTTTTATCGTTTCGCTAGATACATAAGACCAAGCTTCTTTGATCTGATGTAGCGCATCAAGCAGAGAGGTCTTCTTGGCAATGTCATTGGCTTTGACATTTTGTTGATTATCTAATATTTGTATAATCCGTTCCCTCATTGTTCTTCGATAGTACGCTTTTAATGTACGAATTATACCTTGATCGCAAGGCTGTATCAGAGACGTCGTGTTGGCAGGTAAATAAACCACTGTAATATTTTTCATAGGCTCTAAGTTTGAATGTGCACCGCAATTATCAATGGTTAATAAAATTTTGCGTTTTAATTGTCTATCCCAATTTCGTAGCCAATCAGAAAAAATGTCTCTTGTCATCCACGCGTTTCTGTTGGCCGTGTAAGCAATAGGCAATTGAGTCACATCTTTGAAGCATTGTGGATTCTTAAATTTTCCAATAACAAACAGGTCTTTTTTTTCACCTGCCATACTGGCACAGCATAACAACGTTATACGCTCCTTACTTGTTTTGAAGCCTTTCGTATTTTCTGATTTTAGAGCATATGTATGCTCTGGTAATGCTCGGTAGTATAAACCCGTTTCGTCAGCATTAAATATATCGCTTGGCGAATAATTTTTAGATATTTCTGGCCATTCTTGTATAAACCACTCATTTGCACTTGTAAAATCAGCTTCGGCTTGTTCACCATGTGGCTTGCGATACACAATATTTTCTCGGCCTCTCCAACGTGAGAGCCAACCGTCAGTGGCCTTGAAATTTTCTTTGCCTAATTTCTTTGACAAATCTTCAGCTTTTGCTTTAAGTAACGGGCCATTAATTGGAGCGCCTTTTTCTCTCACTTCCACAAACCATTTCTTCAACGTTTTTTCTACGTCTTCGTCTTTGCCGCATCGTTTTCTCTTGCGGCTGAGATTTTCGTGAGAGCAAGAGGTACTTTCTATCTCGTAACGATTTAATAATAATCTACTAAGAGTAGCTTGTGATATGTTTAATAACAGCGCTGCATCACTTTGTGATAAATTTGGCAACAAATCATATTTTTTTAGTAGCTCCTTTTTTTCAAGGACACTTAAGCCTTTTCTATGAACTATAGCTGATGATTTTTTCATACTTGTATCACTAACACAATTAATTATTATGAGCATGTAATACCGACGGTGCTATGAGAAAGTACTGACAATGAAACTTGTATTTAATCGACAACAACATTGAATGTAAACATCGTCTTCAAACTAAATTTGATTCTATTAAGCGAAAAGTTTATTCACTTAAGCGGTGAATTTTACATGTATAAGGATACGGGAAAATCATTGTTAGGATTTTTGATTCATTTAACCGGCGTATTCTATTAAGCGCAATTCTCTTAAGCGGCGACCACTGTATTATTATTGTTACGCGTATGTATGCAATGCGACTACGTGACACGTTATGGGCATCAGATTTTAATTATTTTTTTTTAGTTTGCATTTTTTAAATTGGTTATCTATCTTCATTCGCTACGTTGTGTTTACATTATATTAATAGGTAATAGAGTACACCTTTGCACACGAGTTTTTTTCTTATTACGATGTAGGTACAACTTACACAGCAAACTCCACATTTGGTAAATTGCATTATTTTTTGTGATAGCACTTTACATTGGCATTAGGACGTCACTGGTCATCAATGAGATATGAAACGAAAATTGTTTTTAAAGACGATACCATAGTTCAAAGTTGTAGCATTTCAGATGTCACTTAATGTACTAATACAGAATGTGCGTATCGTTTTTTCAGACCAGCGCGGGTGATTATCACTTGTGCCATGATCACGAGGAAATCAATGTTTTGAGCTTATTCAATTTTTACCACTTGCTAAATGCGCGATATGCAGTCGATCGATGAAAATTAGATGACATTTTGATTCTTTGCTATTTTATTTATACAGATTGGCACGGCTAAATGTCAATTTTTCAAGGTGATTGCAATTTTAACGCAAGCCAATAATCTATTTTTTCTTAAAAATTGTTTAAATGTAATTAATAATTAAACGTCGTTTATTTTTTTAATAACACAACTTCGAGCCAAGAGCATGATATGTGCTTTGCCAACCTTAGCAGCTACTATTTAAAATTTCAGACAAGCGTTTCAGCAATCAACTGAATATCTCATTTTCAGATCGTATCAATAAAAAAATCGATAGTTTTATGACAACTGGTATACGCTATTGGTGTAATTATTCGCTTTGGCAGCTTAACAATTGCTTTTGATTCAGACGAAAGGGCGGTCTGGTGAGAATGTTACGCTTTCAATATGAGATTCTTTTACTTAAAGTCTTGTGTTCGTTACTCTTTTTAGGCTCGATGACAAGCTCTTGTAACTTGTGCTATTTTTTATTCACCTACTTCTTGCAATTATCATAGAGATGTAAAATATCTCACACCACGTACTATTATATGTAAATGTAAATGTGTGTTATGGATTTTTGTATCTACATTTTTAAACTCGTTACGCAGAGTTTACGTTTGTATTCGCCACTTCTAAGCTAATTAATATCACGTATTTAGTTCCGTAAAATTTGCCAATAGCAAATCTCAAAGCGAAGTCGCATTCTTCCACGTAGATGTACTCAATTTCTCATAATTTAGGCTCGTTTGTTTTGTTATGTAACTATCTTGTTTTGTCGAGAAAGAATACGAGGCCGCAAGACTTAAAAATTACGTTGATTTATCATAGTTCTAGTAGTAGTTGCTACTTTGTCGTTATATATTTACAAAATATCTACATTCTTACAAAAATGATAAGTCATAGATTTTGCTGTCAAAGAGCAGAGCGTATTCTACGTATGAGAAAAGGAAAACCGACTGCACCGTTGAATTTGGCGCGCTTTAGGAAGAAATCTCAAACGATAGGATTGTTGATGGCAGAGTCGGCCGGGCTCGCACGAGCTCTGATATGACGTAATTCTACTTTCCAAGCAGGTGTTCCTCGGCTTCCTTTCTCCGAATTTTCGCCTCCTTCTTGGCCCGCTTCTTCTCCTCCTTGGCGAGTTTTTTCGCTTCCTTCTGTCGGGCTTTTTCCGCCTTTTCGGCCCTCTCGGCCTCCTTCAGTCGATTCTTCTCTGCCTCCTTCTGTCTCGCTTTCTCCGCTTTGGCTCGCTCCTTCTCTCGTTCCTTTTCCTTCTTCGTCAACTGCACTTGCTGCGCCACCGTCAATTTCTTCGGAGTCGTGCCGCTGTTCGTAGGCCGTTTCGAGGAAGCCGCGCTCGAGCTAGCCGTGCTCTTGGCTTCGCTCGCCGTTGACAACGACGAGGAGGTCGACGCCGATGACGACACCGTCGATTTCGCCGACGACGGCTTGGACGCGCTACTCGAGGACGTCGGCGGGCTCGTTTTCGAATTCGCGGGAGCGGGTGTTATTTTTATCCGAGGCGGCGACGCTTGCGATTCGAGCTGGGTAACGATTTTTTGAGCGCATCTACGAAAGAGCAATCAATACATGAAATTTTCCCAATGAGAGAAGAAAGAATAAATATTCGACTAACCTTAGTCTCGTGGAGGCTTTGCCAGCTCGAAAGTCTCTTTGGAACTCTTTGATCGGAGGCAGTCTTCGATTTTCCCGGGAAGCGTCGTGCTCGTCGCCAACGGGGGCCGCTTGCACCAAGTCTTGATACTCCTGTAAATGAAACGAGCTCGTAACGATACATTTCTCAGTCGCGGCATCTCAGCTCGCAAAGTTAGAAAATCGAGTCGATATACCTGAATTCGCATCTTGATCGACTGGGCCGAATGAACCTGATTCTTGCGGAAGGACGAGTAGGCCGGATGGCGCAGCCTCGACTTGCCGAAGCTCGCCGAGCTAGCCGTGCTGCTGGCCGAGGAGCAGGTAGCCGACGATACGGAAGACACACCGGATATGGATGAGGAGCCGCTGGCCATCGAGTAGAGCGAGGCCGAGGCAGGCACGTTGCCGGACGACCAGCGGCCACCCGGGCCCGCCACGCCCGACGGCACCCCCGCGCTCATGTTGTACTCGGACGCGCTCTGAGGTAGCACCCAAGACTTGCCCGACATCGAGTACTGCGGAGGGAAAAAAGCCATGAGGCCGAATTCCGTCTTTGACAATTTGCTCGTTGACGCTATACTTACGTCTCGAGGAATGAGGGTCTGCTTGAGTCTTAAAATTTTCGCTCGGCATATGACGCAGCGCAGGGGCAGAAGCCTTTGCGACACCGCCATTTGGATCGTCTTGACGAAGCAGCGCCTGAAAAGGACATTAATTCGTGAATCTCCGCTCCTGCAACGACAGACGGAAGCTGCGCGAGCGTAATTGCGTTTCGTACCTGCAAACGACTCGATGACCGCACGGCGCTGTCTGCATGGTAGCTCGGGCGTTCACGCATATAACGCACTGCAAAAGAAAGCTCGATTAGTCTCTGTAAAAGCACATCTTTCCGTGTCAAATATTTCAAATTAATCGTGTGCTGGATTTCATTCCAGCCATTCACGTGAGCAAACGAAGAAGAGAAAAAAACACGTCGGATATAATTGCCCGAGCAGATGATTCAGGCTTATTATCTGTTGAATAATGCGATTCTAATCTCCGTATTTTTTACACTTGTAACACATCCTCGCAGTTATTATTATTTGTGTGCATATCGATGCTACATTTGTAAGAAATCCTGAAGTAGTCACGTGACTGCGACAATCATGAGCTCCAACGTAACGGGTCTGTACTAATTTTTCGCGATTTTTGCTAATTTCCATCATGTTTTACTAATTAAAGTTTATATTCGGCCCACACTTCTGTCCCTTTTATCAGTTCGACTTAGTTGGTCGACTTCCAGCGTCTTATTAAAAGATAAACAAATTAGAACAAAATTTATACGGGCATGTGTTTGCGTATTCATGGTTGAAATGACATTGTTCCTTGTATTCTTTCTTATAGTAGATCTTTATTACATTTTTATTATTGTTTTAATTAAAAGTTTACAACAAAAGACTCTTCAGTTTTCTTCGGATTCGCTGGATTCTTCAATTACTATTTCTTCCGACGATTCGGACTCGCTGGACGACTCGACTGATCTCTTTCTATTATTATTGGCACCTTCGGTTGCTGCAGAAAAATATGTTCATCATAAATTTTGTAGCATTGCGTCGATATTTGACAAGGAAACACTTACCCGTCTGTCCGGCTTCCTCCTGGACTGAGGCCTCGGTCATCTCCATCGGCGGTCCATGATGTCTGTGGCCCTTGGGATGGTACCAGGCATCGCCTCCAGGTGGTCCGGGTGGCGGAGGTCCCGGCCATCTACCACCAGGTGGAGGAGGCGGCATCATACCGTGATGAGGCGGATGTGGCGGCAATGCTCCCTCTTCTTCGCCGTTGTTCTGACTCTGGGCTTCATTGGTGGACTCTTGATTACCTCCAGTTGCTTCTTGCTGCTCTTGTCCCAAGGCCTAAATACGATAGTTTTTACATCGAAATTCATTTCTGATTTTTCGAAATCGTAACAATAGTCAAATGAAAACTTACTAGCAAGCCCAACACCAACAAGAATCCGAGTAGAATAGCGTATCTCATGACGGTGGCGATGTTTGTTACACTGAAGATCTTGATGAACTGGCATAGAAAACGGCACCACGGGTCCTTTTAATAATGCGCATCGCGAGCGCAAAAAAAGGAGATACAACAATGAATCGCGAATACACTCACACACCGCACACTCGCACGCAGTCTCGTTACGCAATCGCACATTCAATCTCGGTGCAGTTGAAAAATATTTTTTTTCTCTTTATTTTTCATTGTTCTTACGATTGAAGCTTAACATCTGCCACGGTATTTGTTTATTTTTTGATTATTTTTTTTTCGTTTCAACTCGTTATACCTTTATAATTCTTGCAAGTAGTTCACCAATGCAAACATTGCTTGGCTCTGCAACGCGCTAAAGTAGCAGACACGTAAGCTTGTACCTGAGCGAATAGAATACCATCCGAATAGAGATGATTTTTCGATCATCGAAAATAGCACAGACTCGAACGATAGCATGTGTGATAGATCGCTCCGGATATTGATCCGTTTCCCATTTTTTCACTGCCTTGCTTCAAGAACGTCTTTCCAATTTGCTTGGCAATTACGCCCTGAATAGCTAGTTTAATAGGCGATTTGGTATCGAATAGTTTTCGAAAAGAGCCCCCGTATTCATCTAAGTTGCTGAAAAATTTACGTCACGAGAAAATTCCATTTGCGTTATTAGACCTCTGGAATTCATCTGATTATACGACGAGGCTGAAGAAAAAGTCGTCTTCGATGAGAGATCGTAAATTTAAGAAGTCTTTTTAATGTGTCACCTATGATGCGTCGTTTATTTTAGATCTACTGACCTGTGCACACATACAGGAATATACAATATTTATGAAGTGCGATTGCATACAAATTCAAAGGAGAAAGTGATGGCGAAATAAAATTCAAGATTTATCGATGCACTTTTTATGGAATATTTATTGGGTGTTGAAAATTGTGCAGTGTACTTTTATGCATACAATTTGTTCACTTATTATTAATTCTCATTAACTGTTTATCCCATGCCGGGTATTCCTGGCATTCCTGGCATTCCTGGCATGCCCCCATGCATGCCTCCGCCACCATTGCCTCCCAGGCCGAAGTTTCCGGACATTCCGAAACCTGCGTTTCCACCTGCTCCGGCGTGGCCACCACCTTCACCGCCCATTGGAGGAGCCTCTCTCGCTGAGATGGAAAGCAAATTTTAGAGAACAAAAATTCATACATTATCGTTCAAAAATGTATCTTCTAACTCACCTTGACGAACGAGGCTTGCACCGGGAACTGGCATTTGTGGTACACCCATACCCGGAGGGCCCGGTGGTCCGCCTTCGCGGTGTCCGTTCTAAATGAAAAAAATGTATGAATGTCAATACAATCACTATGACTCGTGTTATATTTCATCGCCAAAGGAAAATGTACTTACCACACCGTACAGAACAGCTGCAAAAACAGCGAAAACGAGCGTAACGAAGTACAGCTTCATGTTCACGATCGATGAACCGTATTATGTTTTTTTGCATCTCAATTCAGTATTTATAGTAGAAAAAATTCGAGCCCCCTCTCTGCGCAATTGTAATTTGATCCGTATAAAAATTAGTCCGCATAATAATTCTAATTCGCTAGAAAAAAAAAATGAGAAAAAAAAACAATAGCGATGAGCTCTTCCGTTATGATTTACTCTTGTGCGATTACAATCGCACGAGTCCGAAATCAAGGATAATAAAAATAATTAGACGAGCGCGCGTGCGAATAATCGATTGTTTCGTCAAACCTGTCGCAGAATGTGTCGATCGTTTTTTTTCTTTTTCTTTATTGCACAAACACCGGTGTTCTTTAGGCATTTTTTTCATGACTTATGGCTAACGATCTCGAGTGAAAGTGCGAAAAAAAGAATCAAAAAAGAGAATGTCTAGAAAGGAAAAGGTTGAGATTCGTAATTGATGAATTATGAAGCTTATGCAATCCAGGAAACACCTGATCAACAGCCATTAAGTTTTGTCAGGTGAGCAACAAAAGTGGCATTTTTGTCGCAATTTTGCCAACGTGTCCGTCGCTTTTGAAACGCGATATCGCGTAATAACGTTTGCGGATCCGGGAGCAACGTCGGCTGCAAGCTCACTTTCGGGGGAGGGCTACAGGGTAATTCGAATTTGTTAAGCACATCAGAGCTCGCAAAATTAGGCCTTGTCAGTATCATCGTCGGAGCTGGGACGCCGGATATAACTTCGTTAAGTCGCCTGAGTTCTCTTCTTCTTCTTGTGAATAGTTTGCTATACAGGTAAGAGAGCTGGTGAAGCTCAGCTGGTTGTACGCAAATTTCGCGTCTCATTTGCACCATCGAGCACACGATTAATTTTGAACGTCAAGGATAATGATGTATAAAAATTCGTGTCAAATATACTATACCTCATCTTCTTGCGACGAGGCCATTTCCGGCTCGTTTTCTTCCAGCTTTGACAGCAGTTTATCCTGAAACAAAAAAAAAGCAGACACAAATGATTATTATTCAGCAGTGCGCAGGCGGCGTCGAGTTGCGTACACACGGCGACATATATATCACATAATGCTGGACCGTTTTGTCGTGCGAGAGAAAGCGTGGAAGGGTCGCGTTTGATTCTGTGCTGCTGCTGCTGCACAGAGGGGTGGTGTATGTAGGTCAGGGTGGCAGTTGGGATATTAGGCTCTCTCTCTCTCTCGCTCGCTCGGAGTCTGTGTGGGGGTGCGAGTGTGTTAGCGGCGACGGGCATCGGTTTTATGCGCAAAATACGCCCCACCGACACACAGAGCATCGAGTGCTTCAAAGTGCACCACTGGATAAACTCGATTTTCGTGACGTAACAATCGCGTATAATACGCGAGCTACACCCCGAGGTTATAATACATATATACACACGCGCTAACAACGAGTCAAAAATATTATAATACACGCGAGGCGCGCGTGACACTCTTTTACATTGTTGAAGCTTTAATGAATGGTAATGATGCGTTGCGTTGCGAGGCTGCCAGAGCCCCGGATTATTTGCATGAATAATATACATTGAACAAAGTGCCAAGTCTGACTTGTTCCCTATATGCACGCGCGCATTTATTTGTATATAGTTGTTGTATATGCACGCGTGCTAGGTGAAACGCGCCAGAGATTACTATTATATGGAGATGAAGCCGAGATCTGCTGCAGCAGCGGCGGCTTTCATTGTTACATTTATTCCGTAAACGACTTTCTACACGTTCGCTACTATATAGCGCATCTCTCTTCTTTTCGGATATATATGACGATTCAAATTTGCACTTGTCAAAAGCGCAGAGATAGACGAGAGAGAAAAAAAGGGTAAAAACGCTTAGCCGACCTATAAAAAGAACGAGCATCTCGATATTAACAACCGACGAGCTTTATTAATAGCTGCAGGCGAGTAAAAATAAAATCGCTTTGAAATCTCAATCGACGTGTGTGTATGTGTGTGCGCAGCACCTATGCTCGCTCGGTGGATCGATGTGTCTTCGCAGGACCCGACTCGATTTATCGGCGAGGAAAAGGAGATGAATACACGCCGCCGCCTCTGCGATCCTTTTTCCTGTTTATATTGACGCACGAAGAAATGGAGCTATTACTTTAATTGAATGAAAAAAAGAGTTACGATACAGGCAAACTTCGTCGTTTGCCGAGCTTCTGAAGTTTTTTGTCCATAGGCAAACATCTTTGATTGTATATTTACGAGAGTTTAACGAGCATATTCCCAGGAAATTTTTTCCTTTGCGCAATCTAATTAGCGCTCGCGTGTACGCATAACGATATGTTGTTTTTTTTTTTGCTTTACGACACGAAGCTGGACGAATTTCGCGTTTTTCTTTTTCTTTTAATGACGAAATTCGTTTACGTACACAGACACAGACGCAGACATTGTAGATGCACGCCGGAGAGAAGAGTTAACTCGTTTTGCAGTTTTCATCGAGGGTCATTCAGAGTATTGAGTAACGAGAGCATTTCTACAGTAGTTATGGCAATTTCGAATCGATGATGAGTTTTTTATAGGCGTTTGGAAACAATGAGTGTCTCGTTAAAATAATAATTTTTTTTCCTTGCCAGCGCGCGCGCAATATATATGCAAGCGCGAGGCAAACTTTCTCAATGGGAAAATCGGACTGCGAGCTCGCTGCAGCGTGTTTTCGTTCGGGAATTCGCTTGCTCGCTAAAGAAGCAGCAGCAGCAGCAGCTCCGAGCCGCTCGAAATCCATTAAGAATCGCTCATATTTTCTTATCGGAAAAACGACGAGCTCGGCAAAGTCGTTGATCACGCGGATTAATCCTTTCCTGCGCACACGTGCCAGGTTTAAATACAAGTCTTACGGCTTTTTCCTCCCTGCCTCTCTCTCTATCTCACACGCGTATACACGCATTCCTATACATGCGATACGCACTTGTTCACCTACATAGTAGCTCGATCCATGTACCTTTATAGGTCAGCGCAATATATCGCTACGCGTAAGAAATGGGAGAAGAAAAAAAAATTGCGTTTGATGCAAGTGCATCTCTGCTGCTGCTGTCCGCGTGCGGAGAAAGTGCGGCCAATTGCACGTGGTGTTGTCGCGTCGTCGCTGTCAAGGCGAAGGGCATTTAATGCGCCACGCATACAGTACGCTACGTAGCGCGAGTCAAGGCCTCGAATTAAATCAGCGCGTTGCTGTTGCGTAGCTCGAGTGTACGAGACTCGCGTGTGCGCTGCATGTAAGGTAACTATATAGAGCTGAAGTCGGAGCGTAGCGTATAGTAGTCGCGCCTTTTGCGCCGTTTTCTCCGCTGCAGCCCGATCATTTGTGCGTATTATAATGGGATACATGTAGCACTGCTGCGCGTGATCTAGATTTCGGGCCGTATACTCGCTGCACTCTGTTGCGCTCGGATTGCCGCGCAAACATCAAGAGTATATGTACAAGTAGTACTACACACACACACACACACGTACGAGTCGGCAGGTGCGCGCAGGAGCTATCATATACATTAATATACACGTCGTACCCGTTGCGAAATTCAATTTTAGCATACGCTCGATTGCCTTTCTCTGACTGTCTCGCGCGCTCAAGATGTAATTGTTGTAATGTAATAGCCAGCTAAAATGACAACGAAACCGCACGAATTTGCTCGGCCTAACTACCTTAACGGGGTCCCCCTCGCTTCATATTAATTTGCATCGAGAGTCTCTCGACTTTCACGACTCGATATTTCTTTTACGACGCGTTTACGCAATTGCACTGCATGTGTGTGTTTGTGGCGCTGATGATGGTACGTACGGACGAATCCTCGGAAAAATTACGCTATAAATGCATCTCTTTAGCAGCTTCGCCTCGCGGAGTCTATACAATATCCCGCTGCCACGATACTTTATCGATCTCTTATCATCTTGCCAATTTCTCTCCTCGGCGCGGCGATTTCACCGCTACACCGTCGCACGCGTGTCTGGCTACTTTATTTATATATCATTGAATTTTATATGCAGACGCGCGCGCGCGCACCGATCAAGCGTGCGTATATATAAGGTATATAATTTCACCGGGCTGTGCGCCTCGCTGAGCTATAGAAACATGTGTGTATATAAATTATTACATTTGCAAAATTGGGCACACGCCGCGTCGTACGCGTGACACTTGCAGATTTTCCTGGCGAAATATTCTCCTCCGCTGGCGCATTCGAGAATATCTCCAAATGTGGCATGGCTCTGTGTACTCGTTATGACGAGCTCATTTGTGGTCCTCGCGTTGGATTTTCCAGTCGATCGGCTCTGGATTGGGCCTATTCGCGTCGATCTTTACGCTTTCCATTTCATCCACAAAAGCGTCGCGTCACTGCAGTACTACTCTCGACTCTCGCTTTTTTTTTCGTCTCACCTTGCCGATCATCCCTCTTTTTGTCGCCTCTGGAGTAGGAGTGCACGGCGAGAGTGAGTGAGTGAGTGAGCGAGCGAGAGAGAGAAAGAGAGCGAGCGAGAGAGAGCGTGTAGAGCGTCGGGTAGGATAGGTAGCCGCTACCAGCAAGGATTGCTTGGTCAGTCCGTTTTATAAAGTTATATAGCGCCGAAGGAAGAGGACGGTGGAGAAAGATTATCGTGCGGTGTCCCGAGCAGACAGCCAGACCTTATATACATATCCTATATTACTCGAGTCCTCGAGCATGAATATTACAATGTGATGTGCGTCGTAATTGTTTCTGCCGTACACGTGCTCGCAATACTGCTGCTGCTGCTGTTGGCCGCCTTAAAGGGCTCTCGTCGTTTTATTTCTTCAAAACGGGGCAACGAGGCATTATGGCACGATGCTGCCCGGTTTTATAGCGCCGCTACTCTGTCGGCTTTTCGTTTTTTACAAAGGTAACGTTTTTAATTTCTCTCTTTTTTCCTTCATCTGCTTTATTCCGTTTGCGTTTGCTCCTTTCCTAATTTCCAACTCATTTTTCTCCTCCTGTCCGAAGTATATTATGTTTTACCGTATACGCGATCGTGTGCACAATCGCCACGACAAACCGCTAATTTTCTAGAAACACTTTGTTTGTGTGTGCGCGCAACTGTTACTCGTCGGCCTCTTTACTCAAAATGACAAAAAAGCGACGACGAGCGACGAGAAAAATGAGACATTTAAAATTGACGCTTGCGGGGCAATGATACATCATATCAAATTTAATTGGGGCTCGGACTCTCGCTCTCTCGTAGGATAGAAACCGCGTTAAAATGCCATTAATTACCGATTCGCTGCTACATTTTCCTCTTCATCTCGGCGTTTTCACTCGGCGCGCTTAGCTTTTCCACGCGCTTACCGATTCATTATAGGAAATTATAAAAATATATGCGCGCGCGCAAGTGCGTATCGAAGTTTACGCGCTTTGATTTCACTCAAGTGCTCGGCTCGTATCCTGCTCTCTGCTCTCGTTTTGAATTAAGACCGCACCCGCCAGCCGCTACTGCTGCATGTGTACTCTATAAATGCGTGCATCCAGTAGATAAGGATAATTTGGAAAGTATCGAGCGCTGGCTACGCCTTTTATATATATAGCCGGTCGCGTGGCCTATAATCGAGATCTCGCGTTGTCGTGATTTTATTTTCCTCGCGGCTAAACATCCTTGCACGTACGATAATTTATGATAAATTCGGAATCTCCTCTGTTGGTGTTTCTAATGCATGTGCAGGCGGCGCGCCGTATCTAGGGCATGAAATACACTAGCCGAGGCAGTATAGCTGCGAGCAGCAGCTGCAACGGCGGACAACGGCTGCAACGGTGGCGGCGGCGGCGTCGGTGCACAGCTAGTGTGGCGATGGCAGCAGACGGCCGCCGTTTTTGCCGCACGTGCATTTCTTTTTCCGCGAACGAAAGTGATGGAATTGTACGCTCGATGAAACATGAGATCCTCGGCGCATTATATTATTTTATTGATGCTGCTACCGTGCGGCGTTTCTTCTTTTAGCGCGAGGCTAATAAATAAACG